ACGGTACGGAAAATATCCCAGAAAAAAAATGTTACTGTACGGTACGGAAAATATCCAAGAAAAAAAAATGGCGGCCTCCATTACTCAATACAATTTAGACATCTCTCGCTGTGTTTTGAACATTTAGGACAGAATTGATGGGTTTCATTTGCAAAAAAGGCAAAAAGGTCAATCTTTTAGAGGACCCTGCTTCATTATGTTGATGAATTTTTCTTTTAATATTTTTTCATGACAAAAAATCTACTGGTCCGTCGGACCACCAACCTTGCTATAATCACCGGACCAATGCTAAATTTAGTGGCCTCGGGCCTCGGACTGGCGTTAATTTCGAAGACTGTTTATAGGTATAGAATTCTATATATTTTTTAATTGTTTTTTATTTGATTTTCTTTTAAATATACACGTGTAGTCTATAGCCGGGCAAGCCAAAGCCCAGACAAGCTTCGCGGGCCGCTCTTTGACTTCCCCGTATAATGGCGTGACCTAATTCTTCAACCTGTTTGACATGTCTGTAAATAACCGTATATTTCAAAGCTAAAACTATAAATCAGTGATGTTTGCCATGTAATATTTATAAAATGACAAAAGAATCAAAATAAATGATACAGGGCTAGCACTGGAATTTTTTACTTTGAGCCAATTCTTCGCGGCGAATATTGCCGGCCTGTATCAGGCAATGGTACGGCATGGGATATTAAGAAAAGCATTAACTATTATCCAACTTAATTTTGGTAGCTCAATTAAATTACATTAATCTTTTTTTTTTCAGGAATACTCTGTATGTCAAATAAATTCCTTCTCAATTATATATTATTTTGAGCCATAATTAGGTCAGATTTCAGGGCCAAAATACCCTTCTTTGTAGTGGCACAATAAAGGCTGCTTCCCAAACCAAACTATCCTCTTTTTTTCCCCAGCTTGGTCCTAAAAATCCCTTAGTCTTTTGAAATTTCCCATAGAATTACAGGGCTCTCAGTAGGGTCAGAATTTCACGAGTCAAAGACTCTTTGGCCAAAATTTTCATGAGTCAAATCATTTTTTCTAGTGTCATTTGACTACATGAATCATTTTTATGTTACAAAAATGACTGTATTGAAGGTCATTTTTGGAGATTCCAAAGTCTAAATTGACAGAAAAAATGCCTACTTATGAATGTCTATACCCCCCCCCCCCTCCACCTAAAAAAATAAAACCAAAAAAACACAAATAAAAGAAAAAAATGAATTGCTGTGAAAGAATAAAATAAGCAGCAGCTTTTCTGATTAACTGTACTGTATCAAATATAGAAAAATATCTTTACTGGTATGCTATATCATATTAATTTTAAATACCAAAATGTACCAGGAATATTTAATGGAAAAAGAAATAACAAATACACAGGTACTCCAAGTAAATCAAAGACGTATTATAAACCTTTAAAAGCAATCAATAATTGACACCTCAAGTAATTCTTATCAGTTGTGTAGAGCTATTTTTAGCGCTGTCAAATTGCAGCCACTGAATTGTCTCGCTTCAGTGCACAGGCTATAAACAATTGCTGTGTGTAAAGCATTTTATACACGGCTTATACTGCCTGTTGACATTTTTAATGAGTGTGATTTGAACATATGTAGGATTTGATAGGTACAAATGTAATTAGGGGTGGATTTAAGGTAATTAGTATTGCATAGCTGAAAATCCCGTGTGGCAAATTGACTCTTGAGCAGATTTTATCACGTGTCAAATTTGTGCATTTCCCGATTTTCACGAGTCAAAACCCGGATCCCCGTGTCAATCGAGAGCCCTGAATTAAGAACAAAATTAAATGATGGTGTTGAATTTAGGTCTTTTACTGCCTTATCAGTAATTACCACTGCTTATTTCCCACTGCTTTTTGCTGTCCTATTTAGAAAAACATTCCAACTGCTTTTTGCTTTTCTATTTTGAAGAACTTGTTAAAATTTTGTATTAAATTTGAGACCCCTTTTCCCAAAGTATGCTAAAATCATGCATATTTTCCCAAAGAAAAAGGCCGAGGCCCCTTCCTCAAAATTGGTGTTTTGGCCCTGGATTTTATTGGCAATAACACCCCCTCCCACCACCACCAAAAAAAAAATCAACAACAATAACTCTATCAACTTGTAATTTCGTAGATCTGTTTATCAACAAAGATAAAATTTACTGGTCAAGTTGCCAACTGCAGAACATTATTTGTCGCCATTTCATGCCCAAAATGCTGATTTGATTATCGATAATATTGAGATGCCGCTAGTTATTGTTTCATATTGAATATTAAGACCAATTATCCAGTGCATATTCAACAATCTGCCACATGAATTTTTCACACTAATTAGTGTCGTATTTATCAGCTGATAAACATGTAAACATACCCTGAGGTCAGTGTATTAGACTTTGTTACTGTTCATATCAATATTTCATACAGAACGGCAGTTACAAATATAAAGTTAAACCAGTCAATGACCCACCAAAAGTAGACTGTGTCGCTGTGTTTTGAGATCAGAAGTGATAAAACGGAAGTTGTAGATGGAAAACCAGATGTGTAATTTTCCATTCTTAAAATAGAAAATGCTAAATTTAGACTGGAGATTCCAAAAGTCATACTTTTCGTAAGTTTGAGCCAATCATGATTTTCTTGAGCCAATTTAATTATTTTGGAGCCAATTTGCTCATTGGCTCCTGCCAGCGCGAGCCCTGCTGATACAGAATAAAGATTCAGGGAAATTAAAAATTTTTAACTGCAATTGTGATTTATGGGTAAATAGATCGATACAACGGGGTTCCAGGCTAAATACAAGTTATTTTAATGATTTATTAAAAGGAAGTGGCTAGCCAAAAGTTCTAGCCGCATGTGAGTCACGTACGACTAGCCAGAACTCTCTGTATTGTCTAGCCGTACGGCACTTTTCGAAATAATATGAAGTCTAACATGCATACAAGTCATGTGTTATTTTGTTCCTCGTGATTATGATTTGTTGTTTTATTTGTATGAAAGATGAATTTTTGTTAATTAAGCACATGGATCGAATAAATAACGACCAGAGTGGAATAAGTAAAAAGAACATTGAAAAAAAATGGTGAATGTATAATTTTCAGATACAGTACAGTAGATAAATATCGAACATAAAAGAACAATCAATAAATTAGCCTTAATAAAAGCTTACCCAGGGACTGACAAAAGAATTTTAGAATGTGTTTCACGGAACATGCAAACTTTCCTTAATGATGGACAAACTTCTATACCGTCGGTAATTGACGCAATTATCATGTTATCATGCAGAGCCCAACAACAATTATTTTTTGTTTGTTCCATTTTAAAGGTGTCGGAAATTAAACTTAATGAAACAAAAAAGGATTGTCATCAAAATTTTGTAAACTATTTCAATTGATGTTATTGAACTGCGACCAAACGCTATTTTTTCTCGACTCTTTAGATGACAAAGATTGATATTCTTACTTTTTACTGTAGCCAACAAGGAGATTAATTTCTAAAAAGTAAACATACGAAGACAATTGCTGTTTCTTGGTTAAAATCCTCGCTTAAAGACAGAAAATAACATATGCATTTTCGACTTCCATATAATTTTGAAAATGCCGTACGGCTAGCCAATACAGTGTGTCTTTGCTAGTCGTATGTGACTCATGTACGGCTAGAACTTTTGGCTAGCCGTACGGGCCCGTACGGTAAGCCACTTCCTTAATAAAAAACCAAATGTAGAGAGCATCTGTTTAATTGGAAAATAGCCTGGCAAACTTACTTGTTACTCCTTCACCAGCCCTCAGAGAAATGTCTCAAGCAAGGAAGAACAATTATTTAGGACTAACAGATGCCTACTAACCCCAGCACATGAGCAAGTAGCTTAATTTTTTCCACCCTTCACAACAACTACATGTAAACTTAATAATAAAAGTAAAGATGAAAATGTAATGGTTATGTTTTGAAGCCTCACCTTTTCCCAGTGTCATCACAGGTTAGATAATAAGACTCCATCATGATTTTACATGTAAATGTATGCAAAATGCATATATTGACAGAGTAATCAGCAATCAAAACAGAGGAATGTTACTTCTTCCGTCACATCAACACCACCTGTTTGTTAAAAATGAGAAGAAATGTATAATTTGCTGTAGAACGAAAGGTTAAGAGAATAGGTCAAGCTGTCAATTTGTGCAATTAAAAATGATTAGAATGATGAGAAATGAGTTTTTATTAATCAGAAAAGAAAAATGAGAAAATATGAATAGATACTGATAGAAAAAATGGTATATTATAAAAAGAAGTAAATTGTATACAGTGATTTTCCAACTTATATAACAGACTCCGAAAAAAGGCCTCTTCCCAATTCAAATTTCTTTAAAATCATGCGGTTTTTCCAAAAATCTGAACTAAACCAGCTTTTTCACTTCCAAAAACAGCAATTTTAGCGATAATTTTCCCAAAATCAAGAGGCTAAGGCCTCTTCCCAATTAAGTGAGAAAAATCACTGGTATACAAAGACTACTCTTATTTTGTATACTACTTTGAATAGGTAATTTAATGCTTTGTTGGTTTCATTTTCTTCATTTCATTCAAGAAATTGGTATTCAACTTGTTTCTTTAAAAAGAAATCTGATTTTCGTCAGGTATCAAATGTTTTTAAAATGTCCACACAGTATTACCTACCTTGAGTATTTGTCTGCAAACCCATTTATGTAATGTGGAGGTGAACCTTCAGTAAACTTGATGCTTGTGCTAAATATAAATTATAATAAAATGAGAACTAAAAGCCATGCCTGTGGAGATTGTTGTGAATTTTTTACAAAAAAAGTTGCAGCATGCTATACTGATGTTTGTGTATGAGATACTCATTCTTGCATGATAAATAGGTAAAATTTAATTTAAAATTTTAATTAAAAAACTACTGACACAATATTTCCAGACCTCTGAAAAGCATTAAAAGGGGTAAACAGGTCTGCAAGTTTGGTTGTAGAGTTCATTTTTGCAATATTAGATAATAAAAAAATTTTCTTTACATATTTTAGGACTTAAAAAGGATAAGCCATAAAAATGGCTTACAACTATGTGATAGGGCCCGGGGGACAGCCCATCATTCTCGGGCAGGTACAGATGATACAGCCCTTGATGCAGGTGCCCGGGGCTCCTGCCCCCATGCAGCAGATGAACACTGGTGTTCCTCCCCAACAACCACCTGTTCAGCAGACTAAAGTACCAGATTATATGTCAGAAGAAAAACTGCAAGAAAAAAGTATGGAATATTTTGTTTTTTGTTGGTTTTTCTTTTTACTACTGTGTATAATGTATAGATTAGTAATGGATAATTTGTTGCTTTACTAAGTACTGCTACTACTTTAATTCACTCAAAGATAATATCTCATTCTTAATAAAAAAAGATTTATCAGAAAAGTTAAATATGATAGCTTCAGAAAGTACTGAAAGCTTACAGTTTGTTAGTGTTAAATATTATATATTATAATTGCTACATATAGTATAAAAAGCAGTTACAATTTTAAATATTGCCATTTATATGGTGATTATAAATTAGAATATTTTTTTCAATGACACCATCTTGTCTCCTACAGCCAGAAAATGGCAGCAGCTGCAGTCCAAAAGATACAGTGAAAAGAGGAAATTTGGGTTTGTGGATGTACAAAAAGGAGATTTTCCCCCGGAGCATGTGAGAAAAATTATTCACGACCACGGAGACATGACCAACAGAAAGTTCAGACATGATAAACGTGTATATCTAGGGTAATGTTTTAATTCCTACTATCCTTAATAAGAAACTTTTTTTATGATAGATAATTTGTAAGGCATTGTACATTGTTTATATTTTAAATCAAATTGTGCACAAGCATTTTTTTTAAAGAGAGACAAATGAATAAAATTAATTGATTAAATTGCGTTATGGAATTTGTATGCTTTTGGATAATTTTGTTTAATCTCACCTGTTTTGAAATGGGATTTTATTTCATAAGAAAGGAAAATCACTATTGTGAATGAAACGTTTTCATCAGAATTTGTATGTCAACTTTTAGAAAGCTTTTCTTTTTGATTTGACATACCAGTATCTATTATAATTTTATATAACACATTGTTCACATTCACTTATTTTCAAGTTTAAATTTATGAACTCTATGTGTAATGTTATTTCTGCCTGTTAAGGAAATCTTAACATCAGCCTTTTTATATGATATCTTTTTTTGTTGCAGTGCATTGAAGTATATGCCCCATGCAGTGTTAAAGCTGTTAGAAAATATGCCGATGCCATGGGAACAGATTCGTGATGTTAAAGTACTCTACCATACCACTGGAGCTATAACATTCGTCAATGAAATTCCATGGGTCATTGAACCGGTCTACATTGCTCAGTGGGGGTAAGTTTCCTCCGTTCCTTCATAGCTATGATTCTCTATGAATAGTTTGGTACGCCTCCAGAGGAGCCAAAATATTTAAAGAAAATCAATTTTGAGAAAAATAGACTTACATTTTAAGAAAGGTAAAAACTTTCCAGATCCCAGTTTAAGTTTATATGTTATGTGTGGTTTTGATTTAGATTGATTTTGCGGTATTTTATCTCCATATTTCTAAATTGCGTTACTAACGCAGTAAGGGCTGTTTTTGCATATGTTTAACACTATTTCGTAATTTTCTTGGATTATAAGTGCCGATTGCAATATGTTAACTAGTTTATATGTTCACCTCACAATATTTTACTTTTAAATACATTTCTAAAATTTTCATGAAAATTGACATGAATCTGGAGGCGTGCTGCTTTAAAGATTATTAAGTAAGAAATACTGTAAAGTCATTTTGTATAGAATAGTTGCTACTGGTAACTTCTAAAAATCTTGCTGATTCGTTTTGTTTTCCTTGACATTTGCTTCTACCCATATACATTTGTGTTTTGCCTTTGTAATTCTTAAAAGTTGTCCTTTAATCAAGGTATTGTCGATTTTGCGAAAGACACTTCCCATCAATGGTCATTTTGATTTTGACTTAATGAAATTGTCTATGTAAAAGTATTTTTATATTAATAGTATTTATATATTGAGTGTAGCTTCTAACTTAAATGTAACCAAACTGCTTTTAAAAGAATAAACTAAGGCTAATTGTTTGTTCACATTTGAAGAACTATGTGGATTATGATGCGTCGAGAAAAACGTGACAGACGTCACTTCAAGCGTATGCGTTTCCCTCCATTTGATGACGAGGAGCCTCCCCTTGATTATGCAGGCAATATCCTAGATGTTGAGCCCCTCGAGGCTATACAGATTGAACTGGACCCGGAGGAAGATAAATGTGTCGCAGATTGGTTCTATGATCATAAACCACTTGTTGATACAAAGTAAATATGATTAATGATTATATGTATATATACTCTATTTAGAATACAAGTCTGATAAATATTGAAAGGAAGATAAAAACAGTGAAGGGGCGTCCGTGGCCGAGTGGTCCAAGTCGTTGACTTCAAAGCACTTATTTCTCACTGATGTAAGTTCAAGCCACACAAGGGTCATCAAATTTTATATGTGAGCTAGGGAACAGTGATGGTTCCTCTTCAGTGTTTGTTTGTGTCTGAAATTATGTACCGACTGGCACCTGAGGTCTTCTTCCACCAGTAAAGCTGGAAAGTCACCATATGACCTATTCTGTGTTGTTACGATGTAAAATCCAACCAAAAAAAGATCACCAGTATTTCACGGAATAAGATGAGTTTCAAACATCAATGTGAAGGAACTTTTGATTTATTTTTGTGATTATTACAAATTTTCATATGTCATAATTTTCACATTTTATGTGACAGGTCGGTTAATGGTAGCACATACAGGAAGTGGAACTTGTCATTACCAGTTATGTCCGTGTTGTATCGTCTTGGCAACCAGCTGCTCACAGATCTTGTTGACAACAACTACTTCTACCTGTTTGATTTAAAGTCATTCTTCACAGCAAAGGCATTGAATATGGCCATCCCAGGAGGTCCAAAGTTCGAGCCTCTAGTCAAGGACAAGGAAATGCAGTAAGTTGAAATAGTCATATACTTAATAGCTTGCTAAGATACTGAATAGTCTTTTTTACCTGCTGGAAATAGTTATTTACTAATTAGTTTATTCAGATAATGAATATTCTTTTGTACTTGCTAGTGCTGTTCTCATGACCATGTTTATTAAATGAATGGAACATTGGCAGTTTTAGTTTGGAATGTTAAAAATCATATAGTGCGCTACGTTCCCAGCCAGCAGGGTTTCTAAAGTATTTTAAATCATTGACTAATTTCCATAAATTTGTAACCTGACCAATCATTGCATTTTAGTATTTGTTGTTGCGCTTTGCAATGATTAAGAATAAAATACATCTAAAAAAATTTTTGAAAATTTAAACCCAATAAAGAAGTGTGATATATAACTGATGGTTATATTAAGATTACTTTGCTTTATTTCTACCAGGGATGAAGACTGGAATGAGTTTAATGATATCAACAAGATCATCATTCGTCAGCCAGTGAGGACCGAGTACAGGATAGCTTTCCCTTACCTTTATAACAACCTGCCATTCCAGGTCCATCTGTCATGGTAAGTGTATTTATATAATCATTCTTTGTTTTTATAAATTCAAGAAAGTGGCTCGTGGCTGACTGCTTAACGCATCAGGAAATATCTTAGGATTTTGATGACTGCGTGGGTTTAGAAACCCTGTCAGGGGAACATCCAAATTGTTTCCTTAATGACAAGACACTTTACACTTATTGCTTAGTTACTGGGGGTTACGGTTTCAGGGAACGGATTCAAGAGTTGTTTAAATACCTGATAGCTTTCCAAACACCATTGAAACTAAAATAAATTATTTTAAAACTATAAACTTCAAGACTTAAGCTATTAGTGGTAGCTAAGTTATTAAATAATTCATCATTTTCCTTAAAGGCAATTTAATATTTGGGAGTAGCCTCCGAATAAAGGCGTTTTGTTTCATTGACGGGAGCGGAAGAGCTTTGAGTCGGCGGATTGGGATTATTGTCATGAACAAGTACTTTTAGTTCAAGGGAAAAAACATGAAGAGTTCTTCCCTATAAGCTTCAACAAACTTTCATTACAAACGAGCTAACATAAATTGTAAGAAGGTCACCACTTGGGAAATGTTAATTTTGATATCATGAACTAGTCAACATTGTGTAGTAAGAATAATTTTCAAATTTTTAGAATGTTTTCGTAATGCATGTTAATATTTTAATTGGTTTTCATATAGTTTGTTGTGTTAACAAAGCTGAAGGACTATGATTTTTTTGCCTAAAATATTAGAAAATGGTACTAACTTGTTAGTCATAATCTGTTAATTTTACTGTTGGAGAGGCTGCTCATCTTCTTGTTGATATATTTCTAGGTATCATTGGCCCAATATTGTATTTATCAAGACGGAGGATCCTGATTTACCTGCCTTCTACTTCGATCCTCTCATCAACCCTATATCTCACAGACACACTAACAAGGTAAATAGAACATAAATCTATTGTTTTATTGAAATTCTTATATTAGGAATGAAATTAAATTAATGTGTATGGAGAATGGATGGAGGTTCTATTATTTCAGTTTGGTAGAAGTTTTTATCAAGTGCTTCTGTTACCTGATAGGTTGAAATGCAAAAAGAATATTTATACTGCTGGGTTTGAAACTTTTTGTTTAAATACTGATGTGTTGACAACATATGACATCTCTATAATAATTCTCTTTGCTTGACAGTGCTTTTTTCCAATATATAGAATGGCTACTTCCTCTCTTGAAAATTCGTCAGTCATGCATTTGTACCCTTATCATTTAAATTTTTTATCAAGTTTGAAAAATATGCTGTATTATTTTCCCCAAAAATTTCTGGAGAGGGCCTCTTCCATCACCTATGGAAATGAGGACTGCTTGATACCATAGCAAATGCCAAGTCAAGCAAAATATATTGCTATATACATGGCAAGCTATTTGCCTTTCTCTTATTCAAGCAATTGTTGATAGGTTATGCTAAACTAGGTTATGCTAAGCTGTATGTGCAATCTAGAATGACCATTTGGCAGTCACTATACATGCACTATTGTAGACGCATTAATGGCATTAGAAAAAAAATTTACCAATATACTTCTTACAGAGCACAGATCCCCTACCAGATGATGATGAAGAGTTTGAGCTGCCGGAATACGTTCAGCCGTTCATGCATGATACTCCTTTATACACCGATAACACAGCAAATGGCATTGCCTTACTCTGGGCTCCTAGACCCTTCAACACCAGGTCTGGCCGCACAAGAAGGGCAATTGACGTGCACTCGTGAAGTCCTGGTACCGAGAGCATCCACCAGCTGGCATGCCAGTAAAGGTTCGAGTCTCGTACCAGAAACTTCTGAAGTATTATGTGCTGAACGCCTTGAAACACAGACCGCCCAAGTCACAAAAGAAGAGGTACATGACTGTATATCTTGTATATTAATTGTGCTAAAAGTTGTTTAGAAACATTTCATCTCAAGATATTTTAACTTGTTAGTAGTCAAGGTCTAAAAAATTTATTTACTTCTTATTGTCAGAAAGTGAGTTACTCTATTTATAAAAATAGAACCAGATTTATGCTGAAGACTATATCAGTATAAAGGAAGCTTTGTACACTTGTACCATTACTGCTCCAGTGTCTATAGCAACATGTATGTTCACAGTCTTGATGGAAGTGTTCCGATGTGATTCTAGTATGACCCTTGTTGTAGTAATGAGACAAAGCAATGGGTTAATTGTTCAAATTTCTAACAAAATGAATAATTACATATCTCTTCTTTGACTTTCCCAGGTACCTGTTCAGATCATTTAAAGCTACCAAGTTTTTCGAGACAACGCAATTAGACTGGGTGGAGGTAGGACTGCAAGTATGTCGTCAAGGTTACAACATGTTGAACCTTCTCATTCATCGTAAAAATCTAAACTACCTTCATCTGGATTACAACTTTAATCTTAAACCTGTGAAGACATTGACGACAAAAGAAAGAAAGAAGTCCCGGTTCGGAAATGCTTTCCATCTGTGTCGTGAAGTTCTCAGGTTGACCAAGCTTGTGGTTGACAGCTTTGTACAGTACAGATTAGGAAATGTTGATGCTTTCCAGGTCAGTAATACAATGTTTTTAATAATGATTTTATTAGTGGGTTCAATATTGCATTGATGCTTACCTTGCTTAAAGGTGTGTGGTGTCCAATATCTTGACCTAACCAATGCTGTGTCTTTGTTTGTTTGTTTCATTTTACGCCTTTTCCCAACAGTATTTCAGTCATATATGCGGGTAGTTTCCTAACCATCGTTCCTGGAGAGTTACACCATTCCTACCAAAGCATCTCCCGGGGATCGAACTCACGCCAGAGAGGTAACTGGATTAGAAGTCATCGACTTTTACCCCTCGACCACTGAGGCGGTTAATTGTTGTGTCAAATTCTGTCAAAAATGTTATATCTGTCATTTAAGGAAGCTATCCTACTAGCTTATGGGAAAGACAGTGGTTCTCCTAAGATGTGTGAATATTTTTTTTTGCTTGACTTTTGGAAGAAGAGGGAGGTCTATTGTACTAGCCCTGGTGTGGGCTTTGCTGTCATTCTTTGTTTAAATTTTTACATGCATATTGTTATCTCCTTGTTCTCTGTGATTATCTTTCATGATGGGCACAAGACCTTTAACTCTGAGTTACCTTTCTACAGAGAAATGCTCATTTTTTTTTTTGGTTACATGGGGGAATAGTTGAGGGGGAGTTTACAGAAAAGTCTTTTTTAATGCATTTTTCCAGAAATTTGGAAAATCCATAAAATATGCCCAATAAATTTATAATGGGTTTTAAAAATCATTAAAAAAGGGAAAAAAATTATATTTCCCTTTCCCCAAATTTTAAAAATGGCTGAAAAAGTTTAAAATTTGATGATTAGACTTCTAAAATAAAAGAATTTTATTAGTTCTTTTGTTCTGAAAATTGATGTATTTTAAAACTTTAACGGGGTTTTGAAAAAATTTTTAACATATTTTTAATATGGGGGTCTTGAAATGTATATTACAGTTAGCAGATGGGTTACAGTATTGTGTTCTCCCATGTTGGTCAGCTGACTGGAATGTACAGATATAAATACAAGCTGATGAGGCAGATAAGAATGTGTAAAGATCTCAAACATGTTATATACTACAGATTTAATACAGTAAGTACATTCATATAGTGTGTTCTGTGTTCTATTTAGCTCAATCACTAAAGCTAAGAATGAATGAATGGTTCTATCCAGCTAGCTTGCAGAATGTCGGTGGTTCTATTCAGGTTGCCATTTGTGCCTGAAATAATGCACGGATGGGGCACCTGAGGTGCGACCTGAAGTCGCCATATGAACTTTACTGTGTTGGTGCAACATAATACCCCCCCCCCCCCCCCCCCCAAAAAAAAAACCCCAAAAAAAACCCCGACAGAACAGATACTTTTCATGATTGTGTGTGCTTAAGCTGTCATAGTTTATAAAAATAGCATTATTGCCATGGAACTCAAGAGGAAGGCCGAATTTTTCAAGATTGTTTTGTAATTAGGGATGGCAACGAATACCAAAATCAATACTCGAGTACTCGGTAAATTTTCCGATCGAGTACTCGGTTACTCAGATGATTGCCAGCGATCTTCAAAGTGTATCGCTCAATATCAACACCGTCTGCATGCTACTTTCGTTTTCTATTTAAATTCATAGAATTCTGTAGATAGTAAATAGGACTGCAAGGGAGAAAAATTAATTATAATTAAATCAACAACATGATATTTTACAACGTTTTAATTAATGCAATATCAAGTTTTAAACATGTACAACAGTTCATAGATCTTTTTTCTTCTTTAAATAATATAGACTGATCAGCGGCAACAAAAGTTTAACCTGGTCTAAATACCAGTTACCTTTATTCTTACATTCTTGATAGCAATCGGCCATTTGTTGTTTTCAAAACAGTTACTTCGGCTACACAATTAAAGGTAATTAAATATCATAAGAGGCTGGATGACATAAGCGACACAGGTGCGCGTGTCAAACTGTACGTTGATTGCCTCGTTAAATTTATGATATCATTTTCGCACCTCTACAAGGATGTTTTGATTGCATTTAACGGGTATTTATGAAGATACATGCACATCTCCGAATTTCTGAACTACTTGGATACACCAATCTTTCTAAATCGCAAAAAAAAATAAAAAAATAGAAAATATATATTTTTCTGAGTAATCGAATATCAATTTAGTTAACCGATATTCGGACGTTCGATCGAGTACTCGGTTAACCGGTTACTCGTTGCCATCCCTATTTGTAATTAATGTTTAGATGCTTTGATTATAATTTCATTATTACATGTAAGTCACTTATGTTGCAAAGATATGGTTTGGCTAGCAAATTGTTTTAGCAGTACAGAAAAATGGAACATGTAAAGCTTAGCGATATCCAATATCTTACTTATAAATTTTAGAAGTACTGTACATGCATTTAAATGTTAACAATGCTATCAAACAAATGACATGTGTGGTATTGAAGTGATCAGAAATAAAAGCAATTTCTATGGTTTTCAGGGTCCTGTTGGTAAAGGTCCAGGTTGTGGTATATGGGCTCCAGGGTGGCGTGTATGGTTGTTTTTCATGCGAGGTATTACGCCCCTACTAGAGAGATGGCTTGGTAACCTGCTGTCCAGGCAGTTTGAAGGTCGTCACTCGAAGGGGGTTGCTAAGACTGTAACTAAGCAACGTGTGGAGTCGCATTATGATCTAGAATTGAGGGCAGCAGTAAGTTATTGTTAAAATTATTTGAATCTTTGAAGAACTCCCGTGATATGATTATTTGAGTTCAAAATAGATAATAGGATGAGGGCTCATTTAAATTATGAATTGTCTTTATGATAATTTTCTGCAACACAAAGACAAATGTGAAATTAGATATCTTGGCTATTTAGTTATAGATTCTTTGTACTGAAATGACATGTATTTGGTTGCGCTATTGGTAAAAAAAGCTAATTTATTGAAAGAAATATTTTGTCCTTTCAAAATAGGAAATGAGATTATAGTCATTAATATCAATCCAGTTAATGCATTTGTTGTCAGGTGTTTGACAAGTTTGGTCAGTATCTTGTTTAGTTATTTTTATATAAAAACAAACTTCTTGGTAATTCTCAACATAACAGTTACTCTATTGAAGTAGAAGTAAACTTGGTCGGTAGAATACGATAGAGGCATAAATGGTTTAATTTCATATGTTTGTTTTAAACAGGTGATGCATGACATTTTGGACATGATGCCTGAAGGTATAAAACAGAACAAGGCAAGAACCATCCTACAGCATCTCAGTGAGGCGTGGAGGTGTTGGAAGGCTAACATTCCATGGAAGGTAAATAGTAAATGTATATAGATTGTACATAGTGTACCCTATTAACATAATTTACTGTGTTTAATGTTGAAGAAACTATGCAATTTTATATTATTTGATTAAATCTTTCGTTTTGATAGGGACTGAGTAGAAGAAACTATGCAATTTTATATTATTTGATTAAATCTTTCGTTTTGATAGGGACTGAGTAGTTTATAATGAAGTCAGTGACATGTTCCTATTCACTTTAGTTTGAAACTTGTTCTAAACTTAAGATTAATTCTTGCTATGTAATTATATATTTTGAATTAAGTAGGTTTTTACCAAATTGCGACTTAAAAAAATTCATACATATCGAGAAAAAATGATTGCAACATAGTTGCAATTACGTCAAAACAAAACACTTTTACAAGAAATTGATACTGTTTCGATGTTATTGTTGCCATTCCCTTGAAATTATCATTAAATATTATTAAAGTTGAGAAAATCTTTTGAAAATATTTTTGTGTTAATCAGGTACCAGGATTACCCATCCCTATAGAGAACATGATCTTGAGATATGTGAAAGCCAAGGCAGATTGGTGGACAAACACGGCTCATTATAACAGGGAGAGAATCAGGAGGGGTGCAACAGTAAGTATATCTTACATATGGTATGGTTTAATAAACAACACAATGATTTATACATTTCCCAGTTACTTTAAAAAAAGGGAGATAATTCATAATTCTTGTCGTCTTGTTATCTCTTACTGCAATTCTTGCCAATAGATGTCATTCCAAGTTAGGAATATGAACTTGTTCAGCTTCATAAGGTTATACAATGTAATTGTGTCGAAAAAAGACACAAAAAAAGAGTCAAAAAAGAGATAAACTGAATCCCTAAAAAAAAAACCTGCAGAAAACGACAAAAAATTGAAAATGTTGCAGGCTCCGCTTGATTTGAGCTAGTACAATGGATGGTACTGGAAAAGTGCAAGTTTTCATTCCATGCCCCCTAAACGTGGCCTGAAGCAGAATTCAACATTTGAACAAGAAAATTGTGAAAATATGAATTTAGAAAAAATCTGCATATGTGTTCATACACCAAAAAGACTGGTTAATGATGCTGTTGTAAAAGGTCTGATGTACACCATGTGACTGGTCTACCCTCCCCATCTTTCATCATTATCATCACAATCATCATTTATCATCACATTCATTCCCCATCATTTTGTAAATTGCATTATTGGGACTGGCTGGGCGTAAGATAACTGGTTAGAAAGTTTTTAATGCATAGATATACAATGGTCTTGACTTGCCGCAAGTTGAGAGTTTCCAATTTGTGTGGTATAGTCGTTGGACCGGACAGGGGAGTGTGGGAGACCAGACATGTGGGGTATCAATGTGATCACAGTCTTTCTCTGAAACCAGTCTGAAGTAAAACTTAATATTTTGATTAATTATATGTGTTAATCATTTTTAAGGTGACAACAGACACTTTCCGTGGTACTCACATAAATGTCATTTAAACCAAATTATTTTAGTAATAATTGTTATTCATTTAATCTTTGTGCATTAAATGTCGTTGATCATCATAAAAAATAACATATTTTAAAAAAATGCCTTTGTAAATGATTGATTTTGAATAAAAATCCTAATATTTTAAATCGTCATATCAAAGTCATTTTTTATTTTTTTGTCATCAAACTTTTGGAAAATAACCATACTTATATTTTCTGGGGAACCGTGTCTCAAATTTTTTATATCTTTTCTCAAAAAAATATTACGTAACGTCAAACAAAATATGCGACTTTTTTTCACCATACATATTACGTAATTAAAGATAATTAAGTCGCTGATTGAGCAAACAAAAATCCCTGACACGGTTCCCTCCGTAAATGAATTTCCTTTCATGTGCTTTAAACCGCATGTTAATTGCTTGATTATTAAAAAAGTTATGCCGATTCAAAGTTAGTCCGACCCGCATCAAACGAAGTGTCATAAATCGGCTGTTCTCTCTCGGACCCTACGTTTCACGCTAAATAATTGCATAATACACAAATATCGCACCAGAGAGGATCACAAGTTGCGGTAACATACTCTAACAACATTTTATGACCCAGTGACATCTGACCAATTAAAAAGCTGCTGATTAATATCAGTTTATAGCCGATATTTCTTCAATTCTTAACGTGATTTACTGTTCGTCTTGCATCTGTCGCACATGTCACGTGACTATCGGTAAAATTTGAGGCACACAGTGGGGGCAAATGGAACGCATTTGCGCACCGCTAGCGGGGGTATTTAATTGTTTCCTATTTGAAGTTTATTATTATTATCATCAGCATTATTATTGTTTTATACCAGTGTCACTCTGCCTGTGTATTCGTGTATGAAATTCCGTTAAAATATAAAATAAAATAACAAAAAACTGAGCTTCTGACAGTCTTTTAAAGTCCATGGTAGATGTACAAATAAGAACGGGATAGTATATATTTTTTCCACCAAATTGATAATGCTTCACATATTTTAATAGAAATAAAAGGCATTACTCGATCATTATGATGTGGCCTTCTTGACTTCTATTATCATGAATATCATCTATGCACGGCATAGAGATCCAGTTTCTACCGGGATAGACAATAAATTTCATACTTTGTCCCAGATTTATTAGTACTGTGTCGGATTTACTGGCGAACAATTTATTTTCACTGAGAATATATTTTAATATCTTTTTTTATTCATAGAGAAATAATCATCCTTAGACAATCTAAAATGGTTTAGAAATTTGTCAGGGACACCTTACCACAAGTCATATAAGCGTTCACATAAAAAATGTCGTCTGTTGTTGTTTTACTTGACATTGTTAGAAAACGAGGTTGAATGTAAAGTAAGCCCTTGAATCCGTACAAAAGTCTATCAACTCAATGTTATATATATTAGATTAACGGGATAGACAAATTATTTTCACACATTATGGATATTTTAGCAACTACATTTTTAATCAACCCCGTGGTCGTGCGATTTGCCGCTATGCTTAATTATTTATGTTTCATACATTATGTTACGTACATTGGCCGACAATTTCTTAATTTATAAAAAAGGCTAAATGTTGAGATATTCATAAAAGATGTACGGTAGATGAACGATACATGTATTACGAGAAGTATGGACCAGTATGGACCTGTAATTCACGGATATATGGAACTACCGATTTCCCTAATTGATGCCTCAACAGGGGGCGGAGCGTTATCGATAATCGACAGGTTACGCGAATAGCAGATACAAATAGTATAGGTACCGTTTTAAATCGTTTAAAAACACATTTTTTGGACTAACTGCTTCCAAAATTAAATCACGAATGTGTTCAGAAAAGGTTGATAAATCTACTTAGCAAAAAATCTCATTTTAGGTATTTTCAGTGATAATTGACTCCGTTGTCACCTTAACACTGTCCTGATAAGCAAAATACTGAGAAAGTTATGACTTTGGCCCTTATGTTTTCAATAAATTTTATGCGAAGAATTTGGCAGTTCCTTGTGTAAGAACAGGTTTGTACTGGTACAGTCTTGTAATGCAACTACTGCGCAAGAGTTTTTCTTTCTTAATTGAGGTATGACATTGCGGCTTTAAACCTAAAACCCGATTGTGAAATAGTGATTAATAAGGAATTATTACTGTTTATATGTCATGTATGAATACTATTGAATGGCATTGTTTAGTTCATATTTATAGGCAGATAAGGGACATTTTAATTATGATTTTTAAGTAAAGTTTATTTCTCATTTATAGGTAGATAAAGTATATTTAGAGAATGATATAAATTGTAAAGTTTATTGTTTTGTTAATAGGTAGATAAGACTGTATGTAAGAAGAATCTCGGCAGACTGACTCGATTATATCTGAAGGCAGAACAGGAAAGGCAACATAACTATCTCAAGGTTAGTTTTATATCTTATTAACAAAGATTGTGTTTCGTTATTGAGTTTTCTTCTTAACAAGGCTGTAATGGTGTAACTGGCAAAATATGCTACACAAATTAAAAAAAATCTGTACATTCAGGGTTTTCATTATTAACCAATTGGCAATCCATACCATGGGTGGAAATGCTGTTAAAATTGGTTGTATTTTCAGGTTGTAGATTTAAATATCCATCTTGACCATATGCCGATTCGGTTTTCTTTGGCACATCTTTTGCCGCAAAGAAAAAAATGAAATCCCTGATGTTCATTGTTTTTTGTGATCTTATAGTCATATATGATAAAAGTTTTAGTCTATTTTGTGTAACTAAAACATTGCATTTAAGAAAATTGAATAAAATTTTCCCAAATGAATAGATTTAACTGCTTTTTGTAGTGTTTTAATTGATTATGTCTTGCAGTCTCATTTAAATTAAATGGTATATGATTCAACTTGTGATTTTAGGATGGTCCATACATTACACCAGAGGAGGGTGTGGCTATCTACACAACAACTGTCCATTGGCTGGAGAGTAGGAGATTTTCTCCTATCCCTTTCCCTCCACTGTCATACAAGCACGATACCAAACTTCTTATCTTAGCTTTAGAAAGGTTGAAAGAAGCATACAGTGTGAAAAGCAGGTAATCATTGTTTGTCATGTTTTGTCATTTTTTTTCTGCCAATTTTAAATCTGTATCTTCATCACTGATGGGGCATCCATGGCCGAGTGATTAAGGCCATTGACATAAAAGCGCTTGCCTCTTACTACTGTGTGTTCGAACCGCACAAGCTCGCTCGGATTCTTACATGTGAGAAAGCTATCCTGCTAGCTTATGGAACATCGGTGCCTTTCGATGGTTCTTCTCAGGTGACCGATTGTGCCTGAAATAATGCCCAGAGGGGTCACATGAAGTCTTCATCCAAACAAAATTAATGAAATAAATCTTATGCTACATAAGTCACTGATTGTTAATCAAGCTGAAGTTAAGAATAAAAAAAGTTGATATGCTGATGTAATATTTTGGTTTGTAGGTTAAACCAGTCACAGAGAGAAGAGTTGGGTCTCATAGAGCAAGCCTATGACAATCCTCACGAGGCCTTGTCCAGAATTAAACGTCATCTTCTAACACAGAGAGCTTTCAAAGAGGTAAATATTGAAATATGTTTAATATATTGTTCAGTTTTTGCTTAGGTAAAGACATAACTATTGCATTGTTTTGTCTTGGTCTGGTTGTTTTCCTACCAATACATATTTTTTTACAAAACAATTATTAAAACTTATGCTCTGTATCTGTTTGTAAAAATTTGTTTTATTGGTCGCATTTATTGACATGGTATTAATTATTAATACAACAATGTTGCATATTACATGGGTTTTATGGTTGAATGATATTTGGCTGATTAATGGCCCTTGAATAAAAAATCCTGTGTTGGCTTGTTAATGATTTTAGTGTCTCCTGCTACACAGTAGCTGTAACATGATCACTGATTTATTTTGTAGTTTTAAATTCTATTTGGAACACTGTTGGTGAATTAGTATATATATATTTTGTGTAATTTTCAGACTGGAATTGAGTTTATGGATCTGTACAGTCACCTGATACCGGTGTTTGATGTGGAACCCCTCGAGAAGATAACAGATGCGTACCTGGACCAGTACCTGTGGTACGAGGCTGACAAGAGACGGTTGTTTCCTCCATGGATCAAACCAGCAGATCTAGAACCACCGCCAACTCTTGTATACAAATGGTGTCAAGGTAATGTATATTATTAGATATAGGGAACAAAGGCAAATTGAAATGTATTATTAAAAATCCTTTGTGTGACAATCTTGTGTAGTAATATTTAAGATTTCATACTATTCAGATGTTACAAACGTTTCATTTGTGTGACTTCCCTGATAAAGTTATATTTAAGATTTTATGTTATTCAAATTTTACAAAAGTTTCTTTTGTGTGACTACCCTTTTATAGTAATATTAAAGTTTTCATGCTATTCAGATGTTATAAAAGTTTCTTTTGTGTCAGTACCCTTATAAAGTAATACTAAAGATTTCATGCTATTCAAATATTACAAAAGTTTACTTTTGTGTGACTACCGTTATAAAGTAATACTAAAGATTTCATGCTATTCAAATGTTTCCTATATGTGACTACTCTGATATATTATTTTACTATCATACTTCAGGCATCAACAACTTGCAGGATGTATGGGACACCGCTGAAGGGGAGTGTAACGTGATGATGGAGACAAAGTTTGAGAAGATGTACGAGAAGATAGATTTAACGCTACTCAACAGATTGTTACGTTTGATTGTAGACCATAATATTGCTGATTATATGACTGCCAAAAACAACGTTGTTATCAACTATAAGGTGCTTGTACATTCTTACTTACTTTCTCGTAGTCTTGATTTAAAGTCACATTATGCCTCTGAAACTAATAAATGTTACTTCTTTAAAAAGGGCAAATATGAGTTATTTAAATATCGGTATTGAAGCATGCTAGATACTTTTTACCTGAAGAAAGCAGCAGTAAGTGTGAAATTATTTGTTCTAAAAGTAGCAAAATGTAAGCAGAGTAGTATTTTGACTTCCATACAAAATACCAAATCACTATAGCTGTTTTATTTGCCAAATGCAACAGAAGGTAAAGACGATTCAGGTAATTTGCCTGTGAGTAACTATTTGGAATTTAAAAGCACGACAGAAATAAAAGGCATTTGAGAAATATAAATAAAAGTATTAATAGGACATAGTGGGTCTTTAAATTTATTTTACCTAATTTTGAATTCTGTAAATTCTCATAAATAAATTTGGTTGTGTAACCTGGCCATATTTACATCATTTAAAAGTTATTTAAAACAGCATTTTGTCTTATGAGTATGGAACAGTACTCTACTGCACAGACGATTTTCTTATAATCTAGCAAAAATGCTATTTTGAATAGCTTGAAATGATGTTGTATATTGTATGATATGGACGCAAGGCATCAGTATTATAAAGATGAAATTGATCATAGAGCCTGTAGTAATACTACCTGCATGTCATTTTGGTTAACAGAATTTCAGTCAATAAACATTTATGCCCCTTGATCACCTTGAAATTACATTTAAGAAGCTGTGTAAAGGATAAATTCATGTTTTGAATAGAATGCATAGATAGATTATCTAACCGGATTATATCTTAACTCCTAACTGGGACATTCAAATAATAATTGCCCCCTGTGAAACAGTAGATATAGAATAAGAATAAATGTGTAGACTTTTCATGTCATTTTCAGAATAACATGTTGCTGTTGACTATAGTTCATAACCTTGTCTTTTATAGGATATGAACCACACAAATTCATATGGTATTATTCGAGGTCTACAGTTTGCTTCGTTCATCACCCAGTACTATGGACTGGTACTCGACTTGCTGGTACTCGGCTTGATGCGAGCCTCTGAGATGGCTGGTCCCCCTCAGATGCCCAACGCCTTCCTGCAGTTCCAGGATGTTAATACAGAGGCGGCCCATCCAATTAGGCTGTACTCGAGATATGTGGATAGGATCCATATATACTTCAGGTATGACAGTATAACAAACAGTAAATAGTGTCTCATCTGTGAACTGTTGTGTCATTGGGAGAAAAAATCAATGCATAGAAAACAAAGCTTAAAAACAATGCATAATTGTAAAAATGTTAAAAAAAATTTGTAATAACACTACATTTTATTTTAAGGTTACTATGTTTTATTTGTTTTATCATGAATAAAAAAAAAATGTTTAAGTGTAGTCATAGCTGATTGTTGGCTTAGTATGGAAAAGGTCTTATAAAATATAAATAAAAGGATTAAACTTTATGATATTGGTACTCTTTGTTAAAACTGTTAAAAAAATTTCGCATTATTTCATCTGAAATGTTTTATATTAAGCTGAAGATTTTACAGCAAATAATTCTAATTTCATTTTTTGTTTATTTTAAAACAATCTATCAGCTGAACAGAAGCATCTCTAATACATTGAAACTGGCCGATTACGATATCATTAGAAACAATGAAACATTGATGTCAACACAGAAAGCTGAGATTTAGATGACGGCTAATGAAACATGATGTCAACTTGTAAGTTTACATACATGATTTATTTACCAAAACCTTTTGTGTGGTTTTAACAATTTTATTTTTGTTTTGTTTAAAAATATTAATTAAATGAGATTCGTTATAAACTTACCTATAACACATTAAGTTAGTATACGACTTATTCAGAGAATCTATGCATTGACCACATTGAGGGAAGCAGAAGAAATATCTGTTTGCCCCTATGGCAATAAATCAAGGATTTGTATTGTATTTAGATATAACAGACAACTTTAATCATGGTAACAACTTCTTCATTCTTATGATAGTCAGTTAGTAATTTGTTCTTGGATACAATTTACCTGCGGACAAGAGCTTCCATTTTCGTACATTAAAATGTGACTATGGCCCCTGGTTTAAGGAACAAAATATAGGAAATTTGACAAACTAGATTTTTATTTCTTCGTAATTCATAATGGCTTTATGATGTGACGATAACTTTCTACTATATAATATGTAAAACATTACTATAATATTACAGAGGTAGGGCAGTGTTTTGGGATATCAAGAACAGATTACCTCGGTCTGTGACAACTATAGAATGGGACGGCAGTTTTGTTTCTGTATACAGTAAAGACAATCCTAACTTATTGTTTAACATGTGTGGATTTGAGTGTAGGATTTTACCCAAGTGTAGAACAACACATGAGGAGTTCACACACAGGGATGGAGTGTGGAATTTACAGAATGAGGTATGTCATATATAACTGTCAAGTTAATAGATGTCTGATACTTACCTGTATGTAGCGCTTAATCAGTATTTGTTACAGATAGGGCGTTACAGCTGCTTGGTTTGCTTGTTTTGTTTGACCAATAGGTCCAGAGTGTCTTAGTTGAAAGGAATGTCTTATTTGTGGAAAAGTAGAAAAGTTTAGTAATTATAGTGTATGAGAGGTAATTGTTAATTTACCATTAAACAAAAACAAATTGTGGTCAGTTGGTCCAACAAATTTGGAATTTCCTAGATAGAGAATGTGTCTTTTTTAAAACAGTTGAAATACATACATAACTGAATTATTAGGCATCAATAAAGAAAACAGGTTTAGTTCAAAATAATGCATCCAGAACACTAGTATAACTGTTGGTACATAGTTCAAACAAAAATTGTCAGTATGCTCGTGTAAATTTTAGATCATTTTGATTTATCAAAATATTTTTATGATTAGATTTTTTGATTTTTGCTTCCATTCATCTCATTAAAGTACTTAGTCCCTATTATATTCTTTTGAACACTTCTAGGTGCATATTCATCATTTCATCATATACTTTTTACCTGGATTTAATTTTTGTTTTACACACAACTTTGAAGTAAAGTGATGAATAATAAATAATGTTTTTGTTTTGTCCCATGATATAGGTAACTAAAGAGCGTACAGCGCAGTGTTTCCTGAGAGTAGATGATGAATCTATGAACAAGTTCCACAATCGTGTCAGACAGATCCTGATGGCATCTGGATCCACAACATTCACAAAGGTATGTTTTCAATATGTTTAAATATGGATTCTTGATGTTCACTGTTGAACGATAGTTTTGACACTTTGGTCTTTAGCCAAGTTACAGTAAAATTTGTTGAAATTTTTCAGTTTTTGCAAGTTTCCATTTTGTTTTTGAAAACCAAACTGTTCATGCTGGTACATTGGGACAATATATATGAATCATTTTAAAAAGATTTTAAGAAAATCGTAAGTATGAATTTGTGTATAGATACATAGAAATTATATGATTAAAAAACTAGTATACAAAGCAATTTTTATTAACAAAAATCAATTTATTTTCCTATTCTACAATATTTCAGATTGTAAACAAGTGGAACACAGCTTTGATTGGATTAATGACCTACTTTAGAGAGGCTGTGGTCAACACACAGGAACTGTTGGACCTACTGGTCAAGTGTGAAAACAAGATTCAAACCCGTATTAAGATCGGTCTCAACTCTAAAATGCCCAGCAGGTTCCCTCCTGTAGTCTTCTATACACCAAAGGAGTTAGGAGGTATGAAGGCTGTTATAAATAATTCTATACCTAGAACTATTTTACTTACATTATTTAACCACACTATTGTCAGTGTGTGACTTAACATATTTCATTTTTAAGAAGAAATGCCGGAAATATTTGTAGACACTGACTGAACACAATATATGTCAGTGTCATACTAGAGAATCTCCGCAACTCTGCAAAACGTGGGTTTTTTCCCAGCAAATCCTTGGGGACAAAAGAAACTTGCAACGGTTGCGTCTTGATAACTTTATTGATAAGTGTAACACTTTAAACACTACTGTCAACTGTATTGGACCAAGAAGCTATAAATGTAAAAATCTGTTTCTTCCCTGTACTAGATGGGAAAAAAATTACTGAGATCTGGGTTATATCTATTGAATCATGACTTAGTAAATCACAATTGATTAGAAAATTTGAAAATAATTGTACAAAGTATATTTATTTATATTTGCACAAAGACTCTTGAACTTTTTTTTGCAAGACCTCCTGTTACACTTTTCGAGTAAATAAGACAAAAAATAAACCAGCAAAAGTGTTAGGTACAATAAACAAGTCAATGGTCTGACCTTTTTCTCTAGCTATTCAATGCTTGTTTAATTATAATATTCCTAATGTATTTGTGACTTTTTCCTCCATGTTAGGTTTGGGAATGTTGAGTATGGGACATGTTTTGATACCGCAGTCAGATCTGAGATGGTCCAAGCAGACAGATGTGGGTATCACACATTTTAGGTCGGGTATGTCACATGACGAGGACCAGCTTATCCCTAACTTGTACAGGTAACTATAGTACTATTTACTTTATATTATTGTTTTCATTCTGTCTGTCAAGATTTACAATGAGCCTGTCTGGCATGATATGTGTACATGGGTTGGGTAAAACTTTTGTGTTAAAATATCTGCTTTAAAAAAAATATGTAAATAAAGTTTTGAGCTATGAAGCAAGATTTTGGATCTGTCAAATATGCCTCTTGCAGGACAATGGTGTTACATAAGTGCCTGAAATAATGCTGGAGATTTTCTGTCTAGAAAGTTGCCATATCTTGGCTTTCATAGTGTTGTCTCCATTATAAAAAAAAGAAATTTGAATAAGTATAGTGTATGGTTAAATTAAGTCTGCATTTAATCTTAACAGTGTTGGTTTAACATTAAAGTCAACTTGCAAAAATGTATTTGTTATCTTTGTCAATTAAGTTAAATGTCTTGAATATGGTAGCATTTATAAATAAATAGATTCATTAACTGTTTGTGATGCAATCAAGTATTTTAATGACTATTTGAAAAGTAAACTTATTTTGTTCTCTCTTGCTAGATATATTATGCCATGGGAAAGCGAGTTCATAGATTCTCAGAGAGTATGGGCGGAGTATGCATTGAAGAGACAGGAGGCTAACGCCCAGAACCGTCGTCTAACCCTCGAGGACTTGGAGGACAGCTGGGACCGTGGTATACCTAGGATTAATACTCTGTTCCAGAAGGACAGACACACCCTCGCCTATGACAAGGGCTGGAGAGTGAGAACCGAGTTCAAAGCTTATCAGGTATAGTTTGTGACTCAGTGGGTATAACGTCATCTTGGTGCAGTAACCGGTTAACTCGTTATAAACGTTAATAGGAGTTTAGAAGTTACTGCATTAAAGTGACGATAAAGCTATATTTAGCTGTCATTGATATGCAGATAATTGTTTATACAGTGATTTAAAGTCCTACAAAGTACCTAAATTGGAAGAATAATTTTGGGAAAAATTCTGGCGAATTATGTTGTGTCTGTGCTGAATCATGCCTGAACTGCACATTTAAAAAAAATAAAAGAAATATTTAGAATATTCATTTGGAATGCAAATATTTATTTTCATTTATATCCCTTCATGAAACACATTGTGCCGGTGGAAAATAATAAATTAATTGCACTTTAGAAACAATTCCTTTGAATATTTATTAAGGAATGCAAATATTTGACTTTCATTTACATCCCTTTACCAAAGGCATTGTTAAGATCTTTACAAAATTTTTGTATGAAATAGAGAATGTCTGGTGTGATGAAATGAGACTTTCATTTATTCATTTCCATTTTTTTCCAGGTTTTGAAACAGAATCCATTCTGGTGGACACATCAGCGCCACGACGGTAAACTGTGGAATTTGAACAACTACAGGACTGATATGATACAGGCTCTCGGTGGTGTAGAGGGTATATTAGAACATACTCTATTCAAGGGGACATACTTCCCTACCTGGGAAGGTCTCTTCTGGTATGTACATATTTGTATTACATAAGATATTACTGGTTATATGCTTTATGTTGTGTAATGCCATTTGAAGTATTGAATTGAATATAAATCCAAAAGGAAATATTGAATTAAATTGGATTTCCTTATGACGGATTGTAATGACATTTTGTGAAATAGGCTAGAAGTTAGCATTGATGATGTGAAAAAAAGTGTATTGTCAAAAGTTTGCTTGCTTAATTTTGATTGAACTTTCTGAGATGTATCAAGATGAAAATTTTGAAGTTGATCAACCAGTGGTAGAGGTCCTGGTCAGACTGTATGGATGTGCAGACTGACCTGGTCCGGTACCTGTTCAAGGTGTTGCTAAGTTTTCGTTGTTAAATTCAGGAGTTATAAATATATATCTAAGTAAAAAACAGTCTGTGGCTGAGTGGTTAAGGTCTTGGGATTCAAACCACTTGCTACTAACTAATGTGGGTTTTAATCCCTCTAGGGACTTTGGATTCTGTCATTTGAGAAAGCTATCCAGCTAGAATCTGGAAGGTTAGTGGTTCTACTTGGGTGTACCTGCTTATGTCTGAAATAATGCTTAAAGGGTCACCTGAGGTCTTCCTCGACCAGTACAGCTTAAAAAGTTGCCTTATGACCTTTACAGGGCGACCCATAAAAAAATTTAATACACTGACTGTATGACAGGAAATCTCTTCTGATCTTTACATGAGAAGTTTTGGAATGATCATTACCAGACTGGTTTTTAACTGTAAAAGTAAGAGATGAAGAACATTTTCATCTCGTTCAAATGATTACCAGATGACCCTTGAAAATGTGTTCATTTGGAGCCTTACACAAATAAAGGTGGAAAATAAACAATATTTACAGCTGCTATCCTTAAGGAACATAACAAAGAAATTAGATTTGTACTTCTCTATAGTATTACACTATCATTCGTATATTAACAGGGAAAAGGCAAGTGGTTTTGAGGAGTCTATGAAGTACAAGAAGCTAACCAATGCACAGAGATCTGGTCTGAACCAGATACCTAACAGAAGATTTACACTCTGGTGGTCTCCTACAATTAACAGAGCTAATGTAAGTTTTTTTTAAATCCTTTTCAGGTTGATAATGTGTAAAAAAAGAAAACCCATCTGGTTTTATGTTGGTCAGATTTACTCATTTTAGACTTTGAAGCAGCATGCCTCCAGATTCATGCAAATTGGCATGAAAATTATTAAAATGTTTAAAAAAAAAATAGCCTGTAATATTGTCAAATAAACAATAAAATAGTTACTTACACATTGCAAATGGCGAAAACTACTCCCAAAAAGTCAGAATATGCAAAAATAGCACTAACTGCATTAGTCACACAGTGGAAATATGGTGTTAAATGCTGCAAAATTAGGCATAATACGCACATTTAACATGTAAATTATTACTTAAATTCTTAATTTTTTTTTTTACTTTTCTGAAAATCTTAAAAACTTTTTTTCTCAAGTCAGATTTTCTTAAAATATTTTGACTCATCTGGAGGCATGCTGTTTTAAGATATAAAAAAACAACTTTCATAACTGTAATATGATACATACTGCATTTCCTTTTGAACGATAATTATATAGTAATCACTGTGTTATTTCAGGTATATGTAGGTTTCCAGGTACAGCTAGATCTGACTGGTATTTTCATGCACGGCAAGATCCCCACGCTGAAAATCTCATTGATCCAGATATTCCGGGCTCATTTATGGCAGAAAATACATGAAAGTGTTGTCATGGATCTCTGTCAGGTATGTAGATTATATTTTATGAGTTACTGTATAAGTGGTTAATATTTGCGACACAGAAATATTTGCGATTTTTGAGCATTGAATTTATTCGCAAATATTTGATTAGGCAAAAATTATTTTTTCTTTTTCAGCAAACTTTCTAATATCATTTGAAAACAAGTTTTCATACAGCATCTTACATGAATAAGTTTGACTGTTTAGTTACTGAGATTAATTTTTCTCATAGCTTGTCACAAATCACAAATGTTTTAATGAAACAATATATGTGTGTTAAAATGTGTAATCAGGTCCTTTATCAAACTAGCAATGTATATTTCAAACTGTTATAGATAATAAAGGTATTAAACAACTGAATAGAATTACTACAATAATAGCATATTCTAAACATGTACCTGCTTAATTAAAGATAGCAGAAAAACAGTATTAAATTCAAGAAATCATATCTTCTCATATATTTCTGCATGCATTGACATTCGCAAAATTTTGGTGACACATATATATATCCACTTTTACAAACAATATACTTATATATCATATACAGTCTACTTCAGTTTTAACTAGATCCCTTCTTATAAACATCTATTTTCCTTTCATTTTGTACCGTTTATAGCAAGATCGCTTTAGTGGGATATTGGTTACAACTTGCATATATTTGCTGCCCAATGCGTGAATTTTCACAAGTTTTAACAATGTTGTAAGTTTGTCATATTTTCTGTATAAGTTTATCTTGTTGGGTAAATGATGATATATTTGGCATGTTTTCGCTAACAGTTTCTGGCCTTACGAAAATGATGGTCAATTAACAAAGCAATTATTGAGCAATTATCAGTCAAAGGTATCAGCCTTGTTTCAATTGCCTTGTGATTAAGAATGTTGACTTCAAACCACTTGCCCCCTCACATCTGCAGGTTTGAATCCCAACAGGGATTTTGGATATTTCATATGATGATGCTATCCCGCTAGATTACAGAATGTTGGTGGTTCTGCTCTGTCGGTACACAGCACAATCGACTCATAGTGCTTGATAGCAAAAGAGCCTTGATAATGTAAAATTTTCTAAGTTCACTAAAGGGCCATTTTTTTTCAAATCCATGTTACACTTCAAGGCCTTGAAGAGAGTTCTATTATGCTCTCAAAGAAGTACATAGAATTTCAACTTGTTTCAAAACCAGATGTCAATGGAAAATGAAAATATCTGAGGTGGTATGCAAACTTAAACGCAAATGCAAAGTCAAAAAAGGGTCATAATTCTGTCAAAATGTTTGATAGGGTTACCTCCTGTCTACAAGTTGGGGGCATAATGGTGAACAAGTGTGCAAAGGTTCAAAGCTAAATGTCAATGGACTTTGAAAATATTTCAGGTGGTACGCAAACTTTAACGTAAATTCTTAGTCAAAAAAGGGGCAAAATTCTTTGCATATCACCTCAAATATTTTCAAAGTCCATTGACGGGTGCCACACAGCACTTGAAACCTGCTGTTGTGAAGTATAAAAAATCATTGGACAATGTGTTATCTCTCATATCAGGTCAAGCAAATACAATGTTATTGGAGAATTGCCCATGTATATGTAATGAATGAAAAATTTACAGACCTGATATGAAAAATACCTGTAGCCAAGGGTTACTGGCAGGGCCTTAAGCCTGAGGGGAATCAGACTCGCTGGCATAGTGAGCACCCTACACAAAAACCCTCGGTTGACTGCGTGGGATACTAGAGTATAGGTTCCTTTCTTGTAATTGTGACATCTAGTATCCCCTTTGTTAAGTATGATTTACAAATGACACAACACAGTTCAAGTTAATTCTTTTAATTTTCATCGTGATGAAATACTTCATCAAATGTATAAAATATAGTTTATAATTCAAAGTAAGACCAGATGTTGTTAGTCCAATTCAAGATAAGACTAATTTGAAATATAAAAAATTCAGCTATATTAGCAGTAAATGTCATAAGATAATTAGGTATGGCTTGTTTTATAAAGAGACTAGGAAATTGACACACAGGGGTTATTTCATTCTATTTCTTTAATGATTTTATTGTTACTTGCATATGTTAATTTGGCATTGCTCAAAATATTGCACTGAAAATCTAGCTCCATACTTCAATCTTTTGATATAGCACAAATTATTGTTTGCTTCATGTTAGACCATTCAATGTGGGTATGTTGGTTCGTCTATTATAATAGTGGTGGCTAAGTTAGGATTGATTGGTCCTTGATCTGATAATGTCACAAATCTGCTCGGCAATTGGCTTAACATAATCAGTAGGAGGATTAAAATTAAAAAAGAATAGCTTAAAGCAAATAAAGATAAATAGTCTATTATGTCCCATACAGAGTCCCACTGCTCCAGCACTTTTAAAATTGCATATTCATGGACAAGTCTTTCTTGTCTCTCATTGTTCACAGGTTGCTCCTCTTCTTGTTCTGTAGTGGAATATGGAAGTTCATGCACTTGCTTGCCATATTTAAGAAAATATGGTAAAGAGAGAGTAATAATTTCATGATAGAAATAATGATACCATGACCTGCATGTATACATTTTTCTATAATAATTCACCAATTCTTCTGTTGTAAGTGCCAAAACTATGCAGATTTCCACTTTGTTCACACTATTTGCATTGTATAATTTAACAAATATTTCATCTATTTCTGCAGTTATTTCTGCATGGTATAGGTCCAAGCTATAAAATAACTTTTTCACCTTTATTAGCCCATTACTTTCAAGCTCTTTCAGTTTTCTGAGCACTAACCCTTGTTCTTTAGTATCAATTTTATTTTCCAACAGGTTCTTTTGTGGTATCATGTAACTAGGAAGGTTTTTATTTTCTACAGCTGATTTTAGGGAAGTAAGTGCATCCATCAGTCTTGAGAGTAGGTTCTCCACACAAAATGCATTCTGATCCATCCTTTCAGCTTGCCATAGCATTACTGTCTTCACTACATAGGAAGTGATTTCACTGCACAGCGGTTGCAAAATGTGTTTTGCTATCAGCTTCATCAGGACAAGTACCTTTGTTTGGGTGTTATTGAAGGCTTGGATTAAGTGTGTTTCTGCCAAAGTGAAAGATATTCTCCACTGTAGATCCTCATTTCTGCTGCCTTTTTGTCCTACTGGAACAACATAAACTTGCAGTGACATTACATGGGCTATAGTCTCTTGCCTTGGCCAACCACATTTTCTATCCCTGCTCTTCCATGCATCCAAAATTTCATCATCTGGTTGGCAAGGAAAAGCTCTGACAAAATCCATTTTGAGGTCATTGATATTCATGGAAGAATGGATTTTTTTTAAAATCCAATGCAAATTAAAGTGTGTGGGAATGGCTGGGCCATGTTGGCTTTTATAATATGTAATCTTATGAAAGAGACTACCTTTCTTGTAATGGAAAGCATATTTTTCTTTTGTCACGAAAAGCTTACTTGAAAGATATTTCTCACTTTTTCTTTTATCTATAGCATACTCCAGACTTTCATAAGTTGCAGGATCAGTACCATTACTCAATAGTTTCAGATAAGTGTAGCCTGCAGGTGCCTTTATTTGCTCCATTTTGAAAATCACTTTGTCATTTTCTGTAAATGTACTGTTCTTACAGCAAATTACAGAGTGATTTATATGTAGAACATCCAGATCATTACACCATGACATTCCAATACCTTCGCATAGACTGCCTACAAATATTTCCTCAATGTTATGATTGTTAAGGAAAAATTTTGTTGCGATATCTGATGCCAAGGAGCATTTGTTGTAGTGATGAATTCTTTCTTTAATTCTTTGATGGTCATAGCCACGTATGTCCAAAAAGTTGCTCATACCTTTTGACAGATTTTCTATTGTATCTGTTGTCATGATTATGTCACATTACAGCCTGAAAGTTACAATAAAATCTTTGCATTTTGAAGTTTTTTTATAAATGATGATTAATGTTATAGTAGCTAAAATATTGAGAAAGTGTTGTTCTTAAGATCAATAACAACAAGATCAGTTACTATCATGACTATTTTTTAATTTCTAGAATAGAGTAGTGTAATATTAAAATCATTTAGATTTACTCTGAACTGTTTCCGATCATTCTTCATAGCTTGACAATCATTTTGCACCATAACAAAGGCAGTAAAAAAAAAATAATGTATTTTCAGTAGGTTACTTAAATTTCTTTTAACAACTATAATTATATATATATATAATAAAATAATTGAATTAAAAAGGAAAAGAAAATAACTTACTTCAAATTTAACGTAAGCAGGTGAAAAAAACCTTACATAAAGTTATGGTCCAACATAAAGTGACACTGGCAGCAAGAGCGTCTCTCCTTGTAATGAAATTAAGCCCTAGTTTGTTATGGTAACAATATTGATCCGATAATTGACTTGGACCCTGGATTCTAATTTTAGTGTCTAGAAATTCTAGATATATTTATACTATCCAATGACATATGTTTTGGCAAGTGTGCAAAATTTTGCACAGATTTCTAAAGAGGAGACATTGACATAGATTTGAACAGAATGATGAAATACCATTAAGTCACCTAAATATAGATTTTCAATTAAAAGATAATAATAGAACAGGTAAATTTATTGGTCATGAAAATAAATAGTTTCAAATATTGACTTTGTATTTATTGTAAATAAAAAGAAAATATGGACTTATTAAATGATTATTTTTCAGTTCTCATTGAGAAAAAAAATTGTGACCCAGTGAATTAAACGTTGTGTAAAGCAGGCTTATATAAAACTTCACTTGGGATTGCTTTTAGGGCCCCTAGAGTTAAGGTCTAGGTCACTGTTTCTAAAATTAGAAAATGAATTTCTGGATTGAGATATTTTAATGCTTGATGTCTAGCAATTTTATGTGAAGATCTCGCTAGGGATTGCTTTTGGGCCCCCTAGGGTCAAGGGCAAGGTAACTGGTCACTAGAAAAAGAAAATTGGTCTTCAGACAAAATCTAGAGTTAGGAATTAAAGATTACAATCAAATTTGATGTATCATAAGCAAGCTTATGTGAAGACTTCCCTTTTGGATTACTTTTAGGCCCCAAGGGTCAAGGTGACAGCTACTAAAAATAGAAAATCAGTTTCTAGTAAATAGCTACAGTAAGGAATGAGATATTTTAATTGCTTTTTGAGTCCTATCCGATCAAGGTCACTGTAACTAAAAACTTGGTGTCCATGGCCAAATGGTTAGGTTATTGACTTCAAACCACTTGCCCGTCACTGCTGTGGGTTCGAATCCTGACAAGGACTTTTGATTTTTTCATGTGAGGAAGCCATACAGCTTGCTCATGGAACATTGCAGTTCTATTCAAGTGCAGCTTAAGTCTGTAAATATGGAAGCCTTGTAATCAGTCAAATTTTCCAGTATGATCAAAATGTATATATATTTCTCCCATTTTATATGTTATTGCCTTCCACCAGTTTGAAAATATGAATTGCCTTCCACCAGTTTGAAAATATATGTCTATAATATACCTTGATTAAGACTTACGTCATTGACTTTGAACAACATATGGTAAAGGTATGGTCAAAAGATAGCTAAACACATTATATGTACTAGTTTATTTACAACTTAATAATAATTATTTACAAATACATTTACAACTTATAAACTGAGTGTGGTATAAACGTGATATTGGAAAGAGGGGAGCAATGTAACAATCTCGATCTGAGCACGGTGTAATAGTCATTTTAATACCTATGTTACTATATATAGTCACAAAATCTAGGGTATTTCAAGGCCATTGTGGCAAGATCTAGGTCATTACGCAATCATGGTAGTCTTGCTACTCTGCATTATTTTTCCATAATTGGCGAATAAATGAGCGCACATGAAAAATGACATAATCAACTCTCAGTCACTTTTAAAATGGCTGAGCTAAAGTCACTTGCACTTTAGATGACATTGTCAAACGCATTCAACAAAGCTTAACATTGAAGATTTATAAATTCGAGAAAAAAATTAGTAACTCATCCGAAAACAAAACATGGCCCTCGGAAATTCTGATAGTAATTTCAGATAGGGGGCATCAGTATCAAGAGGAGATGCGCATATCGTCGGCTTGTACCAGTCAGACCCTTTAATTCAGAGTTATAGCCCTTTATACTCTGTGCATTAACTTGAAATAAGAACCATTTGATAGGCCTATATAACCATGGGTTGTGTGTGCTTCATTGTATTCCCTGAGGCTATCACGGTGGGTAAACTTGATACATGAACAATCAGTGGTAACTAAATGAACAACAAAGAATATTGTGCATATAAATTTTATTCTGTGAGACATTTTAGACAGGTTTTACAGATACAAATGATGAATTATATATTTCAGAAACTGTATTGTTTGCTGTGAAATTAAATCCTTGAAGGTTTTCATAGACATTGTTTTTTTTTTGTGACATACATGTAGGAAAAGTAATGTTTACATACTACATAAAACATTTTTGTAATTAATTCCTTTCCTTTTACAAAACTGTTAATTACATAAACAAATAAAGATCTATACTCTAAAATTCGGTCAGAATGTATGGTGGCAGGTACTTAATACCCAGCCTTGTGAATAATAAAACATATGCTCATAGTAACGTAGCTTTGTAGGCTTAGTTTCAAAGCGAGTGCTAGATGTTATCAATAGCTTTAAAGAAAAAGAATGAGCAAGTTGCATTTCTTTACTTCTTTAGATATGCCAAAGTACAAAGTGATAGTAACAGAGAAATCACTGTATGACTGTAGACTGATATAATACATTTTGTTCAGTAACTGTGAATTCACTTAATTTTGCAGGCATGAAGTTGTTGTGGTTTAATCAATTAGGGAATTTTCTGGGTTCTGAATTTTGTGAATTATTTAATTTTGCTGAAAGTGAAGTGCAAATAACATAATTAAAAATAATCGTAGCAGAAGAAATCAAATTTTGTTGGATCTTAAAATTTGTAGATTGGCCTATCCACATCAACCACGAAAAATAGTGCTCCATGATAAATAATGATTTTACAGTATATCAGACATATAGTGATAACTAAATGTAGGCAGTATCAGAAATGATTTGTTCTGGATCTGATTCACTGCCCATCATCAAATCAAAGGGAAATAATGGAAGGCAGAACTTGGAGAAAAATCTGCATGACACAAATGGCAGCAGGAGTGGGATGAAAATGCTTAAAATTAGTAAAATTCTCATAATGAGATAGCCTAATTTGCTTGTCATACCAGGGCTTTGTTGCAAGTCAAATTGCTCTGCAACTTGAAGTGGTATAGATTCTTGTACATTCTTGTCTTGTTCACTTTCTGTGATAGGATAATATGGGAGATCAATACTTACAGGATCAAACCCTTGTCTGCCATTACGTAAGAAGTAAGGTATCCAAAAAGAAGTGACATTGTAAAGAAAAATTTGCCACCTTGATTTTAATGTATACATTCTGGTGAAATAGATTGCAAGGTCTTCTGTTGTAAATCGAAAAAAAGCACAGGTGTGCAATTTGTTAATCAAGTTAGATGTTTGAAATGATTCAGCTATCTCTTTTATGCTTTCTATATTGCATAGTGACTCATCAAAAAACGCATGTACTTTGGTGACTCCATGGTCTTTGAGAAATGTTAGTTTACTTACAACTGACTGTTGTTCCTTTCTGGAGATCGTGTTTTCTAGCAGGTTTTTTTGTGGTATCATGTAACTGGAAAGTTTCTTATTTTCTACAGCTGTTTGTAGAGAGGCAAGTGCATCCATCAGTCTAAAGAGTAGATTCTCCTCACTATATTCCTCCCGAGGAATACTTTCAGCTTGCCATAACATAACTGTCTTGACTATATACGAAGTGATTTGGCTGCACAGTGGTTGCAAAATGTGTTTTGCTATCAACTTCATCAGGACAAGTACCTTTGTTTGAGTGTTATTAAACGCCTGGATTAAGTGTGTTTCTGCCATAGTGAAAGATATTCTCCACTGTAGATCTTCGTCTATGCTCCCCTCTTTGCCTACTGGAACAACATGCAATGGCATTGACATTATTTTGTCTGTAATTTCCTGACTAGGCCAACCAGACTTTCTGTTCCTATTCTTCCATGCATTCAGAATTCCATCTGCTTGACAAGGGAAAGCTCTGACAAAATCCATTTCCTGGTATGTTAAGTTCAGTAGGGACAGTCCGTACTTCTCAATCCAATTTTGCAGTAAATATTTGGGAATAGATGGACCATTTCGGCTTCTGTATTGTGTTGTCTTGCTTAAGAGACCATCTCCAACTTGGAAAACATCATCGTGTTTGGTCATGTAGAGTTTACTTGAAAGATACTTTCCTCGTTTTGTCTCTACAGCAGCATACTTGAGTCTTTCAAAAGCTGCAGAATCAGTATCTGTACTAGTCATTTTCAGCAAAGTGTAACCTGCAGGTGCTCTTTTTTGCTCCATTTTGAATCTCAATTTGTCATTTTGTGTAGTTGTGTTACCATGACAGCAAATGACAGCATGATTGATCTGTAGAATGTCCATATCATTTGAATAGTCCATTCCAATACCCTCACGTATGCTGCCTACAAACACTTTCTCAATGGCCTCATCTTTAGTGATACATTTAGTTGAGATATCTTTAGCTCTGGAGCATTTGTTAAAGAAGTGAATTCTTTCTTGTATTCTTTGGTGGTCGAAGCCACATGTGTCCATGTACCCACTAACCAGTGTTGACAGTTCTTTCATCGTAGATGCTGTCATGATCGGATCCCATTACAACCTGAAGTTATAAGAAAATCATAGTGTCCTTATGGATCTTTAAGTGATAAATTGTGTGAAACAGGGGCAGAAAGTGTTGAAGATTGCGTTTGTATTGAAAGCCAATGCTGAAAATTGAAAAAGTAAATGTATGAAAATAACATGTTTATGTGGTTGTAAGGCACCAAAAGTATGGGAATATTAATTTTTGAAGAATCAGATTTAATAAGTGTATATTTAAAGTCTTTCTGACTTTTTTCATAATCTTTAAATTATTTGTAGATATGCCTGAATTTTCCACATACTTATGAATGATGTCTTTGGGACGTGGAAAATAAATTGCAATTACCTCTACTGTCCATGAATTGACTCAATCAAACTGAGTCTGCAATATTTTCAATTGCAAAATTTCAAATTTTCCCCTGTTAGGCTTTCTTTAGGGATTCCATTTTTTTTTTATTTTATAAAACAGTTGGGTGGGGGGAGGGGTATGCATTTCTTGACTCAGTCTTATCAAAGCTGTACTGTTTCCTGTTCAGTTTGATAGTTATTACATAAATGGTTCTGGAACCAAAAGTGATAAGCCTTTTCCGCCAATATTATGCCAGGCCAGCCTGCTCTTCAAAGCATTCTAAAGTAGGCTAAAAAAAGTTGGCTTACTTTAAATTTTCCTTGTGATATCTCAAAATTGATAATGGAAAGTGGACAAGTTCATAAAAGAAATTCAGTGTGTATTCCTTAAACTGTTCCATATTAAACATTCATTGAGCAGCATGGAAAAAGACAGTGTAAGAATGCATGAAACTTGCATTTCACTTTTAAAGATAATATATTTTAAATCACAAAGCAAAGAGATAAAATTCACTTACTGCAAAAGTTGTTGGGTAGAAGAAATCTTTCCTGAACTTATTGTCCAACAAAAAACTACACTCCAGCAGACAAGCGTTACTATAGTATTGATAAACTCAGTTACTTGCCTTGTAACCTTGAATTCTAATTTTAGTGTTGGGAAATTCTCAATCTATTTATACTATCCAATGAAAAGCTACAAACGATTACAACACCAATCAAATAATAGAACGTGGCCAAGTTTACTTTATGTTATGATCACCTGATTTCATACAATTAAAGTTTGTTTTCTTTTTTTTATTTTGGCAAGTGTGCAAAATTTTGCACAGATTTCTAAAAGGGAGACTTTGACATAGATTTGAACAGAATGATGAAATACCATAAAGTCACACGACTAGGTTATAATAAAAAAAATATATTGACAAAAGTATACATGATACAAATGATTTAAGTACTTGTATACAAATATATGTATATTGAAACTATTTATTAATAGATTAAAAAATGAAATTCTTTTGTATACAAATATATGTATATTGAAACTATTTATTAATAGATTAAAAAATGAAATTCTTTTGTATACAAATATATGTATATTGAAACTATTTATTAATAGATTAAAAAATGAAATTCTTTTGTATACAAATATATGTATATTGAAACTATTTATTAATAGATTAAAAAATGAAATTCTTTTGTATACAAATATATGTATATTGAAACTATTTATTAATAGATTAAAAAATGAAATTCTTTTGTATACAAATATATGTATATTGAAACTATTTATTAATAGATTAAAAAATGAAATTCTTTTGTATACAAATATATGTATATTGAAACTATTTATTAATAGATTAAAAATGAAATTCTTTTGTATACAAATATATGTATATTGAAACTATTTATTAATAGATTAAAAAATGAAATTATTTTGTATACAAATATATGTATATTGAAACTATTTATTAATAGATTAAAAAATGAAATTATTTTGTATACAAATATATGTATATTGAAACTATTTATTAATAAATTAAAAATGAATTTATTATTTCTTTAAATAAGTCCTGTTGTCCTCATTTATGGTAAAAAAACAACGTAATCAAGTGAATGGATCTTTGTGAGATTTTAGGGGTTTTTTTCTCATATTTTGTTCACAAAAATTACTTTTCCCCTACATTTTGGATTACATAATATGAATAAAATGCCAGTAAAGGTAAAAGTGTTACAATGTTATCTTTGTGTTATCAACAGAAATTGGTTGAGAAGTTGTACTTCATTAAAATGTTATTATTTCCTCAGCTAATATGTTAACTTAATGCTGGCATGTAGGTTTTTCACAAGCTTTCTGTTAATATCACATAGCCAGTAATGTAAAAGTAATTTTAAGGTGATTTCATCTTATGTACATCTTGGGGTTTTGTGGTTGAGTGGTTAAGGTTGTTGACTTCAAACCACTTGCCCTCAATGCTGTGGATTCAAATCCCGCCAGGGAGTTTTGGATTCTTTCATTAGAGAAAGCTGAACAGCTAGCTTACTGAACTTGCTCAAGCCGGTGCTAGGGGGCGTGAGGGATGTTGCACTTATTCATTATCCCTCATGTACAGACTCAATCAAACCGAGTCTGCAATTCTTATGTTATTTTGTTGTGATTAATGCTTCCGAGGGATCACTTTGTTTCCAGAATTTTTTTTCATTGGTTCCACTCAGGTGCCTGAAATAATGCACAGAGGGACATATGAGGTCCTCCTTCACCAGTAAAGCCAGAAAAACTCCATATGACCATAATACAGTTTTGGTGCAACTAAACTAAACCCAAACAAAAGATATCAGGGAATATGTTCATCTGGTGAATGTTTTTTTGTGTTTGTTGTTTTTTTTATTGCTTCAAAGGGCTATGCAAATAGAATGGATGTCTTGTCACTTGCTTCTGACAGTTGTTGGTTCAATTCTCAACAAGGACTTTGATTGAAGCTATCTAGCTTGTTTATGGATTGTTTGTGGCTCTTAGATGCCGGTTTATGCCTGATTCATGGGAGGGCATGTAAAGGCTTCCTTCTGTAGTAAGGCAGGAAAGTTGCCATATGACCTTGGCAGTTTGAATGTGACTAATAAAACCCAATGAAACAAAACAACTGCAACAAATAAAGCGTACACTTTATTTACTAACTTTGAAAATATTAAAGAAAATAGAAGCAAAATGTTAAAAGACAAAAAGCATTATCTATGTAATATACGTTGTATGTTGATATGTTTGCTTTCATGATCTGCAGAGTAATAAGCTACTAATTCAGATGGTATTGTATTGAAAATACTCGAGATTGAGCAATTGGTAAACTAATGCTGCCCTTAGCATTAGTTATATGTGGAAATGTCGTTTTTGCCGTTTAACCTTTACTCTTTACTATTTGTTGCAAATAAGGTACTATTAACATTTCTAGGCAATAAAAGTTCCATAAAGAATTAAAGTAAAAAAAAATTGAATTAAGTATGGTACTGATTCATGATCAACACCAGATCTGATACTTGTTTCGAAAAATTGTTTGTTAATGTTTGATTCTGTCCGAGGCTTATAATAGCCAGTTAAATTACATCAGGAAAATCCTGCCACGTTCTTTAAAGATATATGGTAAAAGAATTGCAATGCAGAATATTGTGAAAAACACATCAAGTGGTAAAACGAAAGCTAAAGAGAGCATCAGACTTGGAATATTTGTGTTCATCAACATGAGCAAATCACAATTAGAGAACTTCCACTCATGCTGTGAGCTATAAAGCTGATTTTCAGTGTTACATTTAAGTACAGCCTGTTCTTCTTTCTCCTGTTTAGCGAAGACGTCTGAAAGGTCGAAGCTTAGCGGGTCTGAATAGCCAAGCCTGCCATATTTGTAGACAAATGGTGCTACATGAAACAGTCCAGTATATACTGCCATTTGCCATCTTGCAGAAAAGAAGAACATGGTGTAGCAGTAATCCGCAAGTTGCTTTGTTGTAAACAAGGCCATTTTACATGTTTCATATTTGTCTAGGACATTTGCTGCATAGATTTTATTCCTTACTGAAGAGACTTCTGCATTATGAGTATCTGAATTGTAAAGTAAGTCACGGACCATTTTCAATCCGTTTTTAATTAGGAACTTCAATTTAAGCAGTACTAACTTCTGCTGGTGCTTTTGCAGTTTATTTGTGAAAAGGTTTCTCTTAGGGATCATGTAGCTTGGTAGATATTTTCTTTCCACAGAGGTTTCAAGGTATTCCAGAGCGTCTTTCAGCCTGGCGATCAGATGTTTTTGTCGGAACTTTTTCTGTGGAATATTCTCAGCCATCCAGAGCATAACCGTCTTGACAACATAGGAAGTTAGGTCTTTGCATACTGGTTGTAGAATATATTTTGCGATCAGTTTCATTAAGGTCAGCACCTTTGTTTGAATATTGTTGAAGGTCTGAATTAAGTATGTTTCTGGTACTGTAAAGCTGATTATCCATTGTAGATCGGCATTGACACTGTGTTTCTGGCCAACGGGTACAACGTATGTAGGCAGTGTCATGACATGGGCGATCGTTTTTCTACTAGGCCAACCATGCTTTCTATTTCTTTCATTCCATGCCCTAAGAATCCATTCTGCTTGGCATGGGAAGGCACGTACAAAGTCCATTTCTTCTTCTTTTAAATTCATTTGGGAAAGATACTCTTTAATGAGATCATTTTTTACGTATTTTGGAATTGATGGTCCTCTAGGAGATTTGTAAAATGTGTTTTGACTGATTAATCCTTCGCCTGTTTTGAAAACGTCATCATTTTTCGTCATAAAGATTTTACTTGAAAGGAATTTCCCTTGTTTTCTCTTTACCAAAGCATATTTGATTTTCTCTAACTTGGTGCAGTCATTAGTTTCTTTGTTCAGTAGCTTAAGAAAAGTGTACCCTGCTGGGGCTTTTTTCTGTATCATTTGAAACACCAGTTTGTCGTCCGATTGGATATTTCGTCTGTCTTTAATGCAGGTGATTCCATGATTTATCTGCAAGATGTCAAGGTCATTGAAGTAAGGTAATCCAATCCCTTCACGCCGACTTCCAACAAATATTTTTTCAATTTCATCAGTTTTAAGAATTCTTTTAGTTGAAATGTCTTTTGCCTTGGAACTTCTGCTGTTTGCATGGATCCTTTCTCGGATTCTTTTCCGATCGAAGCCAATATTGTCCAGTTCCTGACTTACACATTTCGACAGCACTTTCTTCGAAACTTTTTCCATAATAGTTTCCCATTACTACCTGCAAAGGATTAAATTTAACATATTCTATAGATTATAAATGCAGAGTTTTGATATGGAAATTATTGCTATGTACCAGTTTAAACCTGGTTTTGCTAAATATTTCAAATGGGCTCGTCCATCTTTCAATTGGGATATAACCATTCATCATTTTTAGGGAACATTTAAAAATATGCACTAACTGCAACAGCAAACAGTGCATACCAAGATAAGATGGCCCTACTTATCATGGTCTGCACCGTGGTTGCATGGGTAGGATCAGTTGCTGGCAACAAGTTAAAGGTATTAGATCTGTCTGGCCAAGGGTACAGTGCTGCACTTACAACAGAATGTTTAAAACACAAAAAATGCTATAATAATGCATAAAGAATTGTATTGAAAATGGTTTTGTACTTAACAACAAAATAACCCAATTCAATGTCATTACAGAGACCAGAAGATATTGTTTTTCTCATATTGGTGGTAAATACACATTACAAAGTTGCATTTATTACTATGAAGATTTTGTCTACCCATAATAGATTTGAATCTTTACAATTTGTATTCATAAATGGAGCGTTAGAACAGAAAAGAATTATAGACAAACTTACTTGCAATTAATGCCTTTGTAAATTTCTTCTTTTTTTTAAAGAAAAAATAAATAACTGAATAAACTCAAGACAGGGTTGCTACTAGACTACCAGACACTGTACAGCAACACAACTATAGTGGGAAACCCAGTCTGGATAAAATGAGTCATAGTCAAGCTACCTCTTGTTTGTTTTGATAGCTTTATCGATAAAATCCTAGTGCTTGACCTAGTTCAAGTGCAAAAATACTGCACAACATAACAAAAATAACCTTGAATTCTTATTATAGTAACAGGAAAATCCAGATTTATTTATACACACCAATAGATTGTTTTTGATGTATTTAAGCCAATGGAAGTTAAGAACGTGGCTTAAGATTTGTACTATCAGATAAAGAAGGGCGTACATTGATTTATTGTAACCCTTCTCAATTTACATCTGGCAAGTTTCCAAAATTTTTGCACTTTGTAATTAGTGGTAGACAGATAGACAGATTTCGAAATTTCATTTTTTTTTAATTTTTTTTTATGGGGGTTAAAAAAAAAGAAAGGAAAAAATGGTTTAAAGAAAGCACAGTTTATCTGTAGACTTTTCTGTCTCATCAGATTAATTTTTATCTGTTAATATCCTTCTAAATTAAAGGTTCATTCATGTTATACATGTCTAATTTTAGCATTTTTAAAACATGTCTAATTTTAGCATTTTTAAACTGAAGTTCTTCAAATGAAGAGTGGGTTGTACTGTTGAAAAATCAGAGTAGCCTAGATCCAATGATCTCATACACTGCTAAAATTCATGCTATGGACATTTTGCTAAGTTTGCTATGCATGCTAAGTTTGGTTCATTAATAGTTTAAGGGATTTCAGTATGAAAAAGTCAGTAGTATTGAGCATAGCCAGACTTAACAGATGTGCATGCGCTAGGTAAGACTGTGTTCTAGTGACATAGGTCTGTCTACAGCTACATACTTATAGTCTTTTGTTATAAGAGTTTTGTTGGAACATTTATGAATAATGGAATAATGCAGCATTTCTTTATGACTTTGTAACTCTGTGGATTATTCTGTCAAAATATACCTTAACCTGCTGAATTTCACCACAGAGGCAGAAGAATTGCGGCGTGATCGTAAGAGGTATAATAGGTTCGAATAACTAGTCTATGCATCGCTTAGCTAAGGTGAGGTGGTTTTGCATACCTGAGGTTAGCCAAAATCATCTTTCCTGTTTTGGCGCCATATGACCTATACTGTGTTGGTGTGCTGTAAAACCAAACAAACAAATTGGTGTTCAGCATGGAAATTAATCTTCAAAGAAACTTATTTCTTACATGTATTTGAATATTTGATCATAGTAGAAAATTCAAATGAGAAATGTTTTGAAATATTTCAGGTATTTGATCAAGAGTTAGATGCCCTTGAGATAGAGACAGTACAGAAGGAGACCATTCATCCACGTAAATCCTACAAGATGAACAGTTCCTGTGCAGACATACTACTCTTTGCTGCTTACAAGTGGAATGTCTCCAAACCTTCATTGCTTGCAGATTCAAAGTGAGTACAATCCCTAATGATGTTGAATTTTTAAGGAGCTCCACTGAGGTTAAAAAGCCTAAAAAAATATATAATTTGAAATTCTTAAATAGATCAAGTGACTTTAAATGGAAAAATCTGCATAGGATAATAGTGAAATAGTCAGAATTAATATGAATATGAGTTTTTGGGCGATTCTTGTAAAATTTGAGTGAAAAGTGTTGCAATGCTTAACAATCCTAAATGATTAAATAATTGAAGGTGTATTTCTACATACTGGTCGGGGACCATCAACCGGACACTTTTTAAACATTTTTCCGTACAGATTTTATAATTTTTAACATAGAGACCTAAAAATTTGACACAGTTCAGCTAGGTTCTTCTCCTAACTAACAAACTAGTTTGTTTATTTCTGATTGCATGGACACTTATATCTGAGGCTTACAGGGAGGGTATCAAAATTACCTAAATTGTCTACACTACAGTACCATGTGTCCGGACAGATATGTACATGACATGATTTAATTCAGATAAAAGTTTGGGTGTTTTGATTTGTGATTTTCAACATGATAAACAATATTTCAGCAGCAAATGCTTAAGTTTTGGATATTCTATTGTTTACTCGCAAATGATTATAGCTGGTATATGAGGTCATGCATTGCTTTCTTGACCCCCAAATTTCAAAGTCAACATTTTTGAAATATACACTGAAATATTACCATTTAAGGAGGTTGAAATAAAATTATTTACTTAATTATAGAAGAAACATGCATTTATTGTTGATGAAAAGTGACTGACAACCACTTTACAAAGAAAATACTAAATTAAGCATTTAATGGGCCGTCCGGGTTTGGTGGTTGTCCGGTTTTGGTGGTCCCCAACCAGTATAGGTTATTATACTTAATTAGAAAATATGTTGAAATTAGCATAAAAACCAGATGGCCAAACAAGAAAAAAAATCAAATTGGTACTATTGTTGCTTACCACAGAAGTGTCATGTTTCATGTTATGAACTGATACATTAGTAAGGACATTAATTAATCATTATTTAATTTATTAATTGTCAGTCAATTAATGAATACTTTTATTGTATTATCAGAGATGTGATGGACAATGCCACGACACAGAAGTACTGGTTGGATATACAGTTGAGATGGGGAGATTACGACTCACACGATGTCGAGAGATACACCAGGGCCAAGTTCCTTGATTACACAACAGACAATATGAGTATCTATCCGTCACCCACTGGTGTTCTTATTGGCATTGACCTTGCATATAACCTTCACAGGTATGTCGGGTCTACTATGTTTTTGGGGTTTTTTTTCTGGGGGAGGGGGGGGGGATCATTTGTAAAAATTTCCCAGTCATTTCCTTTCTGTCTGGTAATTTGAACTCTTCAACTTGTTTTTTGCAAGTGAAGACAAAATACTTAATGCAGTATTATTTATTTGAAACAGATTTTGCAGAGAAATAGATTTAGACGTATTGTTGTAAATAAGCAAATATGTACTCTGCTAAGATCTTTGAACCTGCAGATCAAAGATCTACAGAGATCTTACGGCTTTCTTTGTTAAGACTGTCCTCATAGAGTGTCTAGACACAAAGTTTGTTGATTAATCTATAGTGTGTCATATTTATGCAAGGAGTGGTTTTCTTCTATTATGCTATATATATAATTTTATGTACTATATTTTTTTTTGTACAGTGCATATGGTAACTGGTTCCCTGGCGCGAAGCCACTGATCCAGCAAGCCATGGCAAAGATCATGAAAGCCAATCCAGCTTTGTACGTGTTGAGAGAAAGAATCCGTAAAGGTTTGCAGCTGTACTCCTCGGAGCCCACTGAGCCCTACCTGAGTTCACAGAACTACGGGGAGCTGTTCTCTAACCAGATCATCTGGTTTGTAGATGATACTAATGTGTACAGAGTTACCATTCACAAGGTAAGATTTTCATGTCTTACGTTTCATATTTAAAATCATTTTCCAATGAAAAACAAAAATTTATAGTACATTGTGGATTCATGCCACTTTGACCGCCTCCGTGGTTGAGGGGTTAGAGTCGATGACTTCTAATCCAGTTACCTCTCTGGCGTTAGTTCGATCCCCGGGAGATGCTTTGGTAGTTTAGCACAGAGGAAGGTAGTCTAGTACTGGTGTAACTCTCCAGGAACAATGGTTAGGAAAATACCCGCCTATATGACTGAAATACTGTTGGGAAAAGGTGTAAAATTAGGGTTTCATAATCGGACAAAACTCATAATCGATCATCAAAAATAATCGAACCACCCTTTTCGATCAATCATCGATTATATAATCGAAACATTTACATGAGCTCCACTAAGGTCAAAAAACCCAAAAATATAAAATTTGAAATTCTTGCATAGTTCAAGTGAAGCACTTAAAATTGGGAGGGGGGGGGGGGGGCGGAAACTGCAAATGATAATAAAGAAATATACTCCAAGTGAAATTGAAAATGGGTTTTTTACAAGACTTTAGCCAAGTTTCAGGAAATAACTGTTCACTTAGTTATTTTGCACAATAAAAAAAATATTCTGGAAAAATGTAGGAATAATCTGAAATTTTGCAGGCAAGTAATTAGTTCAGACCTTCATCAAATGATATTGAAGTCTTAAAATAAAAGTTCATGTTTTTGTGTCTCCAAGAAACCTCAGGGAAGGAAAAGACAGGTTATATTTAATGTCATAAATTTGATTGTATTTTTCCAGACATTTGAAGGTAACTTGACAACCAAACCAATCAATGGAGCCATTTTCATCTTCAACCCTAGAACTGGACAACTTTTCTTGAAGATTATTCATACATCAGTATGGGCTGGTCAGAAACGTCTTGGACAGGTATGCAAAACATTGAATAGTCAATTGAATGATGATGTTTTCATTATGCTTTAAACCTATTCATTGCCATCATTGAATAATGGCAACTGCAGTACAACTTACTGTTTATTAAAGAATCTTGGGAGATAAGTAGTCTGTCACATTATGCCTCAGAAACAAATTACTTCTTCAGTGATTTTCCTTATATCAGACTCTGAAAAAAGGCCTCTTCCCAATTGGAATTTTCTTTAAAATCATGCAGTTTTGCAAAATCTTAACTGAAACCAGCTTTTTCACTTCCCAAAACAGCAATTTTAGTGATAAATTTTCCCAAAATCTAGAGGCTAAGGCCTCTTCCCAATTAAGTGAGAAAAGTCACTGCTTCCTTTAAAACGGCAATTGTGAGTTTTATTGTATTTAATTATCGGTATTAGAGCATGCTACATGCTTGTTACCTGAAGGCTTAAGAAATAAGTGATAAATGTTAAATTATTCGTCATAGAAGTAGCAACATGTAAACAAAGTAGTATTTTGACTTCCAAACAAGATACAAAATCACTTTAACTATACTATTTGCCAAAAGCAACAAAATGAAAAGATGGTTCTGGTAATTGGCCAATGAGTAACTATTTAGAATCTATAAAAGTACACCTAAAATAAAAGATTTTTGAAAATAAAAGTATTTTAGACATAATGATAATAAGAACAATTTTATACAAATTTTACCTTTTTCCTGTGTACGATTTCAGCTTGCCAAATGGAAGACAGCTGAGGAAGTTGCTGCTTTGATTAGATCTCTACCAGTAGAAGAACAACCCAAACAGATCATTGTCACACGTAAAGGCATGTTGGATCCCCTCGAGGTCCATCTCCTTGATTTCCCAAACATCGTGATCAAGGGCAGTGAACTCCAGCTACCTTTCCAGGCTTGCCTTAAGGTTGAGAAGTTTGGGGACTTGATATTGAAGGCAACAGAACCACAGATGGTGTTGTTTAATTTATACGATGATTGGTTGAAAACTATCTCATCATACACTGTAAGTGGTTAATATGCTAGTTGTTTTAATGTTTTTGTTTGCGATTAAAGGAGTTTCAATGATGTCCAAGAGCCCTTTAAACATAAAATTTGAAATTCTTATGAAGATCAGTTAGGCCATATAACACAGAAAAAACATGGAAGAAAAACATGAAAAAGATGATAAGAAAATATACTCAAAATATATCAAATCAAATTTTTGTGTGATTTATAGCCCAATTTGAATATAAAATGTTTAAAAGCTTTTCATTTTCAAGTCATTTTGGGTTACTTGAAAATAAATTTTTAAGAAGAGTCCATATAAAGGTATTTTTATGATTTCATGATTATTTATGTTTTATAAATTCTGCAGGCATTCTCTCGTCTAATCTTGATTTTGCGAGCATTGCATGTGAACAATGATCGTACAAAGATCATTCTGAAGCCAGACAAGACAACAATTACCGAGCCGCATCATATCTGGCCGACACTGTCAGACGAGGAGTGGATGAAGATTGAAGTACAGCTGAAAGAACTTATTCTTGCTGATTATGGCAAGAAAAACAAGTGAGTTAACATCTGTCAGCATGATTCTTATGCGCTTGATATTTATAGAGAAAAAAAGAATAAAGGGGTGGGGGAAAATCCACTGCTAAAACAGCTTTAGAATAAGTATTTTAAAGGTTTTTAGATTTTGCTAATAGATTAACAATTGGAATGATTGTTTCTTTTTTTATGGACATTCCATCAAAGCATGTGAAAGAGTAAATAACATTCTCATGTATGAATGTAATGTTAGATATATTGCTGTAAGAAAGGGGAGACAATAAAGGTAAATTATGACTTTACAATAAAGATGTATAATATTTTCACAGTGTGAACGTAGCCTCTCTGACACAGTCTGAAATCCGAGACATTATACTTGGTATGGAGATATCAGCACCCTCGGCCCAGCGACAACAGATTGCTGAGATTGAGAAACAGACAAAAGAACAGTCCCAGCTTACCGCTACAACAACAAAAACAGTTAACAAACATGGCGACGAGATCATTACTTCAACTACAAGTAATTACGAGACTCAAACATACGCTTCAAAAACTGAGTGGCGTGTTCGAGCGATCTCCGCAACAAACTTACATCTACGTACAAATCATATTTACGTGTCCTCTGACGACATTAAAGAGACAGGATATACGTACATTCTACCGAAAAATGTGTTGAAGAAGTTTATTATAATATCAGACTTGCGTGCTCAGATCTCGGGATATTTGTACGGAGTTAGTCCCCCTGATAATCCGCAGGTGAAGGAGATCAGGTGTATTGTGATGCCGCCACAGTGGGGTACACATCAGACTGTACATCTACCCAACATTCTACCAGAGCACGAGTACTTGAAGGTTTGTACATACTTTAAGTGGTTATATAATCAGTTTATAATGCCTGCTACTATATAAATAACAAAGTTTGGGGTCTTCCAATGTCATTAAGACAGGATTTAGTCATTGTGCAATTTCAACCTCCTTGCTTTTTAATATTTTTCATATTTGCAAAATATGCCCGTTATGGGTGAGTAATGGAGCATACATGCTAAATGATGTATACATTTTTCAGATGTTAGCTAATAGGTAGAACATGGATCAACCACTGAGTAGGGCAAAAAAATTGTTAAAATCAGGATAAAAACAGAAAAACTAGTGAAAAACTCTAAGGCCTGAATGGTAATCTATGGGACTAATGGCATATTGATGAGCTGGTACCAATCAATCTTGCTCATGCTAATTGCCCAAACTATGCATTTACTCTAAAGAAATTCAGTCTGAGATCGTTGTATTAATTGGGTTAAGGACCAAAAAATGCCAAGTTTGTTTCTGTTCCCACCATTTGTCATTTATATTAGATATATATTTCAAGTGCAGGTTTAACTATTTTGATAAAACTAAATTCTACTGGTAACATATTGTATACAGTCATTGGAATTTGGTCTTACAAGGCTAATATAACTGATACAGCATCTTTTCCCATGTAGTTTTGTTGTATATCACAGATAATGTTCATTATTTCAGGAAATGGAGCCTCTAGGATGGATACACACCCAGCCTAATGAGTTGCCCCAGCTCTCCCCTCAGGATATCACCACACATGCCAAGATCATGCAGGAAAATCTCCACTGGGATGGGGAGAAAACGGTCATCATTACATGCAGGTATAGTAACATTAGTGATCTTTAAGATTCTGCCATACTTTGATAACGTTAGTGATCTTAAAGATCCACTGTTCTAAACTGTGTGATTATTTGAAAGATGAAAATCAACATTACATTTGGATATTCAAAATTTTATAAGTACATATTTTAAAATATTTTATATCTAATGTTGATTTTACAGTTGTATAAACCTGTTTTTCTTTGTCTCTTACTGCCAGCAAGCATAGCACTACATATGTACAAATATTTACTGTTTATTTTCTAGTTTTACCCCTGGATCCTGCTCATTGACCGCCTATAAACTGACCCCAAGTGGTTACGATTGGGGACGTCAGAACACAGATACGGGTAACAATCCAAAGGGTTACCTCCCCTCACATTATGAACGTGTACAGATGTTACTCTCGGACAGGTTCTTGGGATTCTTCATGGTGCCTGCACAAACATCGTGGAACTATAACTTCATGGGTAATTACTTTGTTTATTATACCAATCTTATTTGATGCTGTTTGTTTGAATCCTATCGGATGCCTAAAATTCTTTTTGCATGATTATGGAAGAATGTAGCAAGATCACTTGTAGCAAGATCACTTGCGTTATATGGGAGGTTTTTCTTTGGTCGGAGCTCATACATTCCTGAATTGAATCATTTTTATACGCCCGTTTGAAAAACGGGACGTATTATGGGAACGCCCCTGGCGGGCGGGCGGCGGGCGGGCGGCGTCCAATTTTGTCCGGAGCATATCTCCTACATGTATGGAGGGATTTTAATGAAACTTCATATATAAATGTTCACCACTATGAGGAGCAGTGTCGCGCACATGAACCAGGTCTCTAGGTCAAAGGTCAAGGTCACACTTAGAGCTCATTGAAAAATGCTTGTCCGGAGCAAAACTTCCACATGTATAGAGGGATTTCAATATTACTTGGCACAAATGTTCACCATTGTGAGGCGGAGTGTCGCGTGCAAGATTCAGGTCCTTGCGGCCAAGGTCAAGGTCACACTTAGAGGTCAAAGTTCAGATAAAAAATGAAGATGTGTATATGGACCATTTAGTCATCATTTATTGAGGGATTGTAACACAAATGGTCATTATCAAGACTATGGCTGTGATACATATAATTTAGGTCAATATATACAAGGTCAAGGTCACTAAAGATGATGAAATATCCAGATTTTGTAAATAGAATTTAATCAAAGGGAGACAACAAAGTTATTACTTTGTTCATAAATGACTTACACAATTACTCCCCTTGATCTATTTTCTAAAAATAGAATTTAATCAAAGGGCATGAAATAATCCTCTTTCTTGGACTTGAGTATGTTGTAAAGAATGTAACATTTATTTACACATGTTTCATTCATTGGTCAAGATACTTAACTGTGATAACTATGGTGTTCTGTAGACTTGGTATTTGTTCATAAAGATCATACAGTAATTACCTTATCAAATGTAAATACTTTCTCATAGAAATTTAATTATATTTTAATTTTCAAGTAAATATCAGTTCAGCTCATTCAAAGATTAAGAATTGTAATGAAATGTATTTCCCTAGAATAAAATCTTAAATCAGAATTTTTTTAGTTATTAAATTACATGTACTTTTTATACGCCCGTTTAAAAAAAGATAAAAATATGAAGATGTGTATAGGGACGATTTAATCATCATTTATTGAGGGATTTAACACAAATGGTCATTATAATGACTACGGCTGTGACACATGTACTTTAGGTCAATATATGCAAGGTCAAGGTCACTAAAGATGGTGAAATATCCAGATTTTGTCTGGAGCATATCTCCTACATGTATGGAAGAATTTTTATAATACTTTATGGAAATGCTCACCACCATGATATGTATTGCTCCATGCATGATCCAGGTCTCCAGGTCAAAGGTCAAGGTCACACTTAGAGCTCATTGAAAAACGCTTGTCCGGAGCAAAACTTCTACATTCATAGGGGGTTTTCAATATAACTTGGCACAAATGTTTTTCATTGTGAGGCTGAGTGTCGCATGCAAAATTCAGATCCTGCGACCAAAGTCAAGGTTACACATAGAGGTCAAAGTTCAGATAAAAATTTGAAGATGGTTATAGGGACCATTTAGTCATCATTTATTGATGGATTGTAGCACAAATGGTAACTATCATGACTACAGGTGTTACACATTTAATTTAGGTTAATATTTGCAAGGTCAAGGTCACTGGAGATGATTAAATATCCAGATGTTGTCCGGAGCATATTTTTCTACATGCATGGAGGAATTTTAATGTTACTTTTATAGAATTGTTCACCACCATGAGACGTAGTGCCCTGCACATAAATCAAGTCTCTAGGTCAAAGGTGAAGGTCACAGAGCTCATAGAAAAACACTTGTCTGGAGCAAAACTTCTACATGCATAGAGGGATTTCAATATAATTTGGCACAAATGTTCATCATTGTGAGGCTGAGTGCCGTGCATAAAATTCAGGTCCCTGCGACCAAGGTCAAGGTCACACATTCTGTGCATATCTTCCCTATTGATTTGTTTTAAGGTTCATTTAACAACACAGTGCCAAGAATAAAAACTTGCTTGCTAGATAACACTTATCCATAATGCCCCCATCTCCATCTAAAGCTTTTTCGTAAACGGGCGTATTTTGTGACTATGGCACCCTTGTTTATAATTAAATAGCTTTTTCCTCCAGTAAAGCTTTAAGGTCACTTAAGCTTAGTCAAAAAAAGCAACTTTAAAATTAATAAAGAAAATGTGAGGATTATAAGTCTAGAATTGGGCAGAAAGTATCTGAATTTTGTTGACATATTTGGCATTAATTGAAAATCATACATATAGGACTTTGTTGACCTGATCAATAGAAATTTGTACTTGCTAGGGCCTTAGCTGCAAATTTGTTGTCAGCCTGTAATAAAAATCACAATTTGGTAATGGATGTTTGTGATGAATTAACTCACATTTTTACTTGTAATTCATATGACTGTTTTTAAATTTTATAAAAATGCTTCACAGGAAAAACTTTTTACCATTTAATGCAAAATTTACTATATCTTACTTTCACCAATACATACACTGAAATAATACAACTCTTTACTTGGAAAGTAGAACAAATGAAATCTTTAAAAGAACTGTTTATGCCAAAGTGCTGATATGTTAATATGAAAGTAAAAGCTCAAAATTTATCGGAAAAATCATTGAACACAACTTTTAGCAGAAAATCTTTTAACACCACTTTACAGAGAAATAATTATTATCTCTATTCGTACATTTCAGGTGTACGTCACGATCCCAACATGAAGTATGAGCTGATGCTGTCTAACCCGAAGGAGTTTTACCATGAGGTACATAGACCCTCACATTTCCTCAACTTCAGTCAGATGGAAGAGGGCGAACAAATTGGTGCCGACAGAGAAGATCTGTTCTCTTAATACTGGTGTAACAGTAAAAATTGTGTCACAGTTAAAATTGAGAGTAGTCACAGTTAAAATTGTGTGACAGAGGAAGGTGACTACGTCAACAGTCATAAACTAATGTTTGAAGAGATGAAGGACATGAGTAGTACTTTGGAAATGTTATCTTGAACATTTGAAGAAAAATACACATATATGTTCATAGTTGTTATAAATGAAAAGTGTCCAATCATTTTTCCAGATGTTTATAAAGATTACAGTTTTCATATATGTATATGCCCGAAGGTTATTGTGAGTTATGACTTTTGGGAAAAAGATGTTTACAACTGAACCATTGTTGTTTGATCTAAAATGAGAGTTGTTTTCCTCGGAAATTTAAAGAATTTATCAATACAATCACACTAAACAAAAAACCTGTAAACAAGTTCACATATTATGTTGTCATAAAATGATTCAACTTTGTTATAAATCAAATATTATATCAGTTCTTGATAATGTGACCATTTTAGTGCTTCTAAATTGCCTTTTTCCAGTTTTGTATATAATAATTCATCCTCGCCACATGTATGTTAGGTATTGTTTTATCACAATCACCATTACATGAGTGTATGTGTTCATATTTTCTGCCCCATTGTCATATTATGTTTTATTGTATGAATGAATGAATTAAGCAGTTTTGTAAATAAATTAAAAGTTTCATATATGTTTAAGGTATTATTAAGTTGATTAATTCATCAACTTTTAATAAGGGGCTTGACTGTTTGGTGTGTAAGAAAACACAAAGAAAAAGGATGGATACTTATCTTGTGTAATAAAGTCTGTGAGGTGGAAATGAAGAAAGAAAGCTATAAAAGATATATGCTCTTTCATGGTCATGCTAAAAGTAATGTTTAAGGATATGTTTCAATCAGGAATACGAAATTGCAATTCTCTTGTGAAAGTGAAAACTATACAAACTGATTTCCATTTTAAATTGTTCTAAAAGTTTACACTTCATACTATTTATGTAACATTACTAAATTTGCCTTTAATCTATAATGTGGTTTATAATATATTTCAAAGTTCATTTTGTAAATTGGAGTATTGACAAGTACATAAAAATCGATGAGAATCTTTTCAATAAAATTTGAAACCATTTCTGTGTTATTTTGTAATTATCTTTTATGTAGTTTGAACTTAATCTGAAAGTATTAAATTACCCTACTGGTAGATGTTGATTAACCAACAAATGTTCAAGGGGAGTGGCGGCATAATGGTTTAGATATCCCGAACTAAACCCAAGGATCGTGGGTTTTAACCCTTCTTTATGTCATAACGCTGTTTCTTCGTATGACACCACTACAGGTTAATTGGAGAGTGGTTCAAATATACTTCAAACATTCTTCAGAATTTAGCTACACATGTTTAAACTTATTTAATCAACAGAGGTAAACTTTTAAACATAGCAGAGAACGGGAAATCAGTTTCTACATTAGTTCCTTTTTGGAGATGGTAATTCAATTGAAAATGTAGTAGTATCTGTGACTATAAATACAACGTTCTATGATTCTGTTTATCCATCTTAAATCGGTGTCCTTACAGTCAGTTGAATATAGTAAGTCCCAGATTGAACGATACATTCTCTTCAGAATTTAACGTAGCATAGTTAGAAATCACTTGCAAGAAATTTGAAAGTTATGCGTTTTCGTTCTATATTTTTATGAGAGTGGGGTATTGAAATATTAAAACAAAGATCAACCGGAAAGAGTGGCATTCTATGAACGCATCCCCAAGCACAATCCAGCAATAAAGGCTCAACGGCAAGACGCCCACGATTGACTTGACCTCAAGTAAAGCTTGAAAATCGTCACATCTGACCTTTGTAACGTCAGTGTTATTCAAAACCCACAAAAAAGTTAATGTTCTGAGTAAAATGTATATTACAAAATGCTAATGACATACAAAAATATCATTGTATAAAAACTGGTTTCTTTGAGTCCATGTGATAACTTTATTCAAAATCGACAACGTGGTCATATTAATTAGTCAAAAAGGCGAAAAAGCTTCATGTGTATCATAGCCATGTTCCTCCGTGGTCGAGAGGTTAGAGTCGATGACATCTAATCCAGTTACCTCTCTGGCGTGGGTTCGATCCCCGGGAGATGCTTTGGTAGTTTAGCGCGGAGGAAGGTAGTCTAGTACTGGTGTAACTCTCTCCAGGAACGATGGTTAGGAAACTACCCGCCTATATGACTGAAATACTGTTGGGAAAAGGCGTAAAATCAAACAAACAAACAAAAACTATACGCCTATTATATTAATGTCCTTCCAGTCAGTTTCAATTTAATCAGAATTTAATGTACATATGAGTAACGCATAAATGATTAAATGACAACACAACAACAACAACATTGATAGGGCCATATTGTTTTATTTCAAAATTCATGCATGAATAGATTAACTAAATTATGTTAAATCGCAGTTGTATCTCTTTATTTTCCACTAAACGACATATCTAATTAATTTAAGAGATAGTTTTTGCGTTCATTGAACGCCGCCTTTCCTTGTTGATCTTGTTTATCATATTTTGTCACTCATATTTCAACTTGCCATGTAGTGGGGCGGGAAATAAGGTCTCTGCTGTCAAAATAGTGCAAATTGTGATACAAGCATGAAACTTTCAGGAAATTATCTTTAGACCATGTAGATTTCAAAAGTGAAGTGGGCCCAAAAATATCTCTGCTCATTCAAGATGGCCGCCATTTTCAAGATGGCCGCCATGTAAATTTGATGTACATAATAGATCATTCATTCCAATTTTTTGTACAGACCTGAAACTTACAACAAAGCATGCATATAGTTTCCCCTTTTCAAAAATTTAAATCTTTAAGCAATTTCTCTTGCAAATTTCTTCAGAATCCAAGATGGCGTCCAATATGGCTGCCAATATAATGAAATTTGATATATCTCTTTTGTAGTATAATTTTTTTTGCACACGGTATGCGTATTTCCATATAAAATTGTGAAATATATTAGAAAAAAATCAAATTTTAGGTTAACCACATTGTTAGTCATGTTTTTAGTTTTTTGTACAAAAAGAAAATTTTTAAAAAAATCAAAGAAAAAGTGCCATTTTTTTCATTTTTCTCTAACATAGTTTTCTAGGTCTATGTAAAAAATTACAAAAGTTACATAGTTTCTTAAAGTGTATTTGATATTCAATCAACACTATGTTTTATTGTATAATTGTAACAAAAACAAACAAAAATGTGAAGGTTTTATACTTATTAAAAGTGGGTGGGGTAAATTTATCAGACAATTGTAGTACAAAATAACGTTTTTTAAGAATTCTTATGCAAATATTCACTGTAAAAGTATTTTATTGTATTAAGGTATTTTTGTTTTCCTTCAGGTCTAAAGGGTGTACTAAAATATCAATAAATGCAGATACAATCATATGTATACATTCAGTTATTAAATGTGTTTGCATGATATAAGTTGTTTCAATAGTCATAATATAGCTTGATAATTGTACAGAAAGAAGACTGAATATTCATCAACGAACCATATGTTAGATAAAATCATGCCTGGACCTTAGTGAAATGTTGTCTATTTATGAATACAATTATTTCCTGCACAATTTAGTCTTGCTAAAAGCTTGTAACAGAATGATTCAAAGTTATATTTACTTGCACATCATTGTAACCAAGTATAATTGAATAAGTACCGTCCATTTCTAATAACTTATGTAGACATGATATTTTCAAAAGAAACAAAAATTTAGGCGACTGATACATCATATTATCTAATGACTAGGTGTGCTAAAATAGGTATCAATAAAACCGCTTGACCCACATAACAAACATAGCTTATACTTTGGAATATAAACTAAATGTATTCCTACTTTATTTTTCCCATAAAACAAGAGAGCATTGTTGACCCTAGATCACGCACCTAAGACCCACTGCTAGAAAAGGTCTATAATTCTTTTATACTGAAGAATGCTAAAATCATATAAGGAGTATCTTTTTTTCACCAGTCATGATTTAAAGAATCATGTCCAATAACTAGGCTCTCAGAACTACAAGAAGACTCATATAACTATATTCCAATAAGAGTCCATGTAAACTAAGTGATTTTGACCCTATGCCAATAGTTTATAATCTTTATATAGCATCACAATGTTATGATATACGATATTTTCTCTTCTCTGTGCACATAGTTTCGGAGAAGAATTTTAATATATAAAACAATGTAAACTAAGTGTCAGGGAAAGCCATTTTGGACTGCAGGAACATGATTTAAAGGCCCTCGCGAGGAACACAGTTTTTAAAGACTTGTGTAGGGAATCGCATTGAAGTTGTTTTGTTGTTGATGTTATTAAAAAAAATCAACAAACAAACTGTAATGCCTAGAGCTTAGATAGTCAAAATATAACCTTGCCAAGTAAAGAAGACCTCTTTAAAAGTAACATAAAACACTTTTGTATTATTAAGTGTACATGCAATAAAAAAATCTTCTCAAAAGTCAAAATGCATAGAGCACAGGTACTAAGCTGGCATGTAGCACCACCTTGGGTCTTTATTAACACATTTAATGAATCATGCTCATAATAGCCACCTGGGTTCACAGACTTGTATAGGAAAACACATTAAAAACATCTAGTGTTAAACTTCATTGACTTGAAATAAGATATTTGGGATGTAGACTGATATAACATGCATAAATTTGTATGATGCTACTGCAGTCTAAAATGGTTTTGCAATGGTATCACTTAATTTACAAAGACTACTGTAATAAATCTGTTTTCTCTTAGCCTACACTATCCGACGCATATACATTAATCATGTATCATCATAATTATGTTATAATAATGATATCATGGACAACATGGTCCAAATTTACCAAACACAAAAGGTCACTAAGTTTATATGGACTCGTATATAGATATGGTTATTAAAGTTCTCTCGTGTGAAATAAAAAATTGAAAGCAGATATTGAGCATGTTTCTTTAAAAGCAACCGGATTCAATAATGACACAAATCATGTGTGTTATGACATAATTGACACTCCCAAAATGATCTTGTTACCTTTTTTCCAACAATGATCTTAGATGAGTGATCCAGGGTCATCATCACCCTCTTATTGAAAGAAAAAAATAAGATATGATTACTTTAGGAAATACCAGTACACTTAGTTTGTATCTTAACTTTTCAAAAAGTTGCATGCAGGCCAGGCCATATCATTGATATATATGTTTCACATCACATACATTTTGTTGGCTTTTAAGCCATGTTTATATTATAAATATAAAATTGTGGAGGAGTCAAAAATATGCGTTTATGGACTACCTTTATACCTTACATTCAAGTACATGTTTGCTATTTTAAGCACGTTTAGTTGATTTATGGTCTTCTTATATGTCTTTACGATTAACAATTAATATATGGTATCAAATATATTGAAACAAGAATTATCATGCAACCAAATTTAATAACTGAATGTATACACATGTTTGTATGTGCATTTTTTGCTCACCCACCAAATGGCCCGAAGGAAGACAAAAATACTTTCATCCAATAAAAAGTACTTTTTAAGTTGGAACATTTGCATAAGAATTCATAGAAAAGTAAAAAGGCAAAGAAATAGAATGAACTTAGCTATGTAGATTTTCTGTTGTTTTTCTTTCACAATTATCATATAAAATTACCCCACCCACTTTCACAAAATATAAAACCTACAGATTTAATGCTTTTCTTACATTCTTTACAAAAAACACATGATATTTACGGAATGTTAAATACAGTTTAAGATATAAAGTAACTTTTTTAACTTTGTACATTACTTTAGAAAATCAAATTTGAAAAATATGAAAAAAAAATGGAATTTTTTCTTGATCTTTTTTAAAGATATTTTTAGACAAAAACTTTTAAAATGTTTACTTTTATTGAGATTAACATATAATTTGATTATCTCTGATATGTTTAAACACTTTTTTATCATAATAAACATAATTTGTGCAACAAATTATACTATAAAAATGATATAACAGTTTTGCACAAAATCGACGGCCATATTGGACGCCATCTTGGATTTGGAAGAAGTATGAAAGAGAAATTTTGTGAGATTTAAATTTTTGAAAAGGAGAAATTATATGCATGCTTTTGGTGTGAGTTAAAGGTCTGTACAAAAAATTGGAATGAATGAGCTAGAATGTACTCAAATTTATATGGCGGCCATTTTGAAAATGGCGGCCATCTTGAATGAGCAGAGATATTTTTGGGCCCACTTCACTTTTGAAATCTACATGGTCTAAAGATGATTTCCTGAAAGTTTCATGCTTGTATCACAATTTGCACTATTTTCTCAATTTCCCGCCCCACTAATGGCATGATTGCATCTTTACACAATCAACTCGGCGATACAACTCGTCAGAATAGCTCCGCCATGTGACATCGATCCTGCAGTAATGATCTTTTGTATTAGTAGGCAAAATATCAAAATTTAATATAAAGAATATTTTGGGAAAAAATAATAAATGTATCTTCATGGGTGCTGAAACCCTGGAAAAGTTTCGTCCATTTTAATTGATATCTTTATGCAGACAAAATACCGGGTATTATATTAAAACAAAGCTCAACAGGAAAGAGTGGCATTCAATGAAGGCATCACCAAACCCAATCCAGCAATAAAGGCTCAACGGCAAGACGCCCACGATTGACTTGACTTGAGAGGTCTTCCACCTCGAGTAAAGCTTGAAAGTCGTAATATATGATCTTTGTAGTGTCGGTGTTACTCAAAACCCACAAAAAAGTTAATAATGTTCTGTATATTACGAAATGTTAATAACCAAAATATCATATTATAAAAACTGGTTTCTTTGAGTCCATATGATAACTTTATTCAAAATCGACGATATTAATTATTCAAAAATGCGAAAAATACTTCGTGTATCATAGCCATGTTCCTATACGCCTATTCTATTAATGTGACTGTCCTTCCAGTCAGTTTCAATTTAATCAGAATTTAATTTACATATGAGTAAAGCATAAATGATTAAATGATATGGCGAGATTGTTTTATTTCAAAATTCATGCATGAATAGATTAACTAAATTATGTTAAATCGCAGTTGTATCTCTTTATTTTCCACTAAACGACTATCTAATTAATTTAAGAGATAGTTTTTGCGTTCATTGAACGCCGCATTTCCTTGTTGATCTTGTTTATCATATTTTGTCACTCATATTTCAACTTGCCATGGCATGATTGCATCTATACAACTCGGCGATACAACAGGTCAGAAAAGCTCAGTCATGTGACACCGATCCAGCAGTAATGATATTTTGTATTAGTAGGCATTTTATCAAAATTTTATATAAAGAATATTTTGGGAAAAATAACAAAATGTATCTTCATGGGTGCTGAAACCCTGGAAAAGTTTCGTCCATTTTAATTGATATCTTTATGCAGACAAAATACCGTGTGCTACAGTACTGCTGTCCGGTAGTCCCTAGGACAAAAAAAGTGGAATTCAAGTGTACAGTCACGATAACAAAACAATTTCAATGGTAATTACAACAAGTGATTGCATTTACTCCCATAACAAGCTCTCATCACGAAGGCATACTAAACTTTCCACAAGTGAAATCGATTAGCACTATATCTGTCAAGGCAAGGTTTGCATTTCAAACAATCTAATACAAATAATTGCTAAAATTTAGTTTTGTTAACTTTTATGGTACAAAGAGTTTGTTTTGTGTGTATGAAAAAAATGAAAATCGTCTTATTACTGATCTAAAATCTCACAATGCTGAAAATTCACTTATTTAAAATTTTAATCTGTATGACAACAACAACAAAAAATAACCCAACGTATTTAGAACGAAGGCATAATATTGTAGAAAATCTAACCAAACATGTAACATGTAAGGATCGTTTGTTCTTTGGTCTAATACACAGATTATGGTATCGAAACTCAACTTGGTAAACACTCTATATATAATTGAATGGAGTGCAATGTTAATGATACAATATACCAAGAGTGACATTATGAAATAATCAACTTTGATGTACTTAACAGAATTTTGCATCGTAACTTCTTTTGAAGTACTTGTAAGTTTCATGTTGGTAGCTTGTTCAGTTTCTAAAATGAAATTCGGAATATCATTTGTAAATGAATTACAAGATAAAATCTGCCAAAATGACCTATATGTAAACATTTTTGTGTAAAGGTTTGCCAGTTCTTCTGTTGTAAAACACCTTGAAACACGGGTATGCCAACTGTCTATCAAATTAGATACACGGAATGTTTCACTTATATCCACAATGCTGTCTACACTGTGTAGGCTGCCATTCAAATAATCATCCACCAATTTTAATCCATTGCTTTGGAGAAATTTCAGTTTCTTTAGAAGGTTTTTCTGTGGTATCATATAACTCGGGAGGCTTTTATTTCCTACAGCTGATTTTAGGAAAACGAGTGCATCCTCCAGTCTTGAGAGAAGATTTTCCTCGCTATATTCTTCCTGAGGAATGCTTTCAGCTTGCCATAACATAACTGTCTTGACTATATAGGAAGTGATGCCACTGCACAGCGGTTGCAAAATGTGTTTTGCTATCAGCTTCAGTAGGACAATTACCTTAGATTGAGTGTTATTAAACGCCTGGATTAAATGTGTTTCTGCCATGGTGAAAGATATTCTCCACTGCAGATCTTCATTTATGCTTCCCTCTTTACCCACCGGAACAACATACATTGGTAGCGACATAATTTTGTCTATAGTCTCTTGATTTGGCCAACCAGATTTTCTATTCCTGTTCTTCCATGCACCCAAAATGTTATTTTCCTGGCAAGGGAAAGCTCTTACAAAATCCATATCCTGGTCTATTAAATTCCTTTGTGATAGGATAAACTTCTGAATCCAATTTTTTTCGACATATTTTGGAATAGATGGACCATTTCGGCTTCTGTAACGTGTTTGCTTGCTGATGTAACCGTCTCCATATTGGAAGACATCATCGTGTTTGGTCATGTAGAGATTACTTGAAAGATACTGACCTGTTGTCTTTTCAACCATAGCATACTTCAAACTTTCATAAGTGGCAGAAGCAGAATCGTTGCGCATTAATTTCAGTAATGTGTAACCTGCAGGTGCTCTTTTTTGCTCCAGTTGGAATTGCAATTTGTCATTTTGTGTTGTTGTATTTCCGTCAACACAAATCACAGAATGATTGATCTGTAGAATGTCAGTATCGTTACAAAAGTTCATTCCAATACCTTCACGTATGCTGCCTACATATACTTTCTCAATGGCCTCATCTTTAGTTATACATTTAGTTGAGATATCTCTAGCTCTGGAACATTTGTTAGCGAGATGAATTCTTTCTTGTATTCTTTGGTGGTCGAAGCCGTGCGTGTTCATGTAGTCGCTCACCCATTTTGACAGGTGTCTTTGGGTATCCGTTGGCATGACTGATTACCATTTCAAGCTGAAAGTTGTAATATTAAAATCATTGAGGACGATACATGAAAAACTAAGTTCCAGTAGCTGAATTTTATTTAGAACGTGTTGCTGTAAATATTAAATATATGTATCTAATAATTGTATTTGTCTTTTAGTTTTGTTTATTTTCTTATAAAATTGAAACTATAAAGAATTATTAGGCCTGAACTCTTTATGTTGACTGATGGCGAACATCGTGCTTTAGCTTATGGCTGTTAGCATTGGAACATAAAATTCATGTTTTAAGACTGAATACAAGTTCCGTTGGTTGATCAGGAGAATATAAGAGATGTTGATAAGAGATAAGTAAAAACTTCTCTCAATACACTAAACATCTATAGAAGGGGAGCCTGACTCAGTGAGGGATGTCGAAAGCAGCAATTGCACCGGCAGTGACTTAGATTCTTATGACACTTAGAGTGAAAGTTAACAATGTGAGTTATACTGCAATTAAACTATCAATTAGCCTTCTCTTTATTCCTATACATTTTGTTAATTTTTCTTCAACCAGAGAACTGAAATTCAGTAAAAAAAACGTATACAAGGCGTTGCACTGGACCCGAAAGGGGGCTTCGGCTAATGTGTTGTTTGAATTAAAAAAAAAAACTCTTAACTCTTAAATAATATTGAAAACTCTTCTTGTTAGTCGACGGCTCCATGTTAATTCAAGACGGAACAACTTGATGAGAGTACAGGCAGTTAAAAGTATGTAAACTACAGTCTTACTGTTTAAGTGAAGATGTCACGAAACGTACCCACTTTACGTAGACATATGTTCAGGCTGGCTGAATGTTTTTATCAAATTAATTTTTAGACCGCCTTACAAAACATGAATACATATATAGATAATAAGTAAAAAAGTAAATATAAAGTAAATATAAAGTAAGCTTAATAAAGCATTAGATAAATTGAAATGGAAAAAAGGTAAAAAAAAATATATAAAGAAATTCACTTACTACAAATATTGCTGTGCAGATGAAATCGTGAATATTTTCAAACCAATAAAATGACTTACAATAAACAAAGTTTCTCTTTGTGTGCCTCTATCTTAATAGTTTTGATAAAACCTACTGCTCAGATAACAATAGCGGTAACAATAAATTCTAATTTTAATGTTGGGACATTTTCATTCTATGAATACAATCCAATGAAATTAAAAATATGAAAATGTAACACCAATCAAATGCTAGAACGTGGCATAGATAACGGTAGTTTTGATCACCTGATGAGTGTGATTTGGGTACGTTTATCTTTAATTTATTTGGCAGGTGTGCAAAATTGTGCAGATTTTTAAACGTGTTAAGTTGACTAGCTGAGATGATGAAATACCCACATACAATTGCAAAACAAAGGTATTTTAAATTATTTACAAGATTTGACATAAGCAGTTAAAACTAGTTACCGTGCAAATTATTTTTTTGATATAAGCATGAATTAGGGTAGACCCTCTTTATTTTTTAAGATAACTTAAATGGGTTAAATTAATGTCAAGTGCGGTGAGTTAAAATACCACTCAAGTCAACTTTAATCGTTATATATATTTGTCTTTCTCGTAGTGCCTTATTGATATATTTCTCAGAGAAAAAAAGTTTAATTTCAGTTATATGTATTTAGCGGTAAAATTGCTCAATTTAGCAAATACGATACATAATATATTCAAAACCTTATCAAATGAAAAACAATTAACACGATAATTTCTTTTTGATAAGTGTAAAATATATCCGTCACAAAAAATGTAAAACTTTGAAATATGTCACTCTTTTAATAAGATTTTATTGATATTCTGTATTTGGCGAAGTATGCAAGAAATTTATGTTGCAGTAATTTTCAGCGTACGTATTACCCGTAGGGCGATATATATCAGCTACGGAATATCTGTTTCCTGCTTGCATCTTCTTTACCTGTTTGTTTTGTAACCAAATTAGTCATATTTCCTAGATCAATGCACATCTACACGGCACACATCAGCAACAGTAATTAAGGAGCAAGGGTTCCATTCATTAATAAATAGAAGATTTCTGTAGACTCGATAAATTAAAAAGTTATACAAACACGTCCAGGTTTGATTTATTCTGAACTTATTTGGGGAGAATATAATGTAATTTCGTACATTTTCATGGCTTGATTATACTCATGCGCCGTTGCTTTTGTTCATAAAAATGAAAGTACAACATCTCTTACGCTCCATTACACAGGTTTAAACAGTATTTAATCTTCAACATGGAGAATCCCGAAATATGCATCTTAATTTGATTTATTTTTTCTAAACCCATTGATTTAGCGTTGTCATAATTTTCACAACACAATGTCAATATATTTGTTCTTTTTTCTTTAATTATGATTAAAAACTCCTTATGCCTTTTCAAGATATTTTAAAAACTAAGACAATCATATCATGTTGGATCCCAAGCCACGTAAAAATACGAGGAAATGAAAGTAGTTGATATGGCTAAAAAACCTTTAAATAATAAACCAGTAGATTTATCGTTACCAAATAGTGATTTTAACCGTCCATGTGTAAATATATTTCATCTGAATTGAAAGGACAACGCTATATTATGGCAAACTGATCAAACTATTTGATATTAATCCCTTTTTAGAAAATTCACCATCTCTATCTGTTATAAACTCTAATGATCAAATACCTCTTTTAGATATCGATTTGAACACTCCCGAGTACAGGAGATGATGCTCCATTTTTTTATAGCTTGCAATAAATTATACACTTCTTGAATGTCATAATCTTGCACATGTTCGTGAGTTAACGAGCGAATTCATTCAGAGAACCTTTTGCCTCATTTCCATCCAAATCCCTGATCGATTACCGAAAGGAAGAAAACTTGCATTCTAAGACTTATAAGATTTAACTAATGCGCTTGTACCAACTAATTATTATATTTTCGGAGCGTTGTGGCCAGTATTGTGTCAGTGTCACCGTGCAACCCGAAACAAACGAAAGAAATTCACTACCTCTTTCCTGTTGCACGTAATGTTGTCCCATCTTTTTAATCCCTTGTCAAGTCGCGAGGAGAATATTATAAGATTGGCCTCCGTGCGTCCATCTGTTGTCTTTTCATCCGTCCGTAACATTTCCGTGCAAGTTCTTAAACTTAAAGAGAAATAACATGCCATAAATGATCACAATAATGGTAAGAAGATTGAATCAACCAGGTCGCTCCCACAAAGATCACACTTAAATTCCAATTGTTGATAAGTCTATTTGTGGTGTCAACTTCATAACTTGCTTGAATAGCACTGGGACACGATGTGTGAAGGATTTTTATAGCGCAACCCAGAGGTCGAAGTAAGAAAATCACATTCATGTCAACTGCGAGAAGGATTACAACTTTCCTTCAGACTGCTTTGTAAATATGTTTTAATGTTATATTACATTCAAACAAAAGCATGATCTATAAATCATTGAAAAATTGACTTTTTTTCTGTTGTATGTAAAATCAATATCTAAAGTCACGAGGAAGAACCGCTTTCAATCCCTATTTGCTCCCGCATAATGATGAATAATTGTCATGGAGTTCAAAGTGGCGAAATTATTGCGAAAACATTTCTCCACCGAGGCATTCTCGTCGCGGGGAAAGCTCAAGGAGGACAAGGTCAAATAAAAATGACTATATAAATAAAAATGCTTGTCTTTCAGTCAATATATCCAGGCTAACATCAGTCGTTCTCATTCAGTTGTGATTAAAAGACTGACAAAAACATATTCTTCAAAGCCTAGAGCATTCTATAGAAATTTAGTTTCCTTTTTCCAAAAATGTAGCTTTTGTTTTCTCTGTGTTTGATAATATCTTGGTCAACAATTTTCCCTTTACAGCGTTGCGACGTTATCCGCATCCAGGCCCGTTTTTTAACATGCATCATTTGATACATCATTTGATATTTTATATTGCGTATACATTCTTCATTACAATGTCCTTTACCACAACTTTATATTATCAAGACAGAGTTCGATTCTTTTGATATATAGCTTTCAGAGAAACATGGTTCCATTCATCGGTAAGCACAAGTGAACCACTATTAAACAACTTTCATATTCCCGAGCGCAGAGACAGAAGACATGACACATATGGTGGTGTTATATTATACGTCAAAGAAAATTTAGCTTATAGAATGTTCAAAGGCATAACTTAGAATTCTTAGATATTGAAAATATTTGGATTGAACTTATCCTAAAGCGGAACCTCAAGATGCGTATTGGACTTTTCTATCGCCCTCCAAACTCTGATGCCCAATATGACCTTAAAATTGAACAATCTTTTGACTTTATCATGGGAATCAAAACATTACAATTGTTGGTGACTTTAACCTGAATCCTGCCATACCGGCATCCAAGCGAAAACTCTTATACCTTTGAAACCAATGTGGGCTTGCTCAATGTATCAAAGATCCAACTCACTTCACTGAAACTTCTCCTTACATAATAATTGATCTTATTCTTCTAAAAAACTTACGTAGTTAGGTACAAAGTGGTGTTGGCCAACCAGTTTCTGATCAGTAAATACGTTATCATTGTCCCTCTTTTGCACTTTTTTAAATTTATTTAACCAAAATGTTTGACTCCCTCCCGTCAAATATGGCTGTACGACCGATGAGATTAAAATGCATTGAGATACTCTTTAGAACAATTTGATTGGCAGACCATTCGCAACAATAATGTTTACCACTAAGTCTCTGCATGTACATCTAACATATATAAATATTCTAACCAATATATCCCTAATAAGCTAACCACATTCAGACCCACAGAACCAAAATAGAAATAAAGTGAAATTAATTGACTTATTCGCAAAACGCAAGCGTCTTTTCAAGCAAGCTAGGCTTCTTAATCGAACTTTGGATTGGTCAAAATTCTGCCAACTTAGAAATAAAATAGTTTCCCTAATTAGAAAAGCTAAATCAGAATATACCGCTAAATTAACTTAGACTCTTACTAATAAGACATCCAATAGATCATGGTGGGCCACAGTTAAAATGTTTATCTCCCCTAATTGTTATAAAAGAACTGTTCCTCTTCTGCTCGATGACTCAGATATTCTATATGACAACGAGAAAAAGGCTGATGCCTTTAATCATTTCTTCGCTCAACAAACATTTCTCGACGTACCTGATGGGGAACATATTCCATCAAATTAGTCTTTCTCCTCAACTCTATCATCACTTCACTTTGAACCATATGATATCGAACCATTATTACGAACACAACCCCTTGGGAAAGCAGTTGGCCCTGATTTAATTAACAATCGCGTCTTAAAAGATATATCGTCTCAATTACCTGTTCCTTTGCCAGATATTTTTAATCATTCTCTGTCTATCGGTACTTTCCCAACTCAATGGAAGGTTGCAAATGTATGTCCAGTCCATAAAAAGGAGACCAATGTCATTGGTAATTATAGACCAATTTCACTTCTCTGTTCCCTAAGCATGGTTTTAGAAAACGCTGTTTACAAACACGTTTATAATCATTTAATTAGCAACAATATTTTAAAGAATATCAGTCTGGTTTCCGCCAAGGCGACTCAACTATAAATCAACCGTCAATCTTTTATAATTCTTTCTGTGAAGCAATAGACTATGGAAAGTAAATAAGAATCGTATTTTGTGATAAAAGCAAAACTTTGGATCGGGTATGGCACAAAGGACTCATTATTAAATTGTCATCTGTTGGAATTCGTGGACATTTACTTTTTTGGTTTCAAAGCTATTTATACAACAGGTAACAGGCAACAGTCACTGTCCAATGATCATTATCTTTTATTCTTTACGTCAGGGTTGGTGTTCCTCAGGGATCTAATCTCGATCCTCTGCTTTTCCTTATATTTTTTAATGACATTCTAATTGAAATCGACGTCAACATCAAACTTTTTGCAAATGACACAAGTTTATATTCGTCGTTGATACACCCGAAGATACTGCAAATGTACTTACTGTAATTTACAAAAAGAGTTACCGATGGTCTAAAGAATGGTTGGTTTCGTTTATAACGGAAAGATATCAAAACTCAGCATCCTCCCTTGCTTCTGCAAAACCAAGTAAATCTGAATCTTCTTCTTACAAACATTTAGGAGTTGTTCTATCAAACAAATGTTCATGGTCAAATCATATGAAATATATTAAAAACAAAGCTTGGACAATGATCAATTTTCTCCGTAGTCTAAAATTTACACACTACAGAAATACAAAAGAAACATTATATTTGACATTTATCCGCCAATTTTTATGGAAGTATACATTTTGATAATTGTTCAACTAGCGAAAAGCATGAATTAGATATGATTCAAAACGTGGCTGTCAGAATAGTCATAGGTGCTACTTGAAAAAACGTTATGACGACCTAGGGTGGAAAGCATTATCAACTCGACGTTATTATCATAAACCGGTCTTTATTTACAAAATACGAAAAAACTATGCCCAACTTACTTTAACTCTTTAATCCCAAACGTCAAAACGAAAGATTTATGTAGTGTCTGACTGCTACTCGTACTGCTTATTTTTGTACATCTTTACTTTTTATTTTATTAAGGGCATGCGTAAACAAGGACGAAAAGTGATATTGCTGCTAGATAATGCTACTTCGCATGGTCATGATATACGCCTTATTAATGTAACACTAAAATTCATTCCAGCTAACACTGCATCCCAGCTTCAACCTCTAGATTAAGGGATAATTCGTGCATTCAATGCCATCTACAGGAAATACGTGTTAAGGTCATTGCTAAGTGCCATTGACAAAGTGTAAAACGTATACAGTTGATGTAAACAAGTGACTCTTCTTGACTGTATAGGGAGGGTTGTTAAAGCATGGGAAGATGATAAAGTTACAACGATAGAAAGGTGCTTTGGTGTAGTAGGATTTTCAGAACATGTGTTTATTGAGGATGATGATGTTCCCTTAGCTACACTTGTTGCTCAGTTCGATCTTCAGATATAAGACATACACAACATCGATAAGGATGCAGAGATTGAGGATTCTTCCGATGATTGGTAGAAAACTCTGCTGGACAATTATAGAACTTAAGAAACGATTGAATGTGACCCTGTGGAAGAAATCATTTCGACGGAGACATCACTTCCTTGTTCTGAAATGTCATATTCGCATGTTCTGTTGCTAGCTAATTAACTAAAAAACTTTGCACAGGAAAATGACACTAGCTTTTTAGAGATAGCTAACGATTTAAAGTGTATGACTGAAAGGAAAATAGTTAGTCTTAAGTGTACACAAAAAAAGACAATGATTGACTCCTTTTTTAAAAAAGCGTGACACTGATTATGTATTGTACATGCCCTACTCTGTTATTGTTAAATGATGATCTAGTGTAGAAAAGAGTAAAAGAACAATGTACATGGTTGTGAATACTCTCAGCTATAAAATTGAGTGAATATATGGTATTTTGTTGTTGTTTGTATTTATTTTTCATCTGTATAAATATGAACAATAATGTTAGTTTATATGATTGCAAAAATCTTAAACTATTCCGCCTTCACATGATCAAATCTGCAGATCTTTCTAATCCGGAAACCTTTCTAATCCGAACTTTTATTTTTGTCCGAGCAAGTTTGGATTAGACAGGTTCCACTGTATATCTATTACACTGTACAGCCGTGATAAGGCACGCACTATATTCTGACCTGGACTTTAATGGTTAATTATAACCACTGGCTATGTAACAGATTAAAGCGTGTTTGACATGGCATAAATTAATTCGGAATAGATTTCAAACCTCTCTGAAAATGATATCGTCTCCAGCTTTATTTGTCTAATTAAAAAACTCTTCTTTCCTGAACAGCGCGAAAACCACAATCGGAACATCTCGGCTATTACACTGTATATATAAAATACCCGAAGTTTGACGGAAAGAGACGATAAGTTGCAATTGCGAAAAACCAAAGTAGAACCATCCGAGCATTATCACGTGACAGAATTCGTCTCTCAAGCGCGGGCTATGAATACTCATTGTTTATTACATTCATGAAATTGTACGTAAATATTGCTGTTATGGACCAGTCGCCAATGTCAATGAATTCATTATCATATACAAGTTCATGTGAAGCTTTTTTTCTGCGTACTATAACCATAGTGATGTTCGTTCTGCCTCGATGTTTATCATGATAAGTATACATTGTATAAGTATGTCAATATAATACAGCTAGTTCTCTCATGAGTAACACGTGAACTGACAATGGAATTAAATCAAAGTTCACTGCAGTCGGAATTGCATTTTAACAGTTAATGATTCGTTACACGCTTGAGTCAGTTGTTTATACAGACGCCTTTTGTTACTTTTAAACTAAATATTCTAAGCAAAGGATTACCATGTTGGAAGGAACTTTAACTCTTTTATTACTAGTTTTATTAATAAGCTGGCTCGTGTTCAATCACGTGAGGTCAAAATCATTGCCACCGGGACCTTTTGCGTGGCCAGTTATTGGAAATATACGACTTTTTCAGAAAGACCCTCAAGGATACAAGAAATTCACGCAACTTGCTGAAAAATATGGAAACGTATACAGGTATTTTATTTCAATAATTAAGTGCCCAGCTTAAAATGACGGTCTGCTTTGTACATGTATATACGCTAATGCTGCAGCGTTTCTAATTTCAAGTATTTCCACGGGTTTATTTTGAGAACATGATATATAAACATGTAGGAGCGTATGCTCGCGCATTTACGCACTTTGGTAAACATGCATTGTTTATATAACAAAATAGATTGACATTTCCAAATTGCTAATTTTAACATTCACTACGTTTAAGCATATTTATTTCGAAGTAATAATGCGTCTTTTTCAATACCCAAAATAGAAAAAGAAATAAAAATAATAATTAAACAATAATAATGAAAACATAACTAAATGAAAAACAACAACAAAATAGTTTAATTTATTAAGAACATTCTATTTTTTTAACAGATTGTATTGTGGGTCAACGCTTATAGTAATGTTAAACGGATTTGACGCGATTCATGAAGCATTCACAAAGAAGGCAGATATATTCACGGACAGACCTCAACTGTTTGCACCTCTGATTGGAGTTTCTAAAGGAACGGGTAAACATACAGTTAGCCCGGTGTTTTAAGACAATCCTCAAATAAAGACCACTTACATAGAAATTATTGTCTCTTAAGATTGAATTTTACTATTGTATTGGAACAATATCAATCTTTAAGAGACATTTTGTCAACTTTTTATTTCTAGTGTCCCGTTTTATAGTTTCAAAAAGGTTACTTATTGGCCTTATACCTGAATTATGGCGTTTTTTGTTTTGGCAGTTAGTAATAGTAATTTAGCATTTTAAATGCAAGTCAAAATACTACTTTGTTTACAATTTGCTACTTATATGACAAATCATTTCACATTCAGAGCTACTTTCATCATGTGATAAACGTCTAGTATTCTCCCTAACCATTATTTAAACATTATAAAACTTTTGTTTGTCCTTTCTTAAGGAGGGAAAAAATTACTCGTACTTGAGTCATAATGTACCATTAAACTATAATATTATGATATTAAAAATTATTAACGCAAGCATCTCGATCCTTATCTAAATACTTTTCTTTTTATTTTGCTTTATTTTACTACAATATATCACATTGAATATTCAGGATTAACTTACAACAGTGGCCATCGATGGAAGACGTTACGTCGTTTTACGTTACAAGCGTTGCGTGATTTTGGTGTCGGAAAATTGACGTTAGAAGAGCGTATACGAGAAGAGATCTTGGTATTGGCGTCGATTTTGAAGAATGCAAACAATTCCCCTATCCGAATGAAACCCTACCTTCTGTCGGCTGCAACAAATATCATTTGTAGTGTAATGTTCGGAGCAAGGTGCGTACACATTTTTCTGCATACCTCATTCACAGAGCTATATTGTCCCCCATTTGATTCCGTAAAACAAGATGGCGGAAATTGATCAATTTCAAGATAAAGTTTGGGTTTAATTAATTAACTAATTTAAGTAAGTTTGGGAAAATAATATTTGAAATAATAATAATAATGAAACAAAGAAAGTAAAATAATAAAACAACACTTTTTACCCATAATTCAAGGGCCTCCTCTGGATTTTTTGACATGACAGGACTGGAGATAATGTTTACATCTTAATATTCCATTTGATGAAGTTATAGACCAAGAATTTAAGAATTTATGTGCAGAATTTAAGAGTATTCGCTCAAAATTATTCCAGAATAATTATTTTAATTGTAAAACAATAACACGATTCTAAAAAGCATTGCAACGCTTTTCACTCCAGTCGGGCTAAGAATAGGCACAAAAATGCATTTTTTAATTTATTTTTAAAGTAAATTCCCTAATTATCCTTTACATATTTATCTTTTTTAAATGCACCAGTAGATCTATGTAAGAAATTCAAATTTTATATTTTGGAATTCTAGACCTCAGTGCACACTATTATGCATTATTCTTATTTTCAAGGTTTGAGTATAGTGACTCAAAATTCTCTGAGTTGACAGAGGTCTTGGACGGAATTTTCAAACTAAATGCACCATTTGCAAAGGAAAACTTCTTTCCTATAACTCGCACATGGCCTTCTGGAAAAGAGGTATTGTATCCGTTTATTATTTTGTTACATCCGACTGATAGAAATTATTTTACTTCAATGATAATGAACGCCAATAATATGTTAAGTAATAACAGTACATCACACAATAAGAAAAAATCAGTCATTTGAATTGCCCGAAAAGGAGAAAAAATGTCGCGATGTTCTTTTGAATGATCTATTTTGACCTTTCCAGTGTTTACAGTTTTATGCAAATTTGCTGACTAGCTATCTAATTTCTTAATCTAGATTATACATAATCACTGCACCGGTTGTCCTGGTTTAGATACTGTTTGTAATCAATTGACCTAGCAGAAAATAGAAATGGCGTGGGCTAAATCTTTCACTGCTAAAAATTGGAAAGGTCAAAACATGCTTCCTACGTCTTTGAAAAAATAAACTACATGTATTTTATTGTTGTAGCCAATGGCAATTTTTACGAGAACAAATCGTTACTATTTTACAGTTGATAAGAAACAGAACAGCGGCGATAGAACGTGTGAAGTCTTATCTGTCTGAGACGATAGAAGATCACAAAGTCACGTTTGATCCAGAGAATATACGAGATTTTATTGATCTGTACATAAAAGCATCTAAGGACGAGTCGGAACCTGAGCTTTTTACTGGTAAATTGTCGATAGAAAATTAAGAACTATATTAAAAAAAAAACAAATAATATTCTAATAATAAAGTATTTTTCTAATAATAACTGAAACTATTTCCAACGAAAACTGCGAGAATAAGCTTAAGATTAAGCCCTTTCCCTAGAAGTATGAAATGATACCTGCATATGGAGCATGCTTAGTCTTCAGCTGTTGTAAATACTACATGTACTAGTATTGTTCATCCCTTAAACAAACAATAGACATTCTCAAGTAACTCATGGATTGTATAATTAAATTAAGATAGTCATAAAAATATTAACAAGTAAATAATTATTAAAAATAGAGAACACTATAATAATGAATCTGCTATGCCTCGTCATTTTTTTCGAATTTCGTTTTAAAGGGGAGCGTTAATACACTAATTAATTTTAATTCCAGAGGCGAATGTATATAAGATAATAGTTGACTTGTTCCTGGCTGGCGGAGAGACCACGGGAACCAGTCTCGACTGGGCGTTGCTTTATATGATTATGTACCCGGATGTACAGAGCAGATGTTTTAACGAAATATCAAAGGTAAACATTGTTATGATCTCTTTTTTATATATCATTAATTCTTTTACTACAGGATTTAATGCCCCATTTAGAAATATGTATGTGTGTGCGTTTGTTAACCTACATTGTGAGGTGAGTTTGTTTACTTTTCACATGCAAAGTGAGGGTTAACCTACATTGTGAGGTAGAAAAAGTGAACCTCGGAATTGTATCCTTTCCTCGTAGAATAATTCTAAGGTACGGGGCCTAAGATTGTATTGACATTTTGGTTAGTTTAGGGCTAGGAGCGCATTATGGTAAGTTTAGGATAATTTTTAGGATTATGGTTAGAGTAAGAAGTTAGTTGAACAAAGAACAAATGCCTCACTTTGATATATAAACAAGGATTTTAAATATCATCTAAGTGAATGTATTTTTTTTAAAAAGTAACTGAGAAAACACAAATATGTGTTGTTAAAAAACAAGATAATTGGTTCACATAAAATATCACATAATGCCTAATTTACAATGTTATTTTAGGTGGTTGGATCCGGGCGGCCAGTGTCACTGTCTGATAGAAACCAGATGCCTTACACACAAGCCACATTGCTTGAGCTGCAACGAATTTCCAATACACGTAAATACACCATATTCACCTCCTAGACAAAGTTAACTACATGCATATATTTGTACAAGTTAAATATCTCTTTTGCATGTACATGCACGGTCTTTTTCATAAGTAACTTACTATTTATCCCAATTATCTTGATTTTCTTTCTGTTGAAAAAGCAAACATGCGTGTTATAATTTGTAATAATTTACCACGTAGAACAATTATGAAGCTTATCACCTGACGAAAATAGCGCTGAATGGAAACTGACTTTTGATAAGGGTATCAAAATGATATCAACAAAATTTTAATTTGACTTCCATACAAAACACTTTATTATTATAAGTGTACTACTTGCCAAAATACAAAGGAAGTAAAACAGTGCTTTTATATATGGTAAATGAGAACATGTTTGGAAATTATAATAGGACACTCAAAAAAAAAGGCTTTTGAAACTAGAAATAACAGCAATGTTTCGGCTTATTGGGCCTTTAACTATATATTTACCTATCTTTTCTCTTAATGTTTATAAGTAAAGTATTTATTTATCCTATTTACATAAACAATCTCTCAATTTTCATTAGTAAAGTATTTCGTTTTACTATACGAGCTCGTAAATACACAATCTTTCTATTTACATTGGTAAAGTAATTACTTTGTCTGTTTTACAGTAACATTTTCACTGCCTCATGTTGCTAAACAAGATGCTACATTACTTGGCTACGACATACCTAAAGACGCCATTATAATTGCTAATTTGTATTCAGCACATATTGATACTAAATACTGGCCTGACCCGGAGAAGTTCATGCCAGAAAGGTTTCTAGACAGTGACGGGAATGTATTGAGGAAAGACGGACTGGTTCCTTTCGGAGACGGTGAGTTATTCGAATATTTAATGTTTAATTGTTTAATTGAATATTATATAAATAACACGTGGGTTTGTGGGATACAGTAAAAATATCATCCCGAAGAAAATACTGTTATCCGAGGCGTAGCCGAGGGTAACAGTATTTTTACGAGGGATGATATTTTTACTGTTACACACAAACCCACGTGTTATTTATTTTATTACCCCGAACAAATACTGTGATGATCTGAATTTGTAAACTAAATCTAACTGTAACAAAAATAAACCAAGAGTAGCAATAACTCAACTGTCCTTACCTTGCAAGTTTTAAGTGTACTGTAGGCCTACTTAAAGAGCAGTTTTTCTTTTATTCTTTAAGCAAGTCATGATATCTACCAGTCATAAACATACAATAAGCTGTGTTTTATTTAGAAAACAAAACACTAACCCATTTATAAGGTTATGATCTGTGAAATCTGATCCTTCTGTGTCCAGAATATTCTTCGCAAAGACAAAGTGCATTTACAAAATAACGATGATATCCTACAGATGTCTGTCCGTTAAAATTAAAATTGTTAAACAATCCTTTGTTGTATGCTTTAATCGTCTGCATGTTCCAGTTTGACACAAAATTATTCACATTACACTTACTTCCGTTGAAAACGGATGTTTACTTTTTGACTATTCAACAAAAAGATACTTTATACACGAAAAGAACTCTAGGGTGCAAAAAAACTAAATTTTATGAGAGTCATAGTTACTTTGGTGATGGCTTAGGCCCTATCGTCGAAAATAAGAATGAATCGAGAGAAAAATGGCGGCCATTTTATTTCGTAGACCACAGGGTATTGGTACGCGTTTAACTTTTGGGGCATGGAGGAGCACGTGACCTGTTTTCGGTACATGGAGGAGCATGTGACCTGTAAACCGTACACGATTGGTTAATTGACCTTTTCGAAAACATAGCTAAATACCGTTTGCCGGTACGCTACGGATTTACCTCTAGGGAATAAGTCCGAGTTACACCTAATTAACAACAAAAAACTATTACGGATATTTCTTATTTTCTATAATTAGTTTACCGTTTAAGGTGGAAAAACTTGAATGATGTGTTTGAAAACTATCAATGTTTCTTTAATATCTATCTCAAATTTTACAAACAATAAATTGTTTTACTGAAAATCTACAAAAAAAATATTTGTAGTGGCATCTGCCATACTAAATAGAGATATTTTCTGCGTAAACTTGTGTGTTTACTTTATTTTTTTTTGCTCGGAATTATTCAGAAAATGGTATTAAATCATTTTCTATAAAAGAAATAATTGTTTTCGGTCGACCTTCTCCGGTCTTAGGACTTCAACGGTCGTCGGTTTCCAAAGACCTTCTTCTATATTTATCGATTATTGTCAACTTTATTCCTGGTAAAACGTTTATTTATCCCCCAAACAATGTTGGAAATAAATAAAAGAAATATCTTTATATCATTAAAAAATGATCCCCGCAGGAAACCATTTTACTTGTTTAGAAAATAGACCACGTGACCAGATTTTATACTGTTAACAAATAATGTTACTTATGTAACAGTAAAAAATTCTTAGTCACGTGGTACACTTAACAGTAAGAATAACTCCCAAAGGCCTATGGGAAATTAACATTACGAAAAAAGTGAGGGGTAATAAAACACATTGTTCTATATACAATAACTATATTTATCCTGGCTTAATCTTACACTGTCTGTCAGTGGACTGACAAAACAGTGGGATTCGGAGGCATCCCTGTCCTATGGTCACATTTCAAGTTGTGTTTAAATTTGTTTTAATTTATTTAAAAAATGAATTAACGATTGTATATCCGACGGAATGTGTTTACCATTGTTTTATGAATATGTTTTTAAAAAAAAAAAGAGAAAATAATGTAAACACAAATATGAACTTTTGAATGTAACTTTTGAGCTATTCCTGATCCGTTTACTATAAAATTAGTCTTTCAAATTCCAATTAAATCACTCAAGAACGAAGGTGCTTGAAATGCAAACATGTATGTTATTTATGAGTGCATTTCATGCGTATATTTAGCCAAATTTGAATTTGCTTTATCATACAGCATAGAAAATAGAGTAAAATCTAAAATGTGTTTTGGTTTGGCATAGTTAATACTCGAGAATAAATGCCAAATTATACGAATCCACTTACAGTTTTTTTATTTGCCATTCTCTTCTAGTAAGGCCTTAATAATTTCAAGTAACCATGAACATTGTCGCTAAAAGAACAAGTTGATCAAACATAGAATTAAATAAACCTTTATATAATCGTGTGAGTTAAATCGGAGATGTAGTTTTTTGTCAGACGCTTTCACATCTCAGGAAATATCTATTCTTGCAGGACCCAGATTGTGTATCGGAGAACCTTTGGCAAGGATGGAGTTGTTTCTGATATTTTCAAATTTGCTACAGAAGTTCCAGTTCAAACAAGTTGATGGAGAAGAGTACTCAATGGAGGGCATTCAAGCTTTAACGCTCACTGCTTTACCATACCATTTGAAAGCTGTTTCCAGATGAAACAATACAAACAATGAATCCAATCATATTATTAAGATAAACAACTTACAATATTGTGCTTTCGTCACTATTTGTTGCAATGAAAAAGAACGAATAAGCCTACTTATAATTTAGATCTAATCATATTTTAACGATGAAACGTTCTATAAATTGCTGATTATACATTATATTTTACTTACACCACTTTACGTTAAGTCATGACTAATAAGACTTTGTTTTCCATTCTAAACATGTCTTGAAAGGATATTTGTAATTCTTTGTATAGATTGTAAACTGTAACATGTATATTATATATACTAAGAAATAAAATATGTTAATGAAATATTTTCAAATAATTGTTTCATTGTTTGTTTTTATCTTAAATGAGTTAGAAAAGATTTATTCATTCAAGGCAAAAAGTATTCAAGGTATAAAGTGTATAGTAAAAAGAATAAGTATATAAGATTTCGGTATAAATATACATACACTTTATGTTCGAGCAATGAACAATGTGTCATGTGACTAACTGAAAGGTTAAAAGGAAGGACAGTCCTGTCTATACAAACACGTCTACCTAGATTTATTTCAACCTTGTAGTTAATAGGTCAGAACTGACAGATTGTGTATAAAAAGGTTTATAATAACTCTATACGTTAATATTACTAGCATGTGGAAAGTGCATATTGTAGTATTCAAATACCGGACATATCGTTTTAAGGTTGTAGAATCATCGGGTGTTGTGTCAGCATAATTTGATTTAAGATAAAAACGGCGTTTAAAGTTGAATGTGTATACAATAGGTGAATAAAAAAGGACACCTATATAAAGGTATGGTCATTTTTATTGCATCTGTAGTTTTTATATAAATATAAAATATTACATGTTATGCTGTTTAAACACAGTATTTATCAGATTTTTGTTAGAAACTTAATAGAAGAATATGACCTTTACTTTATTGGTATTAAATCCAAATTATACCTTGCATGTTGAACTGATGGTATGAAAATGCTCTGCATAATTAATGATATATCAAAAACAAGGCGTATATCAATTATAAAACATATTACTTTTTTACACAAATTATTTATGTCTATGATAACAATACTACATGCTTTGTAAACTGCAAAGTATTATTCTGTTATAATACATGCTCAAAATAGCTTATATTGCTATATAACGGAATTGCAAAGCACAAATGTTCACTGGTTTTATTTGTTGTTTACTCAAATTAGTTTTTTAGATCTGATATATCATGTTTATCCCAATTTAACAAACATGAACATTTTTACTATTGAATAACATAATAGCATGTTTATACTACGGATAATTGTTGTATTGATTGAAAACATATAATTATTATCTACAACGCATACTCATTTCCATATATCTAATGTACGAGTATTTATTATATACAGGGGATGTGTATAGAAATTAGTATAAGTAAAAGCATTTTGACCATTGTGATTATAATCTATGTTTAACGTGTCGATTTGTAATATAAAAGTATTGCTTTGAAACAATATATATTGGAACAGTCGTCAGAAAAGGGGTCTTAATGATCATTTTATCGATTAATATACATGTATGTACATTATTGTTTAATTTATTTTAGAAACCATAATAACATATATTACATTTTATTCAATTTTATTCATAGCATAATGCGTACTGAAAAACTAGCCTCATATAATTTTATTATTGTGGATGTTTTGCGGTATCTTGATATAGTTTTAAGGACCATTATGCCTATAATGCTTTTATTTTTACTCCTCAAAAGCTTTCAAATTTTGGTGTACTTTTAAAGTATCCAAATAGTTACTCATTGTCCAATTACCTGAACCATATTTTCCACCTAAAGCTTTTGGGCAGTAAGAATAGTTAAAGTGAATTAGTATTTTGTATGGAAGTTAAAGTACTACTTTGTTTTCATTTTGCTACTTTTATGACAAACAATGTCACATTTATTTCTACTTTCTTCAGGCAACAAGCACTTACCATTCTCTAAAACCATCATTTAAACATTAAAAAATCATTTTTGCCCTTTCTAAAGAAGTTAAATTTTATTTGTTTCTGAGGCATAATGTGCTTTTAAAGAATTATATCTTAACATAATGTACATACATGTATATCATGATTACAATTATTATATTATTATATTGTCTGAATATAATTATTCGTTTCAAACTCACAGACAATCACTATGACCAGTGTTATTATAGAGGATAAGGGTGGGGTAAAAATGAAAGTAGGTGTCGATGTTGGAGACGGTTTTATAACCCCAGATCCGAAAGGCGCGCCAGAAGAAGTGAAACAAGTTTTTGATATGCTGCCAGAGTTTAAATTCAGACCAGATGATATTTTGCTGTGCACTTACCAAAAGACAGGTATCAGTTATTTATCATATACCAGTGTGATACTATAGTTATGAAACAGTTAGTTCTTTATTAAAATTAAGAATATGTTTATTGTTAATGCCAAAAGTGTTGACAGTTTTTTAAGGAGATTCCTAAATTAATGAAGTAAATGCATTACTTTTATATGTATAAAATATTTTAAATGGATTTAAGTAATGAAAATTACAAAAAAATTACAACGATAATATATAAATAAACAAAGCAAAATATCATAAGTTATGATAGTGTACTTATACTTGTATCTATGGAACACACAGTGAATACACAATGTCTATTTAATTGATATCGTAAGAGTGGTTCAAGTTCAAATATAAAAGCTACATAGAAAGGTACAGTGACCCGAAGTAGTATAGAGCTTGTAACCGCAAGACAGAGCACACGTTGATTTGTTTAGGCTTGCAACACATGATGCAGGGATTTTGTTTATCCACTATGAAACTTTATCATGACGTTTCGCCCTCGCCAGATGTCGCCAAGTATAGCCTATCATTCAAACATTATTTTCCAAAATTTTGTTAATTTGAAATGATGCTTTTATTATCTTTTAATATACAATATATTTTGTTTGCTTTATTACAACAATATCCTTTTTATCACTTATGAAATAACAGGCACACATTGGTTATTCGAGATATTAAGTATGATCAACAATAGGAAAGCAGAATTGACCCAGATGACAAAAGGAAGATGCATGCTTGAAATAGTTCCACAATCGGCGATCAATCAACTTCCGTCCCCTCGAGTGCTTAACAGCCACTATCCGCCAAGGTTTGTCCGAGATTTAAATAAAATTGTAACATTTATAATACACGCAATTATTAGAAAGTTGTTGCTTTTCAGTATGTTTGTAACAAAGACCATGACACATTTTTAGGAGCGTTTTACCAAGCTATTAGTGGCGACATGGCCGAGTGGTTAACGCGTCTAGTAATCTAATGATCGCTAGCCGTATGGGTTCAATCCCCGTCAGGGGCAAGTCGTTGTTTCCTTGAGCAAGAAACTTTACACTCATTGCTCAGTACTGGCTGGTTCCAGGAACGGATTCGAAAGTGCGTCTATAAGCTTAAAGCTTCCTACACAATCAAACTAAAATAAATTCTGTATACAAGCTATTTAGTAAACAATGTTTTGTTTAGATTGTTTAAAATAAAAAAAATGAATTTCTAAAGAACGGCCAAAAATAGCGAAATTGAAAATACTGCAGACTCTGATTTATCCAGCTACCATCCACGCCCACCCCTTGCACCGTCTTAAGCAAAATTCAATATTTAAACATAAAGATGGTGAAAATTTAAATATAAAAACATCCGCAGATGTATTCATACAAGTATATTATCTAACAAGGCTATCACATAGAAACACATTATGATTTTGCATTTATAATAAGTCAATTAAGTTCAACGTTAAATTATAATAAAGCTGAAAGATTTGACCTGTAACTGGAAGTTATATAAGGTATTTACATATGCAATATTTACACCTTTTCACCCAAGACACATACGTCGTTTATCATCTTATCTACTGCTTATGAAAATTGCATTCTATTGAGATAAAAAAACAAGCACTAGAATTCATTGATTTTTGTTTTAGTCTTGTTATATTTAGTATACTTTCCTTGCTTTCCAGACTGCTTCCGAAAGACAAAGCATTGTCCAAACCCAAGACCATTTTATGTGTTCGAAACCCTAAAGATACAGCGGTCTCGTTCTACAACCATATGAAAGGCTTCCGAACTTATGACTATGATGGGAAATTTTCTGACTGGCTTCCCATATTTTTGGAAGGAAAATGTACACATATGTTTTCTTCAACAGTTACATGAAACTAAATAGAGAAAAAACAGAATTGAAATCGTTTCAGACTCAGTTTAGTTAAGCCTGCTCATGGCCGGCATAAGCATAGCCTGATTGTAAATTTGAGAACTGCAATATAATTATCGTTTTAGTTAAAAATATAAATAAGTTATTTTAGAGGAATGCATAAAGATGGAAAAGAATAACTATTTTTTGCTTTAAAGAAATAAACACCTAAGAAAGTTAAAGTTTGATTAGAAAGTTAAAGCTTGATAAAATAAGAAACATAATGTAAATTGCCGAATAAATTGAATAAAAGTATATCTGATATTAAGATATGGAAAATAAAAGGAATAGCTTATAACCACTATACAATATTTTTTATTAATAAGATGAAGTCCTGTGTCTCGAAAATGTCATATTACGGTGTTCATTGAAAATCTACTTCTTTTTTATATTCCAGTGGAGTATGGAAAGTACACAGATTATTTACTGGAGTGGGAAAAAGTTATAACTAAAGGAAAAGATTTTCCAATCCACCTTATGTATTATGAGGATCTTAAACTAGTAATGTTTACTATATTTGTTTTCAATACACAGACGCTTATGTTTCGCATTTGCAATTTTTTTCAAACCCGATATCTTGCGACTTAGCTTAAATTTAAGTAAATTGCGTTATCAATCGTTACAATATTTGTATATGAAATAAGTTTACTACTCGTATATATGTAATAATTCTCGATATTTGCTTGAAAATGTGAGACGAAAAGTTTTCAAAGCATTTCAGTCTGTTAATTTTACATTTATCTAATATGGGTACTTTTTGAAAATTCAAAAGAATATTAGATGTATCTTGAATGGTTTAGATCGGTATTGTTTTCTCTTATTTTATCTCTCGTGTTTCATTATAACAATATGTTCAAGGCAACAAAACATTTCTTGAAATAACTAAAGCACAACTGTTAAACTTTCTCCTAAATGAAACTTCTACATTTTAGGATGGTGAAGCCGAACTTGAAAGATTACTGAATTTTCTAGATATTGAACTTGATAAGCAGTTGCAAAAAGATATACTGAATGCGTGTGGATTTGACAAAATGGCAAGTGACAAGTTTCAAGGACCTAAACATATTGTTGATAAGATGTTTCGTGAGAATTTCAGATTTTTTAGAAAAGGTATTTTAGTTCAAGATCATTTAAGTAATTCATGTATGTTATTTTACACGGGCTGATCTAGTTTGATCTAGTTTGAAGGCATATTTGAAATTGAACAAAGGAAAGTCTAGTACATTTGTATCAGCAGGAACTTCAGTTCCTTCAACGTTTCATCAATAATTTTGACTGGTATTCAGTAATGCAACGAAACAAAGATTCTTGCATTCCAATTGTTTGGTATTGTTAATGCAAAAATGTTTATACTTATAATTAGTTAAGTAATGCCTCATAATATGACTGTGTTTAAATTGAAAAATAAACCCAATAATAAAAGACGGTAGAGTATCACACGCTATGTTAAATCAGCACACCTGCAGAATATAACCGTCGATTCGCTTGAAATTTCTTTTGTTCTTTTGCCCTGCTGTAACCAGAACATTTTTCACAACACGTATTTTACGGTTTTATTATTTCATTACGAGGAAAATTCATCAGGATTGGTTCTGCATATAAAAAACATGTACTAGTATAAAAAAGCTAAAACATGAAGAGAACTGCACATTTATGTTTTATTAAACTTTCTTTATTAAACCATTTTTGTTTTGATTATGTTGTAGGAGAAATTGGTGATTGGAAGAACTGGTTTACATGTGCCGATAATGAAATGTTTGATGAAACTTGGACCAAAGAGATGGCAAACTCTAAACTCTTTGAATTTAAGTACTCAGGCCCAAGATCTTGAATTCATTGAGACATTAAATGCATTGTTATACTTACTTTATAATTCAGTCTTTTTTAGAACATCATTTTTTATAAATGCTATACAAATATTTGTTTATACTTTTTTACATAACAATATTAAATGTATTTGTTTATATGATGTTAATTTTCATGCGTACACACGCTCACACGTACACACATTAAAATGAAATGTGTGTGAGAGAGAGCTATTAACTTAGAAAGGGGAAGTTGTATTTTATTTGAACCCAGAAACTTTAATTGATGTAGACACTATAACAAACAATTTTCAATCTTATTCTGAAAACCTCTAATAAAACATGAATGTAAAAAGAAGTCGGTCATGTTATGCTTTCTTTAAAATCCAGTTTCACTTCATTTTCGATGAAGCACTCACTGGAAAACTCCCTACGAATTGAAACATTACAGCTTGTCCATATTTAGTTCTCTTCTAAGCCCCACCACGACCTCTTCTGTAATTCGCAAAAATAAATTTAACTTAAATTTAAATTAAAAATAAAACTTAGATGTCCAGGAATTTCTTACTACTGTGGCCTTGCATTAGAATCGAAAAGAAAACCGTCTATAGGATGCTTTCACTTTAACGTGTTTCAATACTTTTAATATGGTTTCGCTGCAGGCGGACGAAGAGTTATTTCCCGAAACCAACTCAATCAAGATTTATCATATCAGCTAAAAGACATTTTTACTACCCGCTTTGTAGTGCTTTTATATGCAGTCAAGCCTGAAGATGACACAATCAGGGAGCGGGTTATTGGGTTTTGTAGAGGTATTTTCAATGCACCAATTGGGAACAACTAGATGGATCGATCAATAATTTTTTGAAAAGTTAAGAGCCTCTGCCTTTGGTCATATCAGGTACATGATGGTTGCCATCTTAATAGATTCGTAACTATTCTGTCTACAAGGATGTTCTGATACAGTTTTTGAACACTGATAAACCTGTTCCCAAACCCCACTGCAATCTATAAAATGGACCTTTGAATAAGTGCGGCGGCCAATGGAAACGCTTGAGCGACATTTCCACTCTGTTTGTACCACTATGCTCATATTTTCTCCAGTCTTAAGTTGCGTGCGAGCTATGACAGTAATAACACAATTCAAGTGGATCTTTGATCATTTGCTTTATTAATTATTAACGGTTTGTACATGCTTGGCACGCCTTTTTTTGGAAAAGGCGGACTGCTGGAGCATCACTGGTGTTAAGTACGGGACAACTTTCTAAAGCTGCACATGGCACTTTTATGGTTTCAGTATAAAAATTGAAAAAGGTGGAGATCTCGAGTGTATGCAACCTGTTTGATAATTTGCTTGGTATTTGTGAAAAATAATTATAAAGTAACTTAATTTTTAGAAACTGTTTGAAATATTCAATATTCTCAAGAAAATAAATAATGCACGTAAAGCTATTTTATGGAGTCAGCTATAACCTACTATATTATGGTTGTTTTTTGTGAATAATAATTATAATATAATTAAAATGAATTTCATAAATAATTTCTTTAAAAGTTTTTAAATTATTCAAAATATTGTCGAGTGAACAATTTGATTTCGGGGAAACCATGCATGTTTACCAGGAGAAGAAACAAGACTCATTTGGTGGGTATGTTCAATAAAAATAAACCCTTCAGCATCGGTCTGCGTAGTTTAAGAAAGCGAAAGGAACTTTTAGTTTCTGAAATTAAATACATTTATGTATAAACATTACAATATGAACTAATTTATGGTTACTCATAAAATGTGAAACTTATATATCACAGCTAACTTGAATTCCTCCTTGTTTTACCGCAATCACTTCACCCTGTAAATGATTACCTAGAGATCATTCTTCCCACTATCTAACAATGTTCTTATACATTCTTTAGCATCAATGTTGTCTTTACATATCGTTACATCCATTCTATCTGCAACTTTATCTTCATTTACATGTTTCTTGCTATAAGATACATTCATCTCATAAATAGTATTAAAATTCCTGTTCTTCTTCCATTTGTTTTGACGTCTATGATTTAGCAGAGACAGAAACATTAGAAATGATGCAATTGTCATGCATATCCCCGAGAGATAAAATGTAAAAGTGTATTTCCCCGTGATGGTAAGTAAAACTCCTGAAAGACAAAAGTAATTTGTTATGACTTTAAAAACATGCGATAATGGCTTATCTTCATCGCCGCGTGGATGCTCTTGCATCAAAATTGTTTTGCTCATTACTACCAATCTCGGCCAGTTATATTTCGTTGCAAGGCAGTTACCGCAAGTTTACATACATTCTTAATAGTTCTGTCCCATTCCATCTCCAGTCACATATAGTCGTGCATGCATAATATAAAAAGTTTACTTCTTTCAATTCTTACTTTAAAAGTTTAAAAAATCTACAACGTCAGCAAGATTTGTGTTGTATTAAAATATAAAGGGACATGATAAATTAGTGCAGTATAATCAATGACAGAAAATGTTTTATCCTTTTTGAAGTGCACTATCTCACAAAGACAAATATAACTCGTGCAAAAGGCGACGATGGAGCAACAGTTAAATGTACCTGCTAATGGTCCCCCGATTAAATTTCCGATTGCTTTAAATGGAATAGATAAACCAAACGCCATCAGCGAACCTGTCGTATCCCACTTTTTTAAAATATTAATGCAAGTTGACAAATTTAAATGATATAATCATAATATAAACGAGTATATATTTAATGTCACATGATGTATTGAAGAGCGTCATGTCAGCAGTTGTGTGGCCTAGTGCGAATCATTTACAGATATGAGTGTTGTTATATCTCCTTTACGTACGCGCGTAGGTGTTTATCAATTTGCACCTATCAGTTCGTCACATTGGCCAGATGGCAAAATAGTGGGACATACACGCATAGATGTAAGAAATAAAAAGATCTGAACTATTGTCAAATTGGGACATAATACGTGTCCTACAGTCACATTCCTAGTTGTCTTTATTTTTTTATTTATTGTAAAGAAAATGAATTTACGCTCCTATTTTCGGCACAATTTCTATACCGATTGTTTTAGGAGTTTGTGTTGACATATACAACTATTAGCGACCTCGAGCAAATCTTATTCTGAAAGCTACTAGTATAACATTAGTCTTTTGATTACCGACTAAATCATAACAGAATGAAGATGCTGGAAATGAAAATATGTATGTCATTAATAAGTGCTAGGATTGGCATACATTCCATTTGCTTTAACTTATAGTATAAGAAATGACAGTATAATCAGAAATGTGCTGTGTTAGTCATTTGAGATACATATCACAACTAAGTATCAAAGGATACTCATACAAAATGGTTCTTTAGTTGTCATTCTCTCCTAGTAAGGCCTTAATAATTTCAAATAACCATGAACATTGTCGCTGAAATAACAAGTTGATCAAACATAAAATTAAATTAACTTTTATATAATCCTGTGAGCTAAATCGGAGATGTAGTTTTTTGTCAGACGCTTCCATCTCTCAGGAAATATCTATTCTTGCAGGACCCAGATTGTGTATCGGAGAACCTTTGGCAAGGATGGAGTTGTTTCTGATATTTGCAAACTTGTTGCAGAAGTTCCACTTCAAACAGGTTGACGGAGAACAATATTCAATTGAGGGCATTCAAGCTTTAACGCTCACTGCTTGACCATACCATTTGAAAGCTGATTCTAGATAAAAAAAAAACATGAATCCAATCATATTATTAAGATAAACAACATACAATATAGTGTTTTCGGCACTATTTGTTGTAATGAAAAAGAAAGAACAAGCCAACTTATAATTTAGATCTAATCATATTTTAACGATGAAACGTTATATCAAATACATTATATTTTACTTACACCACTTTACGTTAAGTCATGATTAAAAAGACTTTGTTTTCCATTCTAAACATGTCTTGAGAGGTTATTTGTAATGCTTTGTATAGATTGTAAACTGTAACATGTATATTATATATTCTAAGAAATAAAATATGTTAATGAAATACTTTCAAATAATTGATTTATTGTTTTTTTTTATCTTAAATAAGTTAGAAAAGATTTATTCATTCAAGGCAAAAGGTATCCAAGGGATAAAGTGTATATTAATTGAATAAGTATATAAGATTTCGGATACACTTTATGTACGAGCAATGAACAATGTATCATGTTTCAGTTTTAAGTTACTAACTGAAAGGTTAAAAGGGGTAGGACAGTCTTGTCTATACAAACACGTCTATCTAGATTTATTTCAACCTTGTAGTTAATAGGTCAGAACTGACATATTGTGTATAAAAAGGTTTATAATAACTCTATACGTTAATATTACTAGCATGTGGAAAGTGCATATTGTAGTATTCAAATACCGGACATATCGTTTTAAGGTTGTAGAATCATTTGGTATTGTGTCAGCATAATTTGATTTAAGATAAAAACGGCGTTAGCTGTATAAAAAAGGACATCTATAAAAAGGTATGATCATTTTTATTGCATCTGTAGTTTTTATATAAATATAAAATATTAGTTAAAATACATGTCATGCTGTTTAAACAGTATTTATCAGATTTTTGTTAGAAACTTAATAGAAGAATATGACCTTTACTTTATTGGTATTAAATCCAAATTAATACTTTGCATGTGAACTTGTGGTATGAAAATGCTCTGCACAATTAATGATATATCAAAAAACAAGGTGTGTAACAATTATAAAAACATGTCACTTTTATACACGAATTATTTATGTCTTAGTTAACAATACTGCGTAATTTATAAACTGCAAAATATTATTCTGTTTAAATTTGCTCAAAATAGCATATATTGGTATATAACGGAATTGCAAAAATAAATAAATAAATAAATAAAATGTTCACTGATTTTAATTGTTCTTTTCTCAAATTAGTGTTTAGTACTGATATGTCATTATAAACTTACTTTAACAAAAATGAACCTTTTTTCCATTGAATAACATAATATCATGTTTATACAACGGATAATTGTTGTATTGATTGAAAACATTTCTACAACGCATACTGATTTCCATATATATCTTATGTACGAGTATTTATTATACAGGGGATATGTAGAAATTAGTATAGGTAAAAGCATTAATTGACCATTGTGATTATAATATATGTTTAACGTGTCACTTTGTAATATACCAGTATTGCGTTGAAATTATATTATTGTTCCGTTTTTATGATTAGTAAACACTTTTATCTACCTCAATATTTGTTTATATTATTAATATGTTATGTATCCATATATCAAAACAATGATCTTACCTTTCCCTACTCGACAAGTTCTGTTTTCATTTTCTGTGACTAAACTCAACAAGTACATTACCTGACCTTGTTATACATAATGAAACCCCACGAAAATCACGATAATATTCAAATATCCCCTGATTTGTGAACGAATGAATTACAAGAGCGTAGCGGATGGTATCTTTGCTTGACTTTGGGATGCTTTCTCAAACATGATAAAGTACATAAATAATTTGTTTCTTGTGAGTAATATTAATAAATACTGAGTTAAAAACTGATGTATGGATAGAAAAACAAAAGAGCATGTAGGTAAGATAGCTACGCTCTCTCGTTCTTCAAATCGCCACCCGGGTCTGTAAATACTATGCAGACCTATTCCTCGTACGGTAACTATTACATAACAGTCCAGATTTTTTCCTATATGAATCAATGAAAAAACTGTACTGTTATATATCAATACAGTTTTCAAATGCTCATTGAAGCGTACTGAGTATAATGGGTTAGTAAGAACAAAGGAAAAGTTCCAAACCATGCGATAATACAAAGGTAAACGCCGATATACAGTAAAGATATAATAATCTACATACCACATTAAACTAATTAAAATGTTGAATGGTGACTACGCTATTTGTCACCTTGAAGCGGTCGTTATTAAATTCTCTTTAAAGAGCTGATATATAATTATACAAATTTAAAGGTTAAAATAGTACACTAAGTGTGATGAGATAAAAACTAGAAATGTGTCCATAGGACACGGGTGCCCCCACCGCGCCACTGTTCTGTCAATCTTTTTACTAAGTCAAGGGAAATAACTCTACAAATACTGGATAAATCCACAAGCGAAACCCCAGGTGCAAATCTAAATATGCTGAGCAACCTGCCCATAAGGTTTAATGACTATGTCAAATCCTTTTTGAGTAACTTGCGACACAAGTTGAAAATTGCAAAAATTTTCTAAGTGAAGGGCAATAACTCTAAAAATTCTAAATAAATCCAGACGAAAATACCTGGTGCACAACTGCACATGCTGATCAATATTCCTGTAAAGTTACATGACTCTAGGTCAAATACTTTTTAAGTTACGTGCGACACATGTTGAAAATTGCAAAATTTTACTAAGTCAAGGGCAATAACTCTGAAAATACTAAAAATATCCAGACGAAAATACCCAGGTGCACAACTACACATGCTGATCAACATTCCTGTAAAGTTTCATGACACTAGGTCAAATACCTTTTGAGTTACGTGCGACACAAGTTGAAAATTGCAAAATTTTACTAAGTCAAGGGCAATAATTCTGAAAATACTAAAAATATCCACACGAAAATACCCAGGTGCACAACTACACATGCTGATCAACATTCCTGTAAAGTTTCATGACTCTAGGTCAAATATTTTTGAGTTACATGCGACACAAGTTGAAAATTGCAAAATTTTACTAAGTCAAGGGCAATAACTCTGAAAATACTAAAAATATCCAGACGAAAATACCCAGGTGCACAACAACACATGCTGATCAACATTCATGTAAAGTTTCATGACTTTAGGTCAAATACTTTTTGAGTTACATGCGACACAAGTTGAAAATTGCAAAATTTTACTAAGTCAAGGGCAATAACTCTGAAAATACTAAAAATATCTAGACGAAAATACCCAGGTGCACAACTACACATGCCGATCAACATTCCTGTAAAGTTTCATGACTCTAGGTCAAATACTTTTTGAGTTACGTGCGACACAAAAGTGAACGGACGGACGGACGGACAAGGGTAAATCTAAATGCCCGCCACTAACATGGGGGCACAATAAAGATGAAAGATCTCTCCTGCACTCGTGCACCGGCTTCAATATCATTCATATCACTAAACCATCAATGTCCGAATGTAAACGATTGCAGTATTAAGTACTGCATCAAAATCCGGTATACTTTCAGTTGTTAATTTCCATTTTCTGTTTTATATGGTAATCGATTGTACCTAAATAGGTATCACTAAAATGGGGTATGTCCTTTAATTGTATTTAATTGAACTGGACATAAAGAAAACGCACATATATCTTTGACATTTTAAAAAACAAAAGGCAGTTGAACTCATTTTACATAGTAAGTAATTAAGATGATTAACGATTTTCTTGCCCTTGCCTTCCCCGCTGGCGGTTCATATCCTGCCAGGTACTTTGGATTCCTTTAGACTGTTCTTCTAAGATGCTTGATTGTGATATCATATAATGCAGGGAGGGAGCACCTGCTGTCCTTCTCTGACAGCCAAGCTAGAAAGTCGCCAAATTACATTTTACTGTGTCGGTGTGACTTAAACCCAGCCATGAAAATGGAATAAAAAAAATCTTTGTTATTTATTTTAAGGCATCAGTGTTGAGAAAGCAACAGATTAGCATATATCATCAATATCTACATCTTGGCCACGTGGGCTGGTCATGTGGGCTCAATAGTGTTGAATTACATGTATAACAATATTATCATAACATCATACAAAGGAAAAAGAAAAACAAAACCATGAGTTCATTGTCTTCTTCATCTTATTAAACTACAATAGCCACGGCAAACTATATTTGTATGTAATTGATATCAGCTGTAAATTTACCACATGGATGAGGTACTAGTACATTCTTAAGTCGCTTTAATCGCTATCTGATGCACTAAGTACATTTTATTTGTTTAGAGACATTCAAATATACCATGATTGTAATATTCCGACAAGGACACTTATTTATAAAATGTATAATTACATAATAATGGAGAAATTCCCCGACACTTGTTACATACCCTTTGAAATGAAGCAGGAAAAAAAATAAGATTTAACAAAGGATAAAAAATTATTTCAATATAACTAGATGTAAATAAAGAGAAGGAATTTTGGATACCAGAAAGTTGTACTTTATAGTTTAAAAGGAACTTTGTATTGTGAACAATGATAGCCATACGAAAGGATGGAGGATGGGCTTGGTGCATATTATTGAGTGTAATATGCTGTCAGACAATTCTAGGTGGTGTTATATTTTCAAGCGGAATATTCTATGTTATTTTTAAAGAAGCGCTTAATTCCGACCCCGTGGTAATCTCATGGCTGTGCTCTCTACCGATGACAATGTGGTATTTTGCATGTAAGATTATGTTTACTTGTTCTTTTAGCCAATTTCAATACATTTTTGGTCAAATCTCGTCGGCCAGTTCACCATATTCTATATGATTGTATCGAATCAAATACCCGTTTTGCCGGAAATAATACAAAAAAAAAACAACGGTAACTGAGGTCCTTCTCAATCAGTTTAGCTAGGAAATTCTCTTATGACCGTCAATATTGACGAAAATAAACGACAGGAACAAATAAAATGCAATGTAAGTCTATTTGTACATCTTTATTCAAACAATTGGCTATTCGTTTTTAATTATACACAAACTTATTCCTTTTTAGGTCCTTTTGGGAGTGTTATCACAAATAGATTTGGATGTCGGAAGTGTGCTTTTATTGGTGGTATCATGGCAGCAGCAGGATTAATTCTCGGATTCTTTGCTGAAAGTATTGAATATCTGTTCTTCACTCATGGGTTACTCACAGGTATTATATGTGTATCACATCTTATTTCTTATTTTAAGACCCGGATATTCAGATCAGCTGAACAATTATACTACAAATTGTATAACATATTTCTGCTACTATTATTTGTTACCGCGCGAATATTCAAATATCGCAACAACACGACTTTTTCCCGTTTGTCGTTCTAAACTTCAAAACTTTTTGGCATATCAATTTTAATTTTCTATTTATTTTACGAAGGCCGATAAATGAAAAGGTAAAAGATAACTTTGGTGCGACAATTCACACTCACGAATGATTGGCATGCGATTATAAAAATGGAGAGGTCTCATATAGTTGTGTAAATATTTTGTATGACATTTTATATTTTCCAGGTTTCGGTCTGGGTTTAAACTATATAGCTTGCATGGCTGTGATGAATATATACTTTGACAAATACAAGACCATAGCAACAGGGATAGCATCGACGGGACATAATATAGGACTTATTGTTTATACACAACTAATGAACAATTTGCAGGAAAACTACAGTTGGAGAGGAATGCTCTTCATTTTAGGGGCGTTGTCTTTTAATCTTTGCACATGTTCTACTGCCATGTTTCCACTGAAGTCAGGAAAAGTATCAATGATTAATGAAGTTAAAGAAATACAATCTAATACAGTTAAAAAGAAAGAAAATGTAAATTTATCTTTGTTTAGAAAATTATCTTTTGTATCATTTTGTTCAAGTAATATATTTACTAATTTAAGTTTAGGTATTTTCATTTTGCATTTGCCATCTTACTCAAAAGAAGTTGGGTTTACTGAACAGACGTTTGGAACTGTGTTGATGGTGTTTGGTGTAACTACGTTTGTGGGGAAAATTGTATACAGTTTATTAGGCCAACATCCAAGATTGGACGAAACTACATTATATACGTTCTCCCTTACGGCAACAGGAGTGTGTATATTTCTTATTCCAGTATTACTGACTGAGACAGGGATGCTAACACTATCGGGACTTGTTGGATTTTTCTACTCTGTTACTGGAGCACTACTCCAGGCTGTCATCTTTAAAATAGTGGGATACGACAGGTTCGCTGATGGCGTTGGATTATCACTTCCATTTAAAGCGGCTGGAAATCTTATCGGAGGTCCATTGGCAGGTATATATTAAACCCTTGTTCCTTTGTGTACGAGTTGCAATATACCGCGTTTACGGTTACAAACATCACCAATACATGGATAAAACCATTGTATTGTAAGTCATAATTCAGATGCGCCATAAAATTGTTTCTTTAAATATATCAAACGAAGTAGTAAATACATAATTATATTGTAACTTCAAATTTCATAAAGAGCAGATAAAGAGCTCTAAAAACAGACAGCATTGTTTTTGATTTTCCGTCATGAAAAATTTATACAAATAAAGTAAGCACACATCAATAGTATTTATTTACAAGTCGTGTATGAAATGGCATGAACGTGATCCATTGAATGCTTAATGATTACCGCCGTATGGATACATATGCAGCGGAAGTTTATAAATTCAAACTTTTACCATTCCATTTTTAAAGTGTTGAATTTTGCTTAAGTCCGTGCCAGGAGGCTCGGATGGAAGCTTGCAATTATCACCACCGTCAACCACTTCTTCGAATCGAGTCAAGTCGTTTAGGGGCTTCCTTTTTGAGCTATTTTGTTACAATTTCTAACAAAATATTTTTATTTGACTTGTAGGGGTCCTACTCACCATCACGGGAAAGTACACTTTTTCTTTTTATCTCTCGGGCATATGTATGACGGTGGCATCTTTTCTTATGTTTCTGCCTCTGTTAAGCCATAGACGTCGAGACAGACGGGAAAATAATAAGAATTTCAACACTGTTTATGAGATGAATATATCCAATGACAAGGAACAGGCTAATGGACTGTATGCTGCTAATGGGGCACTCAAACCGACATTTAAACCTTCTCTTGGCGACGAAGAGTGTGACAGAATGTTATAAGAGTGTGAAAAGAGTGATATATGTAGGTAGATTGGAGGCCGAGATGATAACAGTTATAAATAGAATGGAATTCATATAACGTGTAATATGCAAGACCTACAAAGGATAACCTGTGAAACGTGTCACTTTCCTTAAAAGATTATCATTTAGATTTAACTTTTAGAATGAACCAGTAAATCTGGTGGTAAATTAAGGTCACAGTTTGCTTTTTTAAATTTTCAACAAGAAGTTTCAGTTTCCCTATTTTATATTGTTTTAAAGATCTCCTATAGATCTCGTACATCTTTTATTATATAAAAGTATTTCTTATGTAAGTATGAATACCATAATAATTGACAGAATTTTTCATGTTTTAGTTATTTAAATGTGTTAATTTCAGATGAATGTTGAATATCACTTGTATTGCTCCTGTTTCTGTATATTACCCTCAGTGATCTTTCACTATATTTTTTTCATGTATTGGAAAGACTTCTTTTTTGAAAAAATCAGTCAAGTTTTAATGACACTTTATACATGTACTATTTTATTAAAGCTTGTACCACGATACAACATTTTTTTATATTTTAATTGATGACGGATAGAGTATATATTATTTAATAATGACGTAAACGTTTATAGACTATGGTTTTAATATTGTTACAGAAAATAAATGTGCCTGTCTTTTGATAAATTAAAAATGTTCAAGTAACATCTTAAACTATCTTTTGTGTCTAACGTTGTAAACGTTTTTTTTTTTTGTTTTTTTTTTTATTTCTGACGATGTCAATGTAGTCAAAACTAGTAATGCATGTCTCCAGCACAGTTTGTCTGCCTTGTTTGTTTGGTTTCACTTTCACTTTGAGTGCAATTGTTGTCGCTGTTGTTTTTATTTTGTTGATTGCATTTTGTATTACACACCAACAAAGAAACAAATATCTAAAAGATGCCTTGTTAATTTTGTTATGTTTATACATATTAGGAAGCTGTTTGATTTAACACTTATTATAGTTAAAATTTGCAGTCTTTTATGACTGATTCATTCTATATGACTCTCTGTTTTATTTAAAACATTCATCAAAGTGAATGTTTAACTATGAAATATGGTTCATAACTGCGCATTATCTATGTAAACATAATTTTTCCATTATTTAACATTCGTATGTATAACATATTTTGAAGAATAATTGTCCTTTAAGTTAGTGACTTACGCTTTTCATCACTGGCAAGCAGATTTAAATTAGTTATATATATTTTTAAAAAGATTGACTTAGGTAATTGTTGTAGACCAATAATTGATAATGTCGAAAACTGTTGATTACACATTATCAAATTCCCTTCATCGAGTGGATTATTGACTTTTTGTGTCATATTAAAATACAAAATTGAACACAATTATGGCAAAAATATCAAGTTATATTATTTTGATTTTTACCAGTTCAATGACCATGTTCACTTTCCTATTCAAAAGTATATTACCTAAGAGACAAATGAGGCCTGAGGACATGATTAATACCAGTTATTTTTGTGGCAAACAAAAGGATATCTATGCCAAATAATCGTACTTTCACACAATATGTCTCAAAGTGTTCGTTAGGTCTAAATCAATCAAGTGAACCCTGGGCCGGTGTCAATATTGAAATAAGGGACACGATTCATATCAGTTTTGTAAAGGGCATTAATGCAATGATACATGCTAAATATCAAAACTCAAAAAAGGCATTGTGGTTTCACACATTGAAACTTAAATGCGTATTCCTCTGTGCCAATTTTGATTAAAAAAAACCCAAACAAGTTTTAATCTTTTTCTATCGCTTCAAAAGATGCAAAGCGGGCACGAAATTTTGAAATTCATTTAAAATTACTAAGTGTGACCTTGACCTGATGAAAGTCAAACTTGCACTCTACACATCGTCTCATTATATTTAACATTTCTGACCACTAGTTTAAATTGTCAGAACAGATACGAAAACTGTTACCAGACGGACGATCGGACGGACGGAAGACCAAGTATAACAGTCCAGGTCAATTTTTCTGTCTTATGAAAATGATTACATTAACTGATTTAAATGTGTTTAAACGCTTGCACGTTTTTTTTCTATTTATAACAAAATGTAAGGAAAGATCAACAAAGTAGGACGACAACTATGCAGTCCCATTTGTCATGCACTAATACTTAAAGAAATAAATATTTCGACATGTTATTAGAAGTGAACATCGTATGATAAATCTTTCTATAAGGTTATTAAAAGATACCACAGAAAACATTATCCGATGCTATATGAATAAATCAATAAAACTTATTCAAAAGAAATCCTGTAAAATCATTAAAATAATTTATGAGATTTATCACTCATGTCAATGTCAAAAGTTTTTTCAACCCTTCATCAATTTCATATTTGATACATCTTAATGTTTTAATCTTTTGTAAAATATCTTTAACAACAAAACAACAGTAATGACATAACAGCATGTACGTCTTGAAGACGTAGACTTGCCTGAATGTTACGTTGTTTGGTAAAAATGTTTTTATTACCTTGTAAACTCGATTGGGGTATTAAGATAATAAAAGAATAACATTAGATAAAATATTTAGCACATTTAAAAACTTCCTGGCATTTTAGAAATTTATACTATATTTTACACAAACAATGACAGATTTTATTTTTTTTCTGATAATGTTCATCAAGTACACTTTTAAGGATCAAATTACAATTCTAATGAAAACGTAAATGTTAAAGCTACATGAACAGTAAAAATTCAAAGCATTTTTTTAAGAATCAAAAGCAATTGTTTGCACTTTATAAATAAACACGATAAACAAATATGTACATGACGTTAATTACTACATAAAAGTAAGAATTCAAAGTATTTTAGGACGCAGAGCAGTTTCTAGCCTTGAACAAACACATACAAAAAAACAAAGATGTACAGGTCGTCAAAAGTACATGAAAGTGAAAATTTAAAGGATTTTAAGAAGCAAAGCAATCGGTAGGCCTATACAAACACATACAAAAAACAAAGATGTACAGGTCGTCAAAACTACATGAAAGTGAAAATTTAAAGGATTTTAAGAAGTAAAGCAATTGCTAGCCCTATACAAACAAGTACAAAGAACAAAGATGTACATGATAACCTTTTGTGACATTTACCGGAATGATTTGAGCAGCATATGGATTTAAACACAGTCAAAATGTTCTTTTTGATCGCTAGATTGAAAATAATACCAGCTGTTCCTAATACACCTGCAAGGAAATCATCTTTTGCATCACTGATAAATGCTTTGACGTGGTGTATCTGGTCATCAGCTAGGCAATAATATGAAAACAGAACTAACAGCAGTAAATCTAGAGCTTGGCAAATGGTTGTTATCACGTTGAAAAACAAGGAAATGGTGTCCATCATACTGTTGTCATCATTTTGTTCACACAATGAAAGTGCACTAAATATATACTCTAGAATGCCGAAGAACATTTTACTTATCACAGATGCCATGAAAATCCAATGATATTTATTTAGGGCAAAGTCGCAGGGCTTTTTCCCCGTTGATTCAATTTCTTCATCGTTTTTACGTAGTTCGACGAAGTTAATCCAGTCAAATACAACACTTGTAACAAAAAGACCTACTCCAAAAAGCCACAGAAACGCAGAGCAACATCTGTTTGCCATTTTTTGTACCTGAAAGTAAAGTAAAAATCCTGCCATAACACAAGTAATACGAGATGGAGAATAAGAAAGGAAAGGAACGTTCACAGACGAAATAATGTTCAGTCAAACAGGTGGCACACTAGAATGATACAAAGAACAGCCTCTATAAGAAACTAAGCAGGGCAAAAACAGGAAAAGAGTAAGATTTAAACACTTCTTATAGGGCAATCAGAAAGAAATGAAAACCTGAAATAGGAATCTTAACACGGCGGGTGGTGCATTATAGAAACTGACACTAAAGCGAGAGAGGGAATTCGAATAAAAAGAAGGGGCGATAATAGAACGATAACGGAACCACCATTGGACATTCATAAGCAATTCATAATCACTATTTCAGCAGTTTTAGGTGCACCAGTCCTTACACTAGGTATTTAAAGAAGGTATATCACCACGAAAATGACATTTTAGACAAAAAAGAAAGAGAAGAACTAGTCACGTCAAGCAATACTTAATATTTATAAAGTCGGGTATATCTACATATGATAACACAAGCTGTGAAAAACTTTTAAAACTAACTGATAAACTACATTACGTACATGATAACAACATGCATGTATGTATATAGATAAATAAACAAAATATGTTAAAGTAAAATAATTAGCAATACTGTGCTCTCCAGAAAGTCTATGTGCAAGATCCCTTCTTGGCAGTCGAAGGAGCGTTGCATATGTGTTCATTCCATCTCGATAAAGGACTTAAAACCCCTTGCAAGATAAGCAGATAAATGTGTCTGGTAATATAATTACATTCAAAGGAAGTGTTATAGAATTGCAATATAAAAGCTGAACCACTAAAACGTTTATTTTATTATTTCAAAGACATGATTATATAGTTATGACAAGTTAAGTGTTAAGAATTACGCTATTTTGAATTAAATAACACAAATATAATATACAATAAGTTGGTCAAATATTGATATATCTGATAAATCACAACAAATAACAAATGGTGGGTCGCAGATGCAGAAAGAAAACTAATATGACATTCAATTTGTTGAGATCTAGTAAGCGAAATCTTCAAGAAGTAAGCGTTCTTGACGAATATTTATTATGTTTGATAAATTATACCATCTAACTGATACATGGAATAGAAACGAACAGTACATATAGCTCTAACCTTTGATATACAATAGTGACTTTGCCTCAAGTCATATGTGGCAAACGCATATGGTACTTTACATTTGAATTAAGTATCATAAATATGCTTCTTAAATGAATCCATAGATTTCGAACGAAACCGCTAACTGACGGAAAAATAATATGAAGGACTAAGAGACACATAGTCATAAGGTTACCAGAGACATAATATTATCCAAGTGTATGACAGTTAGAATAATAATGACAAGTCTATGTACATAATATGACAGAAAATATGTGAACATCTTTGAAATATTTTATTTTAATCATTAGATTTAAAAGGAAAAATACAAAAAGCCACTTACACAAAATTTAAGTGTTATCACAATCTCACTACTCTTGACGGTTTGACATTTGTTAATAGATAAATAATCTATTATCTTTCCCTTTTTTCAAATCATTTTCGGAAAACCGTTACGAAACACGGATTTTCCAACATGATGCAGATATTAATGAATAAAAAAACAGCACCTTATCGAGTAAGCTTAACGATTGTATCTAAAGCAAAGTTTCTTAATCTATAGAATTAACCATTTTTGTGATAGAACTGAAAAGGTGACGTAACAATAGTGACAGCATGAATTAACTAGAAATTAGATTAAGAGAATTTTATAATTGCTGCATAGATACGTTCGTTCATTTGTTAAATATTAATAGGCTTAATGAAAATTGTAGGTACATTAGTTTGAATAAAAGCAATGAGGTTTAGAAATTCCTTCTCAATATTAGTTGAATAAGTAACTTGTCAATCTTAAAGAGAAAAAGAAAGACAAAAAACAAGGCTTTTTAACTCAAACTGTTAATTGATCCATCAAACATGCAGGTTTAAGTTTCTTCTGCATGATGTACATTATAATAGTCAGACAAACTTACATGTCTTCCCAGAACAGGAGGCGGAATAAGGCAAGGATAAGGAAGAAATTAATGACATCTTTAATTGGTTAAAACTCTCCATTAGTTGAAACCATCTTTGAAGGCAAAGTCCCTGCAGTCCTTGCTGTATGTCTTGCTATCACCTTTACGTTTTGCGCATCGTTTTCTTAAATGTTTCGTTTAGAATCTGTGACATGTTTATCGACGTCCAGATAAGGGTTTCCTCAACTTCTCATTCAAGAAACACAATGCTTCAAAAACAAATGAAAAACAGCAAATATTAGTTGTATAATGTTTAAATAATAATTTAAGAGTATCACATGCAGAAAGTAACGTTATATGTATGTGAAATTATTTGTCATTAAGTGTTACTTCTTTCCACTAACAAAGTAGTATTTTGACTTCAATACAAAATACTAAATTACTATAAATGTACTTATTTCCAAAAAGCAACAGAAGCAAAAGATGATTTAGGTAATAACATTGTAGCCAACGAGTAACTTGTTAGAAACTATAAAAGGTTACCAAAAATGAAAAGACTTTTGAGAAATTAAAATAACAGAACTCCTAAGCAAAATGGACCTTTAAGTCTTGCCCTACCGACCTCTATAATGCTCCTCCAGTATGGTGAACTCTTTAATTTCAATCACGTATTTGTTATCTGTTTAAATACACGCACTGATCAATACTTGTAGAGCACAAAGATTAATAGGTCGAAGATAAATCGAATGTTTAAAAAATGTCGATCTATCATTGTAAACTATGCAGTCATTAGGTTATATCAATTGTGCGTTGCGTATGACCTCTTGAAAGATAAAAACTATCGACTTCCTGAAGATTGCTCTAAATCAAAATGGAAATAGTCACAGCCATGTTTTGGACTATATTGTTATTTATATTTTCACAATTAGAAGGTTAGTCTTTCAATTTTATAGAAATACCTTAATTAAGACATTTCCGATTGTGTGTTTAAAATAATTTCGCTTTTTTCAGAGCTTTGTCAGTGATTATGGTGATCATTGTTGTGGAACCGAAATGGTATTGCATATTTCTCTAAATGCATATATTGTATGATAATTTTCTTTAGATTTTTTTTATTTAGCTGGAATAGGTTTTAAAATTGCAACAAAATACCGAAATTTTTGTTAAATGTTGTTTTGTTTTGTAGTGATTTAAATATACAGATGTTCAATTTGATTAGACATTAAAAAATTAATAAAAAATAGAAATACAGACATATGTCTACAGCTTGTTAGTTTTGTTTCAAGGATACGAGGCATCTGACAAATGTTACTTCTCATTTCCAAAGCATAGTGCTGATACGTTCTTGTCGAGTGGAAGGAGACCTTCAAATAACTATTGCTGTAAAGGATCTGAAAGCGTTTTTGAGGAATGCTGGAAAGAAATCCCTCCATGTTTTGTAATAAGTTACACCTTTATACTTATTCTACGGTGACACTAAAGTAACATCCGTATAACTGTTTTAATTAATAGAAAGTAATAATATTCCGAAATTACGATTTTATTTCCGTAAAAAGCAAAGAAATGTTATTTTAAAAACGTTTTTTTTTTAATTCGCAAAAAAGGTAATCATAGATCCTAAAAACGAAATAACTTTTCATTAAAGGTTATAATATTTCGTAAAAAAACGTTATGGTGTTTCGTTTAAATGATATAACATTAGAAAACAATAGTATGTTGATTCGTAAAACAAGTTTTATTACGTTTTTTAAGGTATTCACATTTCAAATTTACATGTATGTATTTAAGTATTTAACAGTTTTGGGGAAAGAATATCGTATCATCAGATGAGTGATGTTTCAGATATCTGAGGTAACCTGCCAAAATAGCGGTACATGCTTACATGATGGCGGATGTAAATGCAGACCAGGGTTTACAGGGCAATATTGCGAAATCGGTAAAATGTTTATATATTCTAATTAAAATACATTTCTCGAATTCGGATTGACATTTTGTATATCGATGCAGTTTATACAGTGAAGAAGCACATAAGTAACATTATATTTCTACAAGATGGTTACCTACGCATTTGCACATAATAAATTACTGCGTTGTTTTCATAATGGCATATTTCTCTTTTTAATTGTCATTGCCTCAAAAATAAAAAAATAAGTCAAAAGTGATACCGCTATGACACATGTATGATGACTTTATGTTTGAAATACCTTTTATTGCGTTTAATGTCTTATGTTATCTTATTTACATGAGCCTTTTGAAAACAGTCTAATTTTGCTAGGTCTTTATATGAACTTGTCGTCAATAAATGTTTGCCATATTATAGATTTGGCACAGGAGTGTATTTAAATAGCTTTAAAGCGTAACACTATAAACGCATCAATGCAAACTGAATACGCAGCAAATATAATATTATCTTCGTATAGATTCAATATTTAATTTATTGAAGTCGCTGAATAAAACAATGTTATACTCTTCAGACTATTGCATATGATTTTATTTACTCGTTCAATAAAGTTAGTGTTAAACCTACACACATTTAATATCTTCTATTTTACAAATTGCTTACATGATATACAAGACATTAAATAGCATGGCTGACATAACTATTTCATCTAGGCTACTTGTATTTTCTCTCTATAATCACGTCAGAAACCTGTATAACTGATATTCTAACACACTTCACATATTTTTCCCCCATTATACATATAGGACAGTCGAAGGCAATATTACACGATTTGCGCAAGGCATAAAAAGTAATGCTCATACCACGTCATATGACATGAAATATGACGTCAATTAATAAAATTAACATCAGGGGAAAATATCGTTTCTTGCGTAGTAGTATAATAATGCATGGAAAGAACTGATCAGGCGGAATGCTGAACTATTTTTTAAGAAACATGTTACATTTATGATAATATTTATTTCAGAAAAAAGTGTATGCTTGACATCTTTTTTTAAGCCATATCGCATATAATGTGACATTCGTGACGCTTCTTATTTCGGAAAGCCATATTTTTTAAAATAAATATCATTAATATCATTTTATTAAAATTGTGATATACGTAGATCTTAAAACGAAAACAATGTTTTATTGGTTATTCGAAGATTTTAACAAATCAAGTGACATGTGCATATAACTATTTCATGCAAACTAACGTTGAGAGAATATTAATATAAAATATTTCAAATGATGGCTCTATGACAATTTTTCGCCAATATTTCCTAACAACCCTCGTACATTTCAGGCATAATGAAAATGAAATTGAAAAAGCAAACTTTTCTTATATCTGTCCTAATGTGTATTTCATTGTTTAATAAGACACACTTTATTTTACATAAATACTGTTTCATTTTAATTCATTTGTAACAACTATACTTACAAAATACTAGTATCCTATTCATTTTCCGTATTCCGTTTTTAAATCAACATTATATTTTTATATAATTATGACGAATCTTTAAAACTAGGTAAATAAATTAATCATTAAAGGCAATAATTTCTAATGAACAAATATCTGCTGTACTTTTAGAAATAAATGAATGCACCGTGCAACCCCGTTCCCCGTGCCAGAACGGTGCTACTTGTGAAGATAGGGTCAATGGATCCCATTGTGTTTGTCCTCCAAGAATGTATGGGGTTTTGTGTGACACAAGTAAGAAAACACTTAAAAAAACTTACAATAACTTTGTCAACTTTCATTTGAATATAAACCATTTTTAAATGTCAACTGTAATTTTCATGACATTGAATTTTAATAAATCAAAAAGAAGTCGGAATTGATTCAGTTAAAAAAGGATAAAATACTAAGTATTTCGGATAGATAAACTTCAAGTACACTAATGACGTTAAACGGTAGACAAATACATATATAAACAGTTAAAAATATAGTTTAATTGAAAATATGTATGCCTACTGAGTCAATTCCTCTTTACAAAATATTGTATAAATGTATGCTTATATTTTACAGACATCTGTTATCCTACTCCGACAGAAGTTGTCTTTTTTATTGTTATAGTCTATTTCTATATTTTACAGATATTTGTCACCATATTCCGTCAGAAGTCGTCTTTTGTATTGTAATAGTCTATTTCAATATTTAACAGATATCTGTCACCATACTCCGGCAGAAGTTGTCTTTTGTATTGCAATAATCTATTTCAATATTTTACAAATATCTGTCATTCTACTCCTGTAGAAGTCGTCTTTGTATTTAATAGTCTATGTTCATTCTTAACAGATATCAGATTGCGGTAGATATTGACTTTACTTGATTTTAACAATGTATGTCAATATTTTACAGATATCTGTCACCCTACTCCAGCAGACGTCGTCTTTGTTTTAGATTCATCAGTAAGCATGACAGAGGGAGAATTCAAGAAACAGTTAGAATTTGTTGCAAATTTCAGCAGTAAAGTTCCTGTTGGACCACACGACTTCCAAATTAGTGTAGTAACATTTTCATCTGATGCACATGTAGAGTTTTATCTTAACCAGTATAAAGACAACGTTTCACTTCATGACGCTATAATGAAAGTCAAGTATAAACGTGGGACAACGCGTACCGACAAAGGTCTGAAAGCGGTAAATAGATATTTTAGTGAAATTGTTATATTATTTCAATAAATCGATACCATTTATAATTATACTAATATTGAAATTTAACTTAATTATCATGCACCCAAATCAAATCAATAAAAATATACGCACCTAATTTTTTCTTAACAATTTTGTATGTAGATATCTTTGTAATTTTTCTCCTATTGATATAAATATTTCACTAGGTTAGAACAGAAGTATTCACGGTTGGTCATGGCATCGGAATACGCAAAAATGGTACAAAAGCTGCGAGATTTGTTTATGTCCTTACAGACGGCATGTCTATAAACAGGGCCGACACTAGAGCCGAGGCTAGTGAATTGAAAAAATATGTCGATGCAATTGCAGCCATTGGTAAGAAAAAATAAAGCAAAAATAAAAAATGTTTCTTAACTTCTGCTTTGAAAAATAAAAATAACCAAAAACCACACACAACAAAAATAATCGTCTGAAATGAGTCTTATCGAGAATTCATATAAACAATTATCTTCGCTTTTGTATGCATTATGCAAATTTTAAATATCTTATTTCAGGAATTGGAAACGAAGTTTTACATCAAGAACTTTTGGACATTGCTTCCGATCCATCGTTTGTTTACTCTGTTAAAAATTTCAACTCTTTGTACACCATTCTCAGGCAGCTGGTTCAGTTGTGTGATGGTAAGCATTTTTAAATTTGTTTTAAACTTACAAATGTTTTAAACTAAAAAACTTATCTTGAATGACTAACAAAATAATCTTATTTTTTTGACATAATAGTTTTGCTTTTGTAAAACAACATGCAGTTTAAATACAATTTTGACATTCACAAGATTGATGTTTTTATTTTAGTTTATAAATCTTTTCAGAATGTGAGACAAGTATGGCGTCAGATGTAGCTATCCTTTTAGATTCATCCTATTATATAACAGCAGAACAGTTCACTTTAATGGTTGACGCTATTATGCATATAATTGACACCATGAACCAATTAAACGTTATTGGTAACCATGTTAGTGTGGCCACATTTTCTGATGACATCAAAAGTATAATGAATATGGGAGAAACGTTCAACAAAAATGTCATTAAAAGTAAGGTTAACATGGTCTCAAAGTCGCCTGATGAACATCAAGCACAATTACATCTTGAAACCGTGTTTGCATATGTCAGGGATAAAATTTTCAACAAAACATTTTCAATGAGGGTTGCAAAGAAATTTCTCCTAATTTTCACTAATGGTAAAGCTCATGTGAACAGCGAAAGCACCTTTGAAAGTGAGAAATCTAAGTTAGAAGCCGACGGAGTAAATATTATGGCCGTTGGCAGTGGAGAAGACGTTGGCATGAACGGGTTAATCAAGCTTGTTACTGATAGGTTTAATGTTTTTGTTACTAGTCATGACTTGCCAATGAACAATCTAGACGTTTTGCAATCTGAATTTGTTTACAGCAAATGTAATCTTACAGGGGTATGAAACTCAACGTCGTACTTTACGATGTGCAAAGTGGGTCTTATTGGTATCAGTAAATATTTTATCTAAATTAATGATTATTTGATCATGGAAGGGTTTACTTCAAAGCTCATTATTTTGCTTGAAATGAAAAGAAACTTCTACAAATCCAGTTTTCCTTTGAGATAAAATTGGCTAACTTGATCAATTTTTAATCTTAATTGTTTTCAATATTTGTAAAATCAATTACTTTAAAAATGTAGTCGACCGTTTTAAACAGTAAAATGTTATATTTATGTTTCACTCCCAGTCAATAACTTAAAATGAAAATGAACATTTGAACTCTAAGATATTTCAAAGTTGATATGTTTATATTTTTATTTAATCCTGTTTGATATGTTTTCCACTTTCAATCCTAATGTTTTATTTGCTAAATATATCCCATTTATCATTTAAGATAGCTTTCCTAGAGATTAAAGAATGTAACGTAAAATGTTTAAACTGCTAAAAATACTTCCTTTTGCCGAAATTGTTGTCAATTACCTAATTTATGAAAAACTAGGAGATAACTGATAACAAGTTTTGTTTGCTCATGATTTTTTTATCGAAATATAATCCAAACCCGTGGGCAAATAGATAGTCAAATCTCGTGTAATTTATCATCAGATTGTGATTATTTCAATATCTTAGAGATAATAATCGATCTGGATTTTTTGTGTGTAAAATTCCGTCCTATAGTTTAAAATGACACTAAAAACAAGTTATGTCTTGATTTATTAAATCTCTAATTTTCATATCCATGTATATTGGTAGACAGATTATATTTTATACAAATTGTCTTGAGTTTCCTCATGTTTTGTTATTGATAAACGAGAGCTGACTTTTAAAAACGTAGACTTTTGCTGTTGCTTAAAGAGAGGTGGTTAATATATAATCAATCATACAGTTATTAATCTAAATATTTATTTCAAATTATTTATTTATTATATATTTTACCAAATATTGTAAGCGGGCCGTGCGGTTCTTTGTCCGTGTTAACGCAGATGTGGCACACGCGGATTTTGCGACATGTGTTAGTTCTATAATGTTTTAATAAAACAGAGATAAAAGTGTGAAAACCGTGTACCAAAGACTCGATAAAGTTTAATAAGCGAATGACGATTTTAAAAGTTTTTAAGCCATTTGAAAATCTATTTTGTTTTCAAATCAACAACACGACAAGGGTCTTTGATGGCGTCATCGACACGCGCCGGGTAGACTATAGTGATCTTTTTGTTTGTGGTTTTTCAAAGAATGAATATGTTTTACTAATATTTTGTAACAATATTCTTCAACTTTATGTTGTTTGTACAGAATCCATCGGCAGTTTAGTACTGAATGGTGTTTATTGGCAGTTTAACACTGGTTTTATTCTTCTTTGTGTATAGTAAAACAATCACAAATCATGTTAGTATAAAATTTGTGTCTTTGTTTTTCTTATTTCAATTTCAAATTTTGCGTTCAATATTATAAGTTATTTGTCAAAAATTAAGCTGTAAATAGATAACTGTAGTTCTTTTTAGTTTAAATCAATGTGACAATTCCCTGTGCAAGAATTTTGCTACTGGTATAGATGTGCAGAATATTTTTCTGTTTGTTTTTTTTTCTTCCAGAATATAAGTTGTATCGTGGGACAAAAATTGATTCAAATACCAATCATAAAAAGCTTTTGATAAATAAAATTAAATCATGTCTTAGGCATATGAGTCCTTTAATGCTTCAATGCGATTGGTCCTTACTATCATTTTGAATATGGTCGGCTACTGCTTGAGACGTTAAGGTGCGTAACAGATATTCTAAGTATAGGTTAGAGTGCATATTGGGTGTTCTTCGTAAATAAGAAAGCTTAAAAGGAGCGGAGCTTGCGAAGCGACTGTAGCTTTCTTATTTACGAAGAACATCCAATATGCACTCTCACTTGCTTAGTGCTCCGCCCACTTGCAATTTATAATATAAAACGTCCAGTTTATATAAAATCTGTTCTATTAAGATTTGAAACCTGAAAATTTGAAATATCCTCGTCGGTGATTGGCTTAAAAAAATTGGCGAGCAATAAATTTCATTATCCCTCAAGAATAAATACTCAATAAATGAACATTTGTTATGTTGCATTTGTAAACGTCAAAACTATCATATTAAGCCGCATCTGCTGTAAACTTAAGATAATTCATTGCCAAAAACACTGATACTGACATGGTTCATTAAAATATAGCATGATGAAATGAAATTTCGTAGAAAACTTTAAAACTCATTTACTGAATTTACAACATAATTAATCAGGTCAATCTATCCCTTTACAAGACAGCACTTCATCTAATTCGTTCTGCGCAAAAGTCGATTTAATGATCAATTTCTTATTTGAAACTCCTGAGTGACAAATATATCTGCAAATAATTTCCTTACAGAAACAACATCAAACACAAACAATAACACTACGTAATTTAAATATTAAATGATAACATGCTTTTTAAAGTCCTTGTATAACTATCAACCCACTTTTTTACAACTTTATCACAGTTCTTAGGAAAAGTTTAAGACACTCACTTTAGACAATATGAACAAAACAGCCTTTATCAACTAAAGATTTTACCAAATATTAATGAAACATAAATAATTAAAAGACTACCGGTATTTTATTTTAAATGTAAATAATTAGAATAATTTTCGGAGCAATGCAATTGCTAGTCCAATACAAACAAAGATAAAAATCAAAGATGCTCATTATAACCTTTTGTGCCATTTACTGGCATCATTAGAGCATATAGCCTTTAACACAGTCAATATATTCTTTTTTATCGCAAGGTTGAACATGATTCCAGCTGTTCCTAATATGCCTGCAACAAAGTCATCTTTTTCATCGCTGATAAATTCTTTAACATGGTGAATTTGGACATCATCTAGACAACAATATGAAAACAGTACTAGGAGAAGCAAATCCAGGGCTTGGAAGAATGTCGTTATCGAGTTGCAGACCAAGGATAAAGTGGATTATCATCATTTGGTTCTTGCAACGATAGTGCACCAAATATATACTCTAACATTCCAAAACACATTTCACATATCACAAATGCCAAGAAAATTTTGTGATGCTCATTTAGTGCAAAATCACAAGATTTTTTTCCGGTTGATTCTATTTGTTCATCATTTTCACGGAGTTCGTGGAAGTTTTTCAAGTCAAATACAACACTTGTGGTGAAGAGAGTAACACCTGCTACCCATAGTAACACAGAGCAACACACATCAGCCATTTTATGTATCTGAAATGAAAACAAATAACTGTTATTCAATAATGAGAGAAATAGATTAACGGTTATATGAGAGAATCATAAAATTATTTGCTATTTCATTATAACGAACGAACGAGGAACATTGGGTTTATCTACCAATCAATAATTAATCGTGATAATCAAGTGAAACCGCTAGAAAGACAAGTTTATTTTTCAAAAGTGATAGATCATACGTACACTTCTTTGCTCAGTGTTATCTATATTTTATGGATATAAAAAACAGGAACAAAGACAATCTTTCAACCGAGCATGTTTTGCAATGAATCACTCAATGTTCATCTATACGTTATTCGTAACTGTTTCGAAATCAATACTCTTTTGTTTGAAATCGAATGGCATCTGGTCCGAACTTCCGTCAGAGCAAATATTTTCAGTTTCAACAGATCTCGGTTACCGCTGATAATTGTCGGATAAGTAGTCGGCCACTTGCGAAGAAATTGGTAATTGCTGGTTAGTTATCAAGAGGTAGATCGACCGCGAAATTACGACCAAAACATGTGTTAAAATTGGCGTTAGACATACAAACAGTGAAATGTGCATGAGTGATAATCAAATGTGCAAATCTCTCATGCCAACATACAAGATTCAAGTATCTTAAGCGCTATTTGTGCTTCGATCCATTGAACCTAGAGTTATTAACTGAACCTCCATCTATATCATTGTACATTGTATATTTACAAATTATTATCATTGTCATGAGATTATTATCATACCATTTTTATGAGTGTAGCGTGTTAGTTAGCACTCGAATGATTTTGTTATAAGCTGTGATAACATCATCTACAACAGCTTCCTAACTTATAACATAAATGTCAATATGAATATGTTTTTATGAAAACAAAATAAGAAAAATTATTTCATCTCATCATTATTATATCAGATATGTTAAAAGGGGTCTTACCCAGTTAAGATTCTTCTCCCATCGCACAATATTGATAAACTGATTTGTACTGAACTATATCATTGTTTTTATTCAGTTATCAGAAAACTGTCAGTCAGGGCTTTCCATGTGGGAAACCATTACCCATGTTACCTGCCTTTTTATCATTAAACCTATTTTGGTACTTTTATTACTTAATTTCAATAGATAATTAGATCTTTTACTCGGGTTATTTCGCGAATAATTTCTTAAAATGGGTACAAATGTTTACACTTAAATACATATGAGAAATGTGTTTAATTCAGTTCTGCTGAACTTAAAAAGCATTACATTTTAAATGACATGCTATTATACATGTATATACAGCTGCAGTGTATTTTCATTGGATTGGTTGAATTTTAGAAACATTATTGCAATATAAATGTGTCAGTAGTTAAACATTTTTTAGTATATTTGTATTATTCATTGTATGCTTTTGAGTGGATAACTGATTCTCTGTGAAAATTACATTTGATAATTTCACAGTGAAAATTATCAAATAATAGCTGCCGGTTTCTTTTTGCCGCACCAGTTTTTGGCAAATTCAACCCCTATTTTTACGCGCTTTAAAAAAATGAAAACTATCTTAAATTGTCATATTTACTAAATGGTTTAAAAGATAATATGTTTTGTTTTTCTATCTTTAATACTTTTTTGTAAAAATGCATTGAAAGTTTGCATTTGCCATGGCAAAGTGTGTTTTGCCATGGCATTTCGGCATTTTGCCATGGCAAATAATTTGCCATGGCAATTTAGAATTGCCATGGCAAGATTTTTCCTACTTTTGCCATGGTAATTATTTTTTTTAAAACATCACAAAACATTCTAAAACTTATCCTATGACATGTTATTGGTGCTATTGTTATGTTTTTATTGCAATCTCTAATTTTTTTCATTTTGCCATGGCAAATTTTTGCCATAGAAATGCCATGGCAAATTTCTTCCATGGCAAAATTTGCCATGGCAATTCCATGGCAAAAAATTTTTCCATGGCAATTCAATGGCAAAAATTTGCCATGGCAAGTCCATGGCAATTACATAAAAGTTTGCCATGGCAAAATATTATCAAATAAAAAAAACAACATTTTTTCTTTGAATTTTTTTTTTTAATTATTAAATTGCTTTCCAAAGGAAAATATAGTCAATTTTTGTAAAATGTTTTAGTGTCATTAAAAATGGTCTGTGGAATGTTTTAATTTTCAATTTTATTCTGATGGTACTATAATTACCAGGATTGGCAGGAGGGTAAGAATTAAGTGGCCCATCATCAAATCATACGAATCAATCCTGCGCAGATAACCAGTTGCACAGCATTATTCAATTATTTATGACATACATTGAAGAAAATAATAGTTTGCATGCATTGCTCCTTAAACAAATGACTGACAGCAATTTATATTTACATTATATTTATCTTTATTATTTATATTTATATTTACCCCCACCCAGCCAAAATCACATCTAAAATATTACCAATATGGGCAATCTTCATGAAGGTGCAGCATACCTCTAGTAATTCCGGGCCCGATTTCCTAAAAAAATATCACTTACACGCAGTGCAAGCTATGCATTTTCAAAAAATGACCAATAAA